CGATCACAAAATTCAACCGTACGTGATGACATCTAATATAAAACTGTCTTGATTTACCACCTGGTCCCGAATGCATGACTAATATGAGTTGAATCATGCTTACCGATTAATTTCCGAACAAATGATTTATCTATGACTAATGATGATAATGGAATTATACGGGGCAGACTTGTGTAGTATTCGAATACCCAGTATTCTGAATCCTATTCAGAATACATTTGGCTGGTATTCGAATACTATTCGAATACATTTGTGTATTTGGTATTCGGTATTCGACTGAATACTTTTTTGGTCAGTACTCGGTATTCTGGATTCTGAATACCGTTTTTGAATCCCAGTATTCAAATACTCACTTTGTATTCGAATCCCGGTATTCGAATCCTGTTTTCGGATACTTTTGATTATTTCTATGAATATTGCGCTACGCTTAAACGTCGCTATACATTATTGGTCGATCATATATATTTTATTAGTTCCTATGTTTTATTTGTAATGCAATGAATTTTATTTCAAGTTTTATTCATTATTTGAGATTATTTTCCATTATTATCTTGCTAAACAATTATTTTGTGTTACCTTAACCTCATTGTTGCACTTTGGATCAAAAAAATATTTATGAAGTTTTATTCAATATATTTTCTATTTTTTTTCATATATTTTCATAAATTAACTACATACATTAATATAAACGAGCTTTATGTGCGCAAATGTTTTTTTTTTTCAGTTGGAATATTCATAAAATATTCATATGTGAATGAATCCAGGTATTCGAATACATCGGTATTAGAATACTTTTTTTTCTTTGTATTCGAATCTTGAGTATTCGAATACAATTTAGAGTACAGTATTCAGGATTCGTATTCGAATACCGGATTTCAGTATTCGACCCAAGTCTGATACGGGGGGGCGTCTATGAGTAATGATGATTATACGGGGGAAAAAAGATGAAGTATTGAACACGGATATACTGCGACAGTATTATTTTCGAAACTCTAATGATTTAAAAAAATTTAACCTAGGCTGAAAATAAAATGTCCCAAAATATCTAGATATGTTTTGGTAACTGAAAAGAAGAGGAAAATAATGAACAATGTGGTCTACTTTTTATAAGCGCGCATCCAAATTGACATTTGGTATAATAACAATAATAATAATAGTATGATCATTTCGACAGAATCAGAATAAAATAGAAGAAATAATGAAAGCAAGTTAACATTAGGTAAATAAGCATTAGAAAACCTACAGAAGCAGCAAATGCTGCTTGTACGTGGTGAAAAAGTATGAATTTCGTTTGAAGAGCTATTATTGAAAATACTAAGATTAATCATTTTGGAATATAAAACTGAGTAGGTACAAGAATTCAAGAGTGTAAAATATTTATATACAAAAAAATCATAATGGATAGATATAAAAATAAATTAAATGAAAGAACTCCGGTGTTAAACAATCACAAAAACTTCGGAGACGTATAATATATATGTATATAAAATTACTGACAATACTGAAATAAATAATTTCGGAATATGAATCTACGTACAAAAATTCAAGGGTGTGAAATACTTAATTAATTTGTATGTGTGAAAATGTAATGAGCACTCGAAAATATCTAAAATAATTGACAAATTGTTCTATGGAACAAAATCCATCGATAGTTTACCTAATTCGGCTCTAAAATTAAGTTGAAATTTGAGGACTGGTTATTTTTTTGTAATAAAATTGGATTTTTTGAATAACGAGTTCAATAAATAGTTATTTTTGTATCTAGAGCGCAAAATGCTACTTTGGTGATCGAGATCTGATTTTTTTAACGAGGCGTAGCCGAGTTGAAAAAATAGTCGAGATGACCAAAGTATTTCGCGCTCGAGTTGCAAACAACATTTTTTCTACAAACGTCAAAAAATATAGTTCTAAAGTAAAAATATGCTTAGCTTGATATAAAAAATGGTGTTGAACTGGCTTAAAAGGCCTCCCCTATCCTCCCTAGGTAGGCACGATGTTCCACGAACATAAAAGAAATTTCCTTTCGTGCGCTCCAAGAGATAAAACGAAGTTATTGTTGAACATTCAGAAATAAATGATTTTTTGGATGTTCTCTCGATTAAGGACCATTTACTTGGAATATAAATATCTCATATATTTTCCATAACAATGCGCGAAGTAGGTACTTCGCGCACTGTTTTACTTCGCACATTGTTTGGTGCAAGATATCATTGTAACATAGGAAACTGAAAAAAAGTGTCACTTCGCAATTTGCTATCAATGCGCGAACCTTGTCATTTTTTGACGTTTGTAGAAAAAATTATATTTTTCAAATTGGATGCGCACTGTTAAAAAAAAGAAGTGTTTTGTTTTGCCTGAAGACGGATCTGGATTCTAAATTCGATACATATTTAGTTTTGATGAGAAATATGAGTTGAATATACCTACCAAGAATGAATCGATTATACACACTGGTTCAAACGTTATGACCGACCATATAGATGAAGATTTTGCCAAAATCAAGATTACGTTCTGTATCACAGATATTGAAGATGGTAAATTCTTGAAAGATTTCAGTTTCGAACAAGAAGCACGAAAATCAGAAGAAAGTATTCCTTGATCGGAGAAAATATAACAAACGGTACGAAACATACAGGGTATATCACGAACAGCTTACACTATCTCTATATCGAGAATCAGTCGGGAGAAATCCATGAAAATATGCATGTGATCAGAATTCTGAATCTTGAACCACCCTGTATCTGTTCCGATTAAATATCAGTAAATAGTGAAACAAAACTTGGGATATGGACATGTGAGCCGCCGTCTTGACCGATAATGAATATTTTCGACACAAAAAAATCCTAAAGTTGAAAAATATTGATTTTGAACACCCTATATCTCTGTAATCATTTTCGATAGACCCCAAGTATGATATATCGATGAAATCAGCTCTTCAGGGAGAATCTTAAAATGCGATAAAATACAGGGTGTTTTGTTCGAAATATCAATGTTGCTACTACTTTCTAGTAGAAGCGGCAACACTGCCTTGTCGAACATATTTTAAATGAAAAGAGCGTATACCAAAATATAAGCATGCACATTTTCATGGATTTCTCCCGACTGATTCTCGATATAAAGATAGTGTATATAAGCTCGTCGTGACATACCCTGTATAGGGTAATGAAGTTGAATGAATACAAAGAAATATGAGGAAAAATTGAGAGAATTTCTCTGCACTCACCAGCGTGAAAAAAGTGAGGCTTTGATGAAACAACACGAAGAACACACGATCCCGATATTATCATTAAGTATTGAATCGAATGAGGAATACAAAAACACTATATACGAATCAATATACGATCACTCAGTTTTAAAATGCGATAAAATACAGGGTGTTTCGTTCGAAATATCAATGTTGCTACTACTTTCTAGTAGAAGCGGCAACACTGCATTGTCGAAAATATTTCAAATAAAAAGAGCGTAGGTATACCAAAATATAAGCATTCACATTTTCATGGATTTCTCCCGACTGATTCTCAATTTGAAAATAGTGTAAGCTCGTCGTGACATACCCTGTATATAGGGTAATGGAGTTAAATAAATGAATAAAAAGAAATATGAGGAAAAATTGAGAAAATTTCTCTGCACTCACCAGCATGAAAAAAGTGAGGCTTTGATGAAACAACACGAAACACTGCTAGAACACACGATCCCGATATTATTATTAAGAGTAGTATTGAATCGAATGAGGAATACAAAAACACTATAATATACGAATCAATACAATCACTCAGTTTTTAGGGAACACTCAGTTTGGAACGATAAATAATTCCTTTCGCGTATTTTTCGATGCCGATCACAAAATTCGACCGTATGTGATGACATCTAATATGAAACTGTCTTGATTTACCACCTGGTCCCAAATGAATGACTAATATGTTGAATCATACTGCTAAACGATTAATTTCCGAACAAAAAATGATTTATCTATGACTAATGATGATAATAAAATTGAACGGGGAGGGGGGGAGATATTTTGTATACAGGTGCTATTTTTTTTTTCGAAAATCACTAACGATATGGAAGAATTTTACATAGGCTGAAATTTCCCAAAAATCTTGTGATTATGGAAGAACTTGACATACAATATGTAGTGGAGCTATCGAACCCTTTCCATTACCAAGAAATAATTTACCACAGTAGTCACACACTATCTCTATATCGAGAATCAGTCAGGAGAAATATATGAAAATATGCATGCTTATATTATAGAATACGCGCTCTCTTCATTTAAAATAATTTCAGCAATGCAGTGTTGCCCTTTCTATCAGAAAGTAGCAACAACTTTGTTATATCAAATAGAATACCCTGTATTTCATTGCATTTTTAGATTCTCCCTGAAGAGCTGATTTCATCAATACATTAAACTTGGGGTCTATCAGGAATGATTACAGAGATATAGGGTGTTCAAAATCGAGATTTTTCAACTTCAGGATTTGTTTGTGCTGCAACTATTCATTATCGGCAAAAACGGCTCACATGTCCCTGTCTCAACTTTTCATTTACTATTTACTGATATTCAATCGGAACACATACAGGGTGATCAGAATTCTGAATCTTGAACCAGCCAAAACACCCATCCCCTTGCCTTACAGGAGGACGATAATTTTCCACAAGGGTTGTGTCTTTTTTATTGAAAGTAGAAGTGACTTTACCAGTTTTTAACTTGTGTGGAAAATCACCTCTCACGACGAATTTTCATTCTTCAGTTTGTTTTTAAACAATGAGAGTAATTCATGTTCCGAAGTTCGCATTTTTCCAAAATCAAATCATAGAATTAGACTGACATATTTGATTACTAATTTGATCGGATTTGATTTTTTTTTTGTTTTAAGCTTCGAACGTCTGTTGAATGATCGAAGGTTTTTAGTTTGGCCATTTTGCGACTTTAATACCTAAGTTGGCAACACTGCTCAAAACAGATACGTCAACAAAATTCTGCAATATTCATTGTCAAAATGGCGGAAAAGAAGAAGGGAAAGAAGAAAAGAGATGTAAGTTATTTGTTTTAATGTTTTCCAAAGAAATTAAGTCGATTTTTAGAATGAAAAGAATAAAGTACATGATATTCTGTTTAATTTGGGGTTCCTATTAAAAGGAACAAACTTTTCAGTAACTAATTTGCAGTTATACAGATGTACCGTTCTGTTGTTTTGCCTCTATGGTGGATTTATAAACTCAACTAAACTAAGAACTTGAATTAACAATTAGCAATTAACAATTAACAACTATAAGGAGGCGTTTATAAACATCATTTTTGGAAATTTAGAATTAGTTCTTTTATTGTTTCCTGCTTGACGTTTAGAGTAAAGAAACCGTTTTGGGCGTTCTGTGATAAATGATCATTCATTCTTCATCCATGTTTTTGGTTATGTTATGTTTGATAAAAGGGTTGATTTCCTTCCTGATGAGAAATATTTCATATTCATTGGCCTTATCTTGAATCTCCGATTTCTTCTCTTCTTGTTGACTCCGGTGGCAAGCAACATTGTAGTAATAACCAGTAAAATAACACTCATCAAATGATCTCTTCTGTATCCATTGTTAATTCTTCGAATTCACTCACCCTATTATAATTGATTATAAACTCCTTATCCATAGACAAGATATATTTCATATTTTCGCGGTCTTCAATTCCTTAATGTCAATGTCAAAAAATATGCGTTATGCGCATGCGTTGAATTCATAATTGTTAATTCTTAGTTGAAAAGATGAAAGATGGCCATCTCCTTAGTTGTTAATTGTTAGTTTAATTGACAGATACAAGTTTATAAAACCCCAATGGGATTTCCATGTATTCATCTTTCTTAATTCTCAGTTGTTAATTTAATTGTTAGTTTAGTTGAGTTTATAAATCCACCATAAAAATATAAAACTAATAATATACACACGTATGCAAATTACCTATTCATGTAATGGAAATCATTCAGCAATTCTAGAATGCTCATTCATTAAAGAATCATCTCAATAATTTTTCCTTTTGAATATTTTTCTCATCAGGAATACATCCATCCTAGAGATAGGATTGAGGAAAAACCAACAAAGGAGGAATTCAAAATAGCCAAATGGATGAGAAAAAATGTGCAGATCAAGAGAACCAAATTCCTCAATCACAATGTAGAATACTTCACAGGTAAAGATATTTACAGGAGATGTTTAATGTTCAACCATAATAGGAAACATATTTCTTAAAATATATGAAATTTTCATAATAAAATGCCAAATATTAAGATTTGGGGTTGATTTTTCTAGATCAAATTGATGATGTCAAGTCTCTTAATATATTTTTTTCAGGTATGAGAGCTGTGGATGCTCTCTTAACATCAACATTTGTCACTAGAGATGACCCACTTTTCAAGACCAGAGAGGAAATTTGTGAATACCTACATGTAATGTTGACCCACAAGTTCTTCCACAGAGCTCTCAAAGTTCCAGTGGATGAAAATGAATTGAAGGGCAAGAAAGGGAAGAAGAAAGATAAAGAGAAAAAGAGTACAGAGTCTGGAGATGATGAAAACAAGGATAAATTAGAGAAGGACAAGGGAACTGATGCAGAGAGTAGTGTGGTTGAAGGGAATAAGGAGCAAAAAGTGAGTTTCATCTTGATCTATTACTGACAGTTATGTGTTCTTAATTTCACTATAAAGTTACAAATTTCACCTTTCTTTTCCGCCTGTCTTCTGTATGTATGTATGTCCTTTATTTAGTCAATGACTAGTTTATGACAATCAATACATGAAACACAAATACAGTCAGATTACAACAAATACAGACACTAAAACAATATTTAATTGAAAACAACTGCATGTATTTTGGAATTTGACACAAAAAAAACTTGAATTGGCACACACTTATCTCAAGATTAGTAAAATGTGAATTTCCTGCAACCTCCAATTTTTTATATTATACTTACTTATAGTAGATATCATTAATTTATTAATTGGAGCATTACTTTTTTTATTTTTTTATTTCCATCAAACATCATGTATGTTCAAAGTTAGGTTTGGAGATGAATATATTTTCAAGGTTGGATGAAAGAGCAAGCTCTGCTATGAATTTTTCATGCGCAGATATTGAATCCTGCCTCTTGTTAGGTTTTCTGTACTTGTATGTAACCTCTCAATAAAAGCATTTATTATTATTATTATTAGATATTTGATTATAATGACTACAATAATAATATTGATAATAAAACTATGGTAAGTACAAGTAAGTAAGTATAAGATTGATAAAAATAGTGAGTCATGAAACACCACAATGGCTAACACAAAAACAAGGAAATTACTAAAATTAGCACACCATAGAAAGATGCTGTTCAAAATATATTGTTGCAGATGTACTTTAAATATTCCCAAAGTATAACATTTCAATTCATTAGGTAATTTGTTGTAAGCTGTAATTCCCATATCAAAAATGCTTCTTTTAGTGCTCATAAGTTTTGTTTTTTCTATATGTATATGGTTCTGGTTCTGGATTGCATTTAGAACAATTTGCCCTTCTTTTTTCATCATTAGACAATTTATATATATCACAATGTATGACACATTTTTTGCTATTATATGAGTCATTTAGAAATATGATTTTCTTGTGATTTATCCATATTTAGTGAAAGGAAGGAAGAATATCATTTAAAATAATGGCATGTGTAATGTCATTCAAAAGCAATCTGTTGACATTTGACATCTCATATTTGGTTGGATTTTGGATTGACTATTGATTAAATGGCCGGCATCTGGTATGCTTGTTCACTAAATATGAAAAACTCACCATAAAAATTATATTTCCTGTTGAATTTTCTATATAAAATAAAAAAATATGTCATTGAAGTACATCATGAGTATATAAAGTGTTCAATGAGAGAATAAGAAGAGCAAGTAGCTGTAAATGTAAGTGTTTGTTCACATTTTCATTATCAAATTCGTGTTTTTCAGACAAAAATACATAAGTACCAATAAGATTTTGAAAAAAAAACCATCACATGATAAGTGCAAAATTACCCTTACTTTTTGCCTAAATTTCTGAGAATGTATTTGTTCAATCATTGCACTTTTCATTCATGGTTCACATTTTCATCATTTGGGTTATAAATGGTATTTTATGCAAAACTACCTTAATGGAATTTTTACTATTGGTTGGCAATACCTTCCAAATTTTACAAAAGATGAATGAATGGCATTCAAAACAGCTGAAATTGATTATTATAATAGTTGATTCTGGTTCAGATTCTTCTGAAAGCTGGGTCAGAAATCAAAAGCAAGTACAGAAGTGGGGAAATGTTATGAATTCCAAGTATACAGAAGAGTTTAGACATTAACTGCTTAAAAACTACAAAATGAACAAAAAAAATTGATCTACAGTGTGACCCAAGGGGGAAACAACTGCCCAGAATGTGTTCACCATATTGAATTGTCGTGTACTTAAAAACAGTATTGAAGTTTTAACTCAGTATTTAAAGCATAATTTGAATACTGAGTAGTAGTACTTGAGAGCATATTGAAGCTCACTTGATATATTGAAAATGGTATTTAAGTAGTTGAAATTTCAGGGTGTACACCTATTTAAAGAGTTGTTTCCCCCTGGGTGTGACCTAGTTGAAAGCTGGACACCTCAATGAAATTTATATTATTTCACCAATTTCTAGGAACCTTATTTTGAATTGTGTAGGTTGAAAAAGTGTACTTTAGAAGGAATCTTTTTTTTTGCTAAAAAACGGCTGACTTGATATATTTTTGGAGGTTAAAATCCAAGCAATCATATAGGCGATTTTTGTATGAAAAATATTGAATCATCAATGGATTCAGCACCCCCTCAATTGGTTGTATACCTAATTTGATGAAAAAATATTGGATAATTTGTGGAAAATCAAAATTCACATTGGGACATGGAAATGGCTGAATAATAATGGAGGATTGGTCAGGATAGTCATCTGATTTACTGGCCGCCAAAATCGTCGGACCTGAAACCACTGGACTTCTTTGGAGTATTGTGGAGCAAAAAGTTTACAAATCCAGATTGCAGTCAGTAGAAGAACTACATAATATTATCATCAATTATTATTGAAATCAGAGTTTTCAATGAAATTTGAGGGGATCTGGGATGCTCAATTCAATGGTGATTTGAATTTTTTGTAAAAAAAATCGCTAATATTAATTTTTGAGTTCAGACCTTTAAACATATAGGCAGTGGGCCTAGGGTTCTCCTAGAAAAAAGAAGTTTCTTCCTCAAATATAGTTTTGCAAGCTACAGTTGATTGATTGATTGTCTTTATCACCCCAAGAAACATAGTTGTTCATAATATGGATACATTACCAATATACATAAAGTTATAAATACAAATATGAAATAATAATAAGATATAACAAGTAAAAAAAATGCAAATGATCATGCAATATCAACCTTGTCTTTTATAAAAAGGTATTCAAATAAGAAATGGAATTATCGAAGTCTGAAGCAGATATTTTTTCATGTTAATTTTGAATGTAGTTGCTTCCTGTATATTCCTCAATTGGCTTGGTAATGAGTTGTATAGAACGATTCCTGCATGAACAATGGGTTGTTGCCGATATTTGACTAATAATAATTCCTCAAAATCTGTGAATTGATACAAATTGTATTAAGGTCTACCACTTTCAAGTGGGTCACACTGTAGATATAAGCTCCCATGAATCGGCATAGATTAATATTGAAATCCATTTGATTTTGTCTTTGTTGAAGATGAGCAACAGTACAACAACTAAAGTTTCTCCTTCACTTTGCCATCAGAAGTCCTCAATCTTTGTCTGTTGGAAATTCTAAGAAATATATTCCTGAGGGTCAACTATTGTTGCATATGGTTCAACATTTGGCATAGATGAACATGCTGATGAATGTTGATCTTCAATGAGTATAATTAGAAGGTGTATTATTTTCCATATTGTTAGTTATTTCACTACTCTGAAAATTCAAATTTTTCAAATTGAAAGTATACTCATCATTTGAAAACTGTCTGCATTCTCAAAGGAGTTGAAAGGAAATGATGTCACAATTGAATGTGATTCAAACAAAATCAATCCATTCATGATTGAATTATTTTGAATATTTATTATTCCAATCGATCACAGAGCACATGATATAGGACAAGTCAATGTTTTACAATAGGAACAAACGAGGGAACAAACATAACATCACTTAAAAGATAACATAAATTCGTCTACAGAATATGGCACTTTTCTAATAAAAACTTTATAAGTTGTCTATTGAACAGTTTTTCATTTCCCGACTTCTGAGACCCTCTGGTAGAACATTATACAACCCAAGCCCTAAGACGTCTGTAGCCCTCTTTGTTAGGTTCAGACGAGCAAATGGAATGAAATTTATTTTTATTACGAGTGTGGTAATCATGAACATCTTTATTTTTAGTAGATTCAATTTCATGCCTACGCACATAAGCTAGTATTTCAAGAATATATAGACCTGCAAGAGGTAGAATCCTATATTTTTTAAAAAGGGGTCTACATGACTGTGTCGGTGACGCTCCATCAATGCATCTGATAATTCGTTTTTGAACTTTGAATACATTTTGTGTATATGAAGTGCCACCCCATATTGTTATAGCATAAATGAGCCTAGATTGCACTTCTCCAAAATAAAATGATAAAAGGTTCTCTGTGTTCAGCACGATTTTCGAAGTTCTGATTTGATAGCATTTTTTATTCAATAAGCTTGCCAGGTCAGTACAGTGAGATTTAAATTCTAAGGTACTCTCAAAGTTGATATGAATGAAACAAGAAGACCAAACATTGTACTTTTATTCACCTAATAATGAAATGTTTATGGAAAAATAGGTACTCTTAAACATTAGGCTTAATACTCAATAGCATTCAAGAACCTCTTTTAATTTTTTTTCTATTGTTTTTCTTTTTCTTCCGTTAGTGCTGAGACATTGAGCTTTGCTCACCCTGTACAACTGGTATATCTTGACATTTGAATGGGAATATATAATTTCAATTTTGTATTCAGTTGACTTCCTGTGAGAATAAAAATGGAATTTCACTTTTGAGTTGATGAAAAAATCAATAAATATTTTCGAATAATAATTGATTGCAACATAATTCTTTTTCCTAAATGAATATTTATATTTTATCACGTTTACTTTTAAATAAAAGCAAAAAACGAGAAAATATTTCAAATAATGCGAGCGCTTCCCATTACCCAACATAAGATAGAAAGAGATAGGTATCCGTAACCACTGCGGGTTGCCTGAACAATCTTGTTGCCTCACTCGTCGTTCATAGAGGATTCCTTCCAGGTGTTTATATTGAGTTCATTGTTGTAAATGGATAGAACACTACTGTTTCCTTCAAAATATTCCAAAAAAAAATCCAAATAATTCGTACTTCAACGGTGACACTGTATTTTTTCAGTCTGAAAAGGAAAAACGTAAAAAGAAAATCAGATTGGATATGCACGATGATCAACGGTTCGTTGATAGTTTGGACGCCTACGTTTGGATATACGATCCGATTCCTTTCCATTACTGGATAATAGGTACTCTGCTGGTTTTAGGTGCAATTGGAGTATGTCTTTTCCCACTTTGGCCACCATCTGTCAGGTAAGGCACCAAAACTGATACGTTTTTTTCCCAACCTTATCTATAGGCAGTGTTGTTCCTGGGTCTATTTTTTTCGTACCAGATTTTCTTGGAAAATGGTAACAGATTTGAATCAAAAGGTAACAGATTGGATAAGAGGGACTCTTCCCTGGTCTGAATAAAATAAAAGAAAGATCCAATATATATTCAGATGTTTTATATTATCCATGGATATCATCATCCCTAATACAGGGTGACAGACATATACTGAGGAATATCAAATTCCTGATCTAATATTCCCACACTTGTCATATGCTGGCATGGTCATGGCTACTAGATTTTAATTTAATAATTGAAGAGAAGTGTGCTTTGATAGTGGCACTAGGTCCATATTTCAGTTTCACAATACTATAATGATTGAAATATTATTGCTAGGGAAGAAAAAATCTAATATACACCTTGGTAGTGAATAATATTACCACGGGAACTTATACCCTTCGGCAGAAGCCTCGGGATATAATTTTGGTCTTGGTAATAATGATATTCCTTACTACCTTGGTGTATAGTATAAATAAATATTCTCATTGATGAATTTATTTTCAGGCTGGGGGTATATTATTTGAGTGTGGCAGCAGCAGGATTTTTGGTGTCTATAATAGTTTTGGCGGTCATTCGATTGATAATATTCTGCTTGATCTGGATACTAACATTCGGCAAACATCATCTGTGGATCTTACCAAATTTGACAGAAGATGTCGGTTTCTTTGCATCATTTTGGCCTCTATATACTGTAAGTAGTAACGTTTTTGGGTTTATGTAATAAGCTACAAAGTATATTCTGTATCTTCCCACTGACGTAAAAAATAAGTTGCAATCCCAATCCATTGAAAACTTGTTTATCAAATTGTAATATAACTACTCATTTGTGGATGAACCTTCTACTGTTATACAATGTCATCATTATATATTTTTATCTATTTTTTATTCCTTTATCATAATAATAATAAATGTGCTGAATTATAAAATACGGAATTGGGTCATAATTTTCATGTTATCATTTTCTTTCAACAAAGCAAGAACGTTTTGCACCACTTTTGGCTATTTTGAAAGAGGCAAATGTATGCAAAACCTTTGAGTCAATGTATTATCATCCATCAATGGGAAGTAGTAGTAGAAGTATTGTGGGGAGGCTGTAGCCAGGCAAGTAGGTCCCCATGGGCCCTTTTTGCCAACCCCTGCTCTCCACATATCTACACATCCCTCTTTTAGTTGTCCTTTTCGAAAATTCCCGTCCTTCTGGTGAAGGTCAGGATGTCCGTCCACTCTAATTCGACCAAATCTACCTGTTGTAGTTCATCTACTCCAAAGAATCTCATCCTTCCATACGCCTCACACTCTCCGAGGAAGTGAAGTGATGTCTCCCCATCTTCTCCGCATTCACGGCAAGTGGGACTATCTTCCACACCTATGAGTGATAGGTGTCTGCGTAACCTGTTGTGCCCTGTCAGTACCCTTATAAGAAGGCGCAGGACTTGGCGATCCCTGCCCAATAACCAAGCCGTCTTTGGCTTGCTTGGACCGGCCACCAGGTCTCTCGATTGCCTGCAGCCGCCTATTTGCCTCCAATATACTTCTAGTGCCTCGTCCGCCCATTTGTTAAGGGCAGACGAAGTTTGGCTTCTTGTTATGCCCAGTGCAGGCTCCGGTCCCCAGGTGTCGCGGATCCGATTCTAACCAGCTCGTCGGCCACCTCGTTCCCGGAACTCATACTAGTTCGACTTCCTCTTGTTCAGCTAGTTTCTTAAGAGCATGGCCACATTCCTGCACCAAAGCTGAGCTTGGTTTAGGATGGCAGACAGCCCTGAGAGCCGCCTGACTATCCGAGCAGATGTAAATCTTCTGCTCTGGTCCCTCTTTCACCTCTTGCCTCTCCGCTACTGCCAGAATGGCAACTTTTGGCTATTTTGAAAGAGGCAAATGTATGCAAAACCTTTGAGTCAATGTATTATCATCCATCAATGCGGAAGTTTCCTTTAGATGAATTTTCATAAAATAGGTTCGGAAGTCCGCAGTTTCATGTCCACCCTGTACAGAATGGCGATCGATGATGTCCAAGTTGTTTTTATTTTCAAAAGGAGAAGAAGAAGACAACTTGGCGTCGTTGTTGATTATATCATGAAAAATAACGATGATCAACTAACTAATAAAACAACTTAAACTGGTTAACAAGAAACACAAAATCAGATCATTTTTCGCTGTGCGTGTCAGTATTTTGTGTGGTGTGGAGCGGCTCAAAGTTTTATGCCCTATATCAAAAACTGGAACCTTTGGCACGATAGTACACTACACCCTGTTTTAGCACTAACCAAACCAATTCTTGACATATTGATGATGCCGGCAACGTCGTATTTTAACTCTGAGTGAATATGGCTTTTCTAAGTAGTACGTCACAGGAATGGTGAAGGAGTCCAAGTTCCTTTTTTAATTTTTTTCTGACGTGAAATTGATCTAACGAAAAAATGAAAAAAATGCGTAATTATTATTAAATTTCGAAAAACTTCACATTGAGATGAAAACCTCAATATTGGAACCTTCCTCATTGAAGACTAGGTTGAATTGAAAAATATAGTACTTGTACCGGGTGAACAACTAAGAAAGGCTGTCATCAATCCTTTTTCCCAACTTTGATCGTCAATATCTTCCGTTAGCGAAAAGCTATCATTTTGCAGTTTTCGTTGGTCTGTTGAGATTAAGTTTCTCGATTTGATGGTGTAATAATATGCATACATTACATTTTCAATTCAGATATCTGTTGATACTCCAGATCACGCCGACAGCCGTTCTTATTTGTTCACCTGGTATATTATGGTTCAAGTGATGCAAAATTTTCTTTAGATGTTATTCGCGAGATTCACGAAGTGGGCGACATCTAGGTTACATAATACGAACTTCAAACTGGGGGAAAACAAACTGTTGTCTATGGATAAAGTGCATAGACTACATTGCATTCAGCTTGCTGTAGCTATAGTCAAACTTGTCAACGACATTAAGTGTTGGCACTGTTGGTAGTGATGATGGTTGAGTTGGTCAATTTTTTTACATTATTACTTTTTTATTAGTTTAGTGAAAAGTGAACGGGTGAAGAATTGGAGATAGTTCAAACAATTCAAACTAATTATGACGAGCAAATCAATTGACATTTAAAAGAACAGCTACAACATGTTTACAATACCCAGATTGTCCTGCTTTGCATGAACAAATACAAATCCATTGTTCTACAGGAGTTCCTTTGGACCCTAATTTCAATTTTACTTCATGTGGTGAAGATTTCATCGCCGAAGTTTGTAGACAAAGTGCAAAAATGTGCCTCTTGTCGAAGCCTCACACAAAATCACCTTATTAGCACGGAGAACTGCTTTTCCTTTCACTACTGGTCGGCTTTTTCGGTCTAAATAGAGCAGAATATCTGTCAAGAGAACGTCTACAGCAGGCATTATTAGCGTTTTCGATCGAATATAATAATAATAATAATGTTTATTGAAGTACAAAATAACAAAAATACATGTGCTCAAATATCATTGTACTTCAAAAGGCAAATAGTTGGCAAGCCATTTTTCATATTTGCCTTGGATGATTCAAATCACAGGGATTAATGAGGTGAGCATTACATGACAATACATGACAATGAATAATGAGATTAACAATCAAAATCAAAATAATAAGTTGGCGACAACACTAAAATTATACAGTGCATATTATTGGTTCATTGATAGTATATGCAGTTTGAATGATTTTTTGAACATTCTCATATCTAGAGTTTCACTGAACAAATTTTCATACATATTTATCATCGTAGGTGCAATATATTCAAAGCAACCTTGGAATTTGGATGAACGATGTTGGGGTATAGTAAATGAATCAGCATTTCTAACATTTGTTGTATGAATGGTAGATCATCTGATGAGTAATTCGTGCAAGTACTTGGGAGTCTCAGTAGACAACACCATATAAACAATTGATGCATATAAACATGTGACCCGTTTCTCAATTTTGAGTATTTTCATTTCATTGTAAAATGGTGTTATGTGATCACGTCTGTTGATATTCCTATTTGAAAAGCGTAAACAGTTATTTTGCATTACTTGCAGTCTATTACGCATCTTATCATTAAGAAAATGATAGTAGACAGGTACACAATAGTCGACATGTGTGAGTACTAGTGAGTTAGTTAGATTCCATTTAGTAGAAGGTGGCAGAATGTTCCTTATTTTGAAGTAGCAAGTACGAATTTTGTTGAGAATATGTGGACCAAATGTGAGATTTTCATCAAATATTATTCCCAAGTTCTTCACATTATTTTTCACCTCCACTATTACATTATCAACACTGATAGGTACTGTCTGTTGAGATTTACATTTGGCTATAAGTTTTTTTTTTTTTTTTTTTAAGGCTTTATTCAAATAGTTCACAATCTGATTATTTTCAATTTCGTACATACATGTTTCGGACACTATTTGAAAAACAATTCCAAATCAGCATGTAATGCTGGTCTCGGAACTTCTTAAGTCTACACTTTTTCATTTCATTGTTACTGCCCAATCTGATTTTCGTATATAGTGATGTTATTGTTAGAGATTCTCTTAGACAGTTCATTTTTGAATATTTTTATGTTTTCGGCTTCCCTCAGAGCCACTGGGAGACAGTTAAAAGTTTTGATACATTTAATGAGAGGGTTATTTAAAGCAATGTTCGTTCTTGTGGACTCGATGTATATATTTCGTTGATTCCTTGTCTCATAGGGATGGACTTCATGGTTTAATTTAATTCGTGAATTACACTTCTGTTCAGATTTGCAAACCTTGTACATAAATTTACTCTGTTCAATTTTCAATATTTCTGAGATTGGTAAAATGCCAGTTTGCTTATAAACCAATTTTGTTGGTGTTCTGAATTCGATATTGAATAAAACTTTTACAATTTTATTTTGTAGTTTTTCTGCTTTCTCAAATAGTGTACGCCCACAGGATCCCCATAAGGGAATCAAGTATCTGAAAATAGATAAAAAGTATGCATTATAGATTTGAGTATATAGTTTGTGATCAAGATAGTCTCTACATCGATAGATCGCTCCGATCATCGGTACTACTTTATTTTCAATGTGGTCAATATGTTTACTCCAATTCATTTTGTCGTCTACAACTAGGCCAAGATATTTTGTATTTTCAACTCGTTGTATCTCCTCGCCTCCAATTTTTATGTTAATCTCCTCAAAGTTTGTATTTCTTTGCGTAAACACCATAAAGGTTGTTTTTTTTGTATTTATTTTGAGTTTGTTTTTTGTTATCCAATGATTATACAAATTTAAGTCAGAATTTATTCTTATCTCTAAATTTTCGTGGTTTTCGTTACTGTAGATTAGGACGTTGTCGTCTGCAAAAGTAAAGTATCTCCCAAGTAGTTCTACTTTTTCTAGGCTCCTAACATGTAGTGAGTACAGTAGGGGTCCTAATACAGACCCCTGCGGCACTCCACAATGTATATTCATTACTTCGCTTCTAATGCTGTCTATGCAAACATATTGTTCCCGATTATATAGATATGTTTTCAAAAGTGTTAGTAAATTGCCAGGTATTTCCATTTTTTCCAATTTTTCGAGTAAGATCCTGTGATCTACTACATCGAAAGCCTTTTGTAAGTCTATAAATACTGCTACGACATATCTTTTTTCATCTAGATTAGAGGAGACAAAATTAACAAAATCAATGGTAGCACTCATTGTATTGCTTTTAGGTTGGAACCCGTACTGGTATTTGTCGAAGTGGACGTCTTTTTCGATAAATTCAATAATTCTTGACTTTACGATAATATCTCAGTAATTTTTGATAGGCAAGATATTACAGTTATTGGTCTGAAATTATCAATTCGACTAGTTGGTCCTGTTTTATGAATTGGGGTCACCCTACCAATCTTGAGAATGTCTGGGAAAATACCCTGTTGAAACGTTTTATTTATCAAGTTGACCAGGATTGGTGCAATTGCATCTTGTAATAAGATTAGATCCCTTGTAGTTATTCCATCATCTCCTGCTGCCGAATTTTTATTTAGTTCCTTGATTACTTTATGCATTTCTTCAAGATTAGTACTGCGGAGAGTGACTTAGTACCGAAACAAATCGCTTGCGATTTATTTGGGTTTATTAAGAGACCATGATCAACAGAATATTTACTAATACTCTCAAGTACTGCGTTCAAATTGCCTATGCGTTCATTCACATTCTTATGATCACAGGAACCATAGATTTGAACGTCATCAGCATATAAATGGATATTGAAGCTACTGTCTGTCTGGCTAATTGACAATTAATGCCATAAAATTTGAAAACTTATCACTCTTATCAGTACACAGTACACAAGCTAATGGCACTAAAGGGATTGAGTGAGGATTGAGTTTGTTTTCCCCCAGTTTTGACGTGGCTTTGACATGGATCGATGAAAACCGAGCGCCACCTGGTAACATTGATTCCCGCGAATATTTTAACATGTGTGTCATGAATTGAAATCATATACTGTGACAAATTGCAAAGTGACATCACAAAGCCTGGCATTTAGTGGTTTGACAGTTCCCAAATATATTTCTTAGGCTACTTGAAATTCTGCCATTAGAGGCGTCTTACTTTTTCTCAAATGAATTGAATAATTTGAACAAATTCACGGTGTTTCCAGTATGAATACAAGGGAGACAGAAATGGTAATGGAAAAAAAGGAAAGAAAAAGAAGAAGGATAAAGATTCAGATGCAGAGGACGAAGATGAGAAACAGAAAGAAGGTTCTGAAACCATCTCTAATTCTGGAGTTGTTGAGTTGCAGGAGTGAGTTGAAGCAAACTGTTTTTAAAATAGTTGACAATAATTCAAATAGTTTTGAACAGTACGTCATGATCTAATCAACTATTTATTATTTGTACCTTGTTTTAGTACAAATGATGTGGTAGACGATCATAATTCAGAGGAGAATTTGAAGAATTCGGAAAGCGAGAGCGAATCCAGCCAAAGATCCAGCACTGGTAAGGATTTTGAAATTGTTGACCAACAAGAATTGGAATCCTAGTGCTACAATCTTCTTTGCACTCTGGATATTGATACCTATTTATTGAGTTGTGGAGGTGTTTCTTTTTTTTTTTCAACGTAATAGGATTCTTTTATTTATTTTTATAGTGTGGCTTTTGTAAATACTTTTAATGGAATAATAGAAATTCAAAGTATTTGAGAATCAATTTTGTTTGATTGCATTCTAGTTATTCCTCACAGAAGAGATTAAATGACGAAGGAAAGTTCTGTAACTCGTATATATTTGGTGCTATTGAAAGAGTTTCAGTTAGTTTCCTGTCGATTTGTATAATGTATTAGGTAATGTATAATCTGTTGCATTTAATATCTCTCGATATATATTCTATAAATAAATATATTGTAAATAGCTATCTACTTCAATGTTTCCATCACCTGCCGCAACATCTGGTTGCATAAAGCTGCATATGGATTCAGTTCGACGAGCTGAAAAGAAATACCATGTGATTTATTCAAGGAGTTTGGTAAATTCAAATCAATTGTTCGTTTGCTATTGCTGTTTCAGTAGACCAAACTGTTATTTCCACAATCGTTCAACAGTTGAAGATTTCCAGACTATATCATTGCGGAAAGTGACCGAGTCTCGCACTAGTGTGGAAAGGGGAAGTTTCCTTTAGATGAATTTTCATAAAATAAGTTCGGAACTCTCCAGTTTTATGTCCACCGAATGGCGACTGATGAAGTCCAAGTCGTTTTCATTTTCAAATTAAAGCAATTTCTAATTTTCGGGGCGGCAAACTGTGACGTACAGGGTGATTCATCATAAATGTCCCCCCCTCTAGTTCAGTTATTTTTGAACCGATTGCAAAATTTCAAATATGATCTAAAATGATTTCCGATAGAGTTTTTTTCCGCTACATCAGAAAGTACAAGGTGCTCGGAACAAACGATCTACAGGGTACTATTTGATTTTTTTGAATCGAACACCCTATTTTTCATTGTATTTTTAGATTTTCTCTGAAAAGCTGATTTCATCAATGTATCACAGTTGGGGTCTAGCGAAAATGATTACACAGATATCGATCGATCGAGATTTTTCAACTTTAGGATTTTTCTTTGACAAAACTATTCATTATCGGTCAAAACGACTTACATGTCCGTATCTTAACTTTTGATTTAATATCTAATGACATTTAATAATTAGAACAGATACAGGGTGATCAGAATTCTGAATCTTGAACCACACTGTATATGTTCCAATTAAATGTCAGTAGATAGTAAATCAAAAGTTGAAATAGGGACATTGAAGCCGTTTTGACCAATAATGAATAGTTTCGACACAAAAAAATACTTAAGTTGAAAAATCTCGATTTTGAACACCCTATATCTCTGTAATCATTCACGATAGACCCCAAGTGTGATGCATTGATAAAATCAGCTCTTTAGGGATAATCTAAAAATACAATGGAATACAGGGTGTTCCATTTGAAAAAATCGTGTAGTACTCTGTAGATCGTTCGTTCCGAGCACCCTGTATTTTCTGATGCAACGGAAAAACAAATTATGGAAAATCATTTTAGATGATCTTTCAAATTTTCAAATCGGTTCAAAAATAAGTGAGCTAGACGGGGGACATTTATGGTGAATCACCCTGTACATTCTGAATCTACTCTGAAAATAGCTGATGGTGAAGAGTATAGCTAGCGAATAGGTAACGAATGGAAAACGAATGAAAACAGTAGGAGGGGAAGTGAAACTGGTAAACAAAAACATACATAACCACAAATGTACTCGGAGCAGGAATGCAGAAGGTAGTTGGCTTCATTCTAACAGGATATGCTTTTGTTATTTATGCATTGAAATATCTCAAATAGAGCTCGATCCTAAACGAACATATCATTGAATCAATGAATCACTATCGGCTACATTCAATGATAATCTAATCTAATTTACTGCCATCGGTCAGAACAGAATAAAGCCGACACCCATGGTTCCTTCCTCTTGTTGTACCTGTCAGTATTTTGAGTGGTATGAACGGACTATGTATTAGGCGCTGTTGCAAGATATAATCTGTAACTTTCCTAGAAAATATAGATCCGTTTTATTAAGGAACGAATTCATTATCAAAAAATGAATGACAAGTTATGAATGACATATTGTAATATAACTATAGTGAAAAATTGTAGATACTATCAAAAAATATCATAATTTATCTTTATTAGTAATCAACTTCATTTAGTCAATGAGAGATCTATGGGAATAATTCATAATACTTGACAAAGTAGGATTGAAGAACCTATCATATCCCATTAGACATATTCATGATGTCGGCAACGTCGTACTGGCACAGGGAATCGTATTTTAACACTGTGTGAATGTCGATTTTGAGAAAAAACGTCATGGAGGAGCCAAGTTCTTCCTTTATTTATTTTTTTCTGAAGTGAAATTTGATCCTACGAAAAAAATAAGAAATACGTAATTATTAACTTCACAGTGAGATAAAAACCTCAATATAGGAAACTTCCCCATTCCTCCTAAACATCATTGATTGATTGTCTTTATTACCCCAAGAAACATTTTTGTTTATGATAGGGATATATGAATACATATAAAAAAAATAATTAAGGGTTAACTAATAATAACTCAGTGGAATAGTGGAATATTGTTTCTTAAGATTAAAGTTATATTTCATTTCTAAGTAATCAAATCATGCCACATATTTTTCATTCAAATTGTCCTGAGCAAGTGTGTTTTAAGATTGATTTTAAACCTTCTTGGATCATGTATATTTTTAAACTCATTCGGTAATGAATTGTATAAGATTATTCCATTTGTGAAAAACAGATTGTTCGCCAATGTTTGACTTAAATGTATTTGCGATCAAGTAATCAAATTGTCTAGTCCCTTAATTTTGGACTGTATTGACTTCATTTAAAGCTAAATTTGATATTTTCAATTTATTCCTGGCAAAATGAATAAAGCAACATATTTTAAGTTTATATAAATCAGGTTCAAAAAATGTCTAGGTTTGTATAAATTTATCGTTGGTTCTGGTATGGTCGTTATTTACCATGTTGAGAAACCAAGGGGTATGATTTATTGTACCTGTCCTTTTGCAAACTTGTTTCCCATTCTAGCAGCGACTTCAAAATCCGCCAGTGCCAATTCCATTCTGTTTGCTTTTCTATGCAAAATGCCTCTTTGGCAATGGGCGAGGCACATGGTGCGTTTGTGTTGATTGTTGCAAAGATTTATAGCATTTGTTACATCCTCAAAAGCCTCTAAAAATATGTAAAAGTATTGATATAATAATAAATAGTAGCTGAAAATTTATATGAAACAAAATGGGATGTTTATAATCCATTTTGTTTGAGAAAAACATTTCGAATACTTCATCTAATAAGACCCCAAGGGAAAAGGGGTAATGTCACAAAAAGTTCCGAGAAAAACGCATTTCAAAGTACCTTATTTTTTGGAAGCTGAAAGAAACTGAAATCAAACCACCTGGATTCATTTGTTGGAGTATAATGAGCAATAAAGTTGAACAACCAGAAATAAAAATCATATTTGAATGGAAAAATCATCGAAAACAAAAAAAAGTCCAATGATTCAAGGGAAAAATGGGGAATGTCCAAATAAATTGTCAAAAAACTGGATTGTTTACTCGCAATTATCTGCTATGGTACATTTCTCCATTCTAGCCTGACTACCTAATGAGCGGTAAGTTGTCATACAGCTAGCATATCTATAATTTGATCATTTTCTATAAATTCCACGCGATATGAGTAGGAATCATGATGTAGCAATCTCATTATTTTATTCCCATCACTCAGACGTACTCGACAAGCCCAGTCAACACACCTTTTTGTCGTCAACCTCGAAATATGTCGAACAACTCTTTACCAAAACTCGTTTATACATAGAACTGCAAAGCTTTGGAATTTTGTGCCTAACAGAGTATTCCCAAGAACTTATAATCCCCAAAAGTTGAAAAAACTCCCAATACCTACTCTCCCTATCCTTCCTAGGTACCCACAATGTTCCCCAAATATTATAGGCATTCCCTTTGGTGCGCTCCAAGAGATGAAAAAAAGGTGGCCGTATCTTTTTTTTGACCTTTTGACAGTGTGAAAATAGTGGTTATAGGCTATCAGATGGCAGTGTCAAGTCAATTTCCACTATATTGTGACATTCCCCCTTTTTCCTCTGTGGTCTTCAATGGGTTGGGTGAAAGAACTGTCAGATGACCGACCCCGGAGGAACAACATAGAAACACAACCTCACTTTTCATATTTGTATATGTGATTGAAATATTTCTCACAATTATTTTGGCATACGAATCCTATTTTTCGGCTATTCATTAATTCGCCCATGCCATCACATTGTGCTGTTGTACAATGCACAAAAACTGCAGCAGAAGACGAAGGAATCCTGTTGGTACATTATGATTTGAAATTAAGTACCTACTATAGTCACTCACATATAGTTTTCATTTTTGAAACTTGGTAATTTCCCTGATTTCTCATCGGAATTCCTTCTGCAATAGGAGCTAATAGAAATACATGTGAAATTTCTGAAATAATGCATGAAGATAGGATTAATACCAAACGGGAGGACTGGTCTGACATGCTGACGAAATATGATCGTGTGTGATGTAGACATTTTCAATCTATTAGCAGTATTAGCTTGTATTGCAGAAGTGGCAGAAGGAATTTTAATAAGGAATGACAACATTTCATGATGATAACTATGTGAGATTACTATTTACCTGAAAAATCATATTCCTTCGTCTCTCGCTGCATTTTTTGTGCATTGTACAACAGCACAATGCGAAGGCATGCTTGAATTAATGAATAGCGCAAAAAACACGATTCGAATGCAAAAATATTGTGAAAAACTATTTCAATTCTTTGATTCCTCTGTAAACAAAGAAAAAAGTGTGGTTGTGAGAAATGGAGACCTTACCTTCAAATTTTCTCGAGTACTGATAAATATTAGCTCTATTGTTATACAAAGATGGCCGCCATGGAGCAATTTCTATCGCATTGTTTATGCAATTCAGAGCATCAATTAGTTTTCCATCTTCTGCTAGTAGAATTGCTTCTACCTCCAGTTTCTTCGTTTCTTCAGTTTCTGTAGACGAATCTTCTTCATCTGAATAATTCCATTTTTATATTGTAGTTCAAGAACTAAGCTATCTATGTACAGGGTGATTCACCATAAATGTCCCCCCCTCTAGCTCACTTATTATTGAACCGATTACTACTTGATTTTCTCAAAGGGAAATGATTACAGAGATATAGGGTGTTCAAAATCGAGATTTTTCAACTTTATAATTTTTTGTATGTATATTCATTATTGGTCAAAACGGCTCCAATGTCCCTATCTCAACTTTTGATTTACTATCTACTGACATTTAATTGGAACATATACAGTGTGCTTCAAGATTCAAAATTCTGATCACCGTGTATCTGTTCGAATTATTAAATGTCAGTAGATAGTAAATGAAAAGTTGAGATACGGACATGAAAGCCATTTTGACCGATAATTAATAGTTTCGTCACAGAAAAATACTGAAGTTGAAAAATCTAGATTTTGAACACCCTATATCTCTGTAATCATTTTCGCTAGACCCCAAGTGTGATGCATTGATGAAATCAGCTCTTCAGGGAGAATCTGAAAATACAATGAGAAATAGGGTGTTCCATTTAAAAAAATCAAATAGTACCCTGTAGGTCGTTTGTTCCGAGCACCTTGTATTTTCTGATGTAGCGGAAAAAACTCTATCGAAAATCATTTTAGATGATATTCAAAATTTTGCAATCGGTTCACAAAATATAGGGGAGGACATTTATGGCGAATCACCCTGTACATACCTTTGAGCACATCTGATGAACAAATTTCTGAAAAAGGAGTGTTTGGGTTGAAAATACAATTTAAAACTGCGTTATCCTTCTCACTCAATTCGGTCGTCATGATTGCTTATGAAACTTGAATGAATGTTCTACCTGACGAATTCAATAACAAATTGAGACTACAGGAATTCAAATGAGAAAACTAGTTTAACTGGAATATTTATCATAAATTTATTACAAAATTGCATAACAAACATGTAAAAAAGTTTCTATCAATTATTCGATCGACTAATAACAATGAATATTTATAAGTATCAATAGTTCCTTTTTAATAATTCTATAACAACCTTATTTGCAGCAATTTCTGAGATTCTTGGCACACTTTCGATTCTAATTATTTGTATATTCATTCAGAAAATATATAGAAACACTTGAATACAAAATATATTTCTATTAAATAGTTGTAAAAGCTGTCTGTAGGTTAATCGGTACATTCATTATTCCAAATTTTTTGGGATTTTCTCTCCTCGTTTCTATAAAATAAAAATATGAATATTATTTCAATATACGTGTAGTAAGGACAAATCAGATGATTTTCCCCAAAATGTCACTGCGTTTAAAGAATTTTCCTATCAGAGAGCCTAAAAGAAAAATTCACTAGCTTGTCAGTGACAATTTGCATTGAAAAAAGTTTGGAGAAGAGAAATAATGGTATATTGAAAAAATATCATATTTTCACTTTGGACATTTCGGGATCGAATCTGCTCCCGTTTTCAACATAAAAAATGGTTATTTTAATAGCAAAGTCGTATCTGTCTTGAAACTTTTCAGTTCTCAGTGACAATTGGTGACGTTGGCAATCAAATGAGTTACAGGATGTTTTCATTAATTAATCTTGAATTTACCATTTTCATGTTCAGATTTCGGTAGTGAATACCATGTTCTGTTTATATCGACTGAACAAGAAGCAATGCTAATGTCTCCGTTCAGAAGAATGCAAGCAGATTCCTTGATTTCTCTCTTCTTTTCCAATGAATTTAATATTATTCCATTCTGCCATATGTTGTCCGTCTTCAGTAAGGATATGTTCAGCTAGTTACGATTTATTCTTACTGAAGACGTACAACATATGGCAGAATGGAATAATATTAAAATCATTGGAAAAGAAGATAACAACCAGAAGAGAAAAATCAAGGAATCTGCTTGCATTCTTCTTAACGGAGACACTAGCATTGCTTCTTATTCAGTTGATATAGACAGAACATGGTATTCACTACTGAAATCTGAACATGAAAATGGTAAATTCAAGATTCTCAACGTCACCAATTGTCACTGAGAATTGAAAAGTTTCAAGACAGATACGAATTTGCTATTCAACCATATTTTATGTTGAAAACGGGAGCAGATTCGGTCCCGTAACGTCCAAAGATAAGTGAAAATTTGATATTTTTTCTATATACCTTTATTTCTCTTATCCAAGCTTTTTTCAACACAAATTGTCACAAGCTAATGAATTTTTATTTTAGGCTCTCTGATAGGAAAATTCGTTTAACGCAGTGACATTTCGGGGCAAATCATCTGATTTGTTCTTACTACACGTATATTGAAATAATATTCATATTTTTATTTTATAGAAACGAGGAGAGAAAATCCCAAAAAATTTGGAATAATAGTTGTAAAAGCGTTTAAACAATGAATTGTTTGCAAGAGCCTATGAAAAAATTCCAATTTGATATGAATAATTATTGTAAAATTCGTCTATTTAACAGAACAAATATTTCATCTCTTAAAAAAGCTTCCAAATCTTATCACAACCATTTTATCCTATTATCATCGCCCAATTCGATTTTCCCGGTTGCCAGTAGCTGCAGGGCTCTAGGAAAGGCTTTATGTTCTGCTAGTTTTATCCTTTCAGTTAGTGCGTCGACAGTATCATTCGCTTCTATCGGAACTACTTCTTGAACTATTATGGCGCCTGCGTCAACGGCCTCCTAAGAATTTGGAAACATGTCTAATGAGTGAAAGCTTATACATTGGAAAATGCGCATACAGTAAGGGTAGATGGAGGACACCAAGGTGCTTCTGAATAACCCATATTTCATGGGTCTATCATTCTTTATAACCAAGATACAGGGTGATTTAGTGATTTCCCCCATATTTTCAATCAATCATAACTTATTAACCACCCTATACATTTTTTTGATATTTAGTTTGTATGTTCTTTGTCCACAGTGGTGACGATTGACATAATGAAAAAAGTCTTATTCCAGGGCCGGCCTTAAAAAAATTAATAAGTAGGTTTCCAGTCGAAACAACACTCTGTATATCAATATTTTAAAATTTCATTAATAAATTTGGAAAGAGCAGGAAAAAATAAGTGAGACTGAATGTATTTGGTGTTTCCGCATACAACTTTTTTACCTATTAACTTGAGTCAAATCTAGAGGTTTCAATAATGAGGTGACACAAAATTAAAAAAAAAAAAAAAGATTTGTCCAATATTAATTGCAGAAAATCTCGAATCGTGCGGTGTGTTTGAAGTTCAATTTGAAATGAGTGCAGGTGCGGCACGAGACTGCAATTCTTTTTGGATAAACTATACTTTTCCATTTATCTAATATATGTATAAAATTCTCCTGTCCCGGTCACGGTGTTAGTGGTCGAACTCCTCCGAAACGGCTCGACCGATTCGTATGAATTTTTTTGTGCGTATTCGGTAGGTATGAGGATCGGTTGTTATCTATTTTTTGAATCGAAAATTCAAGATGGCGGATCCTATATGGCGGAAAAGTATTGTTATCCGATCTCATTCAAAATTGGTATTTGGGGGTTTTCGGTGTCGGAGATTATGATTCTTCCGCCAAATTTTTGAAATTCAAGATGGCGGATCCAATATGGCGGAAGAGTTTTGTAATTTTGATCCAATTACATTCAAAATTGATATCTGAGGGTTTTCGGGGTCGGAGATTATGGTTCGTTCGTCAAAAGGACCCCGCACATTTAGTACGTAAAATGGCTTTCGGCTAAATTTTCTGAAAATTTGATATGTTTAAGACATTATCGTTCTTATGACACAGTCCAATTTACAGATCGATCCTATGACCAGTTTTCGAGCTACAGGGTGTCAAACATTAGATTTTGGCTGTTTAGAATATTTTGCATCAATTTGAATTATGTGCTCTAAGTCGTGATTATTCTTCACTAGGAATGAACTCATCACGTCTAATATCTACCTCATGAATTCCTCTATTCGGTTAAAGGATAATATCACATACAGAGTATTGCATTCCATCATGACAAGGTAATATTCTTGGGAAAAAACAAATATTGAAAACATCAGAATTTTGATTTTTACTCAATCACTGAAAACTTGAAAACAAACGGCTAGAATCGGCCAATTATGTGACACAGTATGGGTCTTGATCATAAACATGAGGATTCATATGATTACCTCTGATACCATGTCCGGTTGGCCATATATAGGGTGATGACAATTTGAAAGCTTATAGAATTAATTGTTGTAACTCAGGTACAAAATGAGATACATCTCTATAATATATGAAGTGGAAAATGAAATGTCTCATGAAATAACATACCCCCACCAAGCCCCTGATGAGTCACAACCACCCGAACGCATATCATCTCAATAGTAGCCCCTACTTATTGTGATACCTCATTGAATAGCTTGGTGAAAATACATTTCAGTGGTATTATCCATATCTCGAACTGGGTGAACTAATAAAGAATATTCATCACCTATATCATTCTGCTAGGGTGACGTATTAATTCCGTAACTTTTTGTAGTATGGGAAAAAATCGTTATTATCGAGCATTATATAAATAACCATAAAAGTGAAATTGCTTATATGAACAGTTGGCTAGTGAAGCGAGAGAAAACTAAAATCTACAGAATGTTCTAGTAACCTAACCTAACCTAACCTAACCTGAGCTGGTCAGACGGTAAGGACACAGCTCCATTCAATCCAGCAGAACATCTCCAAGATAGAAGTTGTAAAACTGTGACATGTCCGCTATGTTTGAATTCTCAAGAGAATTTGTATTTTGATGATTGTCAAAAGCTGCTGATAGATATTTTTCACATTGTGGCTCACATTCTGGCGAAATGTTCGTATTGAGACAAGTTGTCAGACCATAATATGACATCAAGCATTGCTATAGATGAACTGATAGGCACAAGCCATGAATGATAGTACATAATGGGTCGCACTGTTGATGGCGATTTCCAAAAATATTGTTGCTTGGGTCTTCGCTGGAATTTAGCAGAGATCGTTCACTATCCAGATCTGCTTGAAGACTATATATATTTCATCCATGCGGTTATTTTTGCATATTGTTATGTGCATTACAAACTGCTGTGGAGTCTGAATGGAGCTGAGTAATATTTCTGCATTGGTAATCAGTATTCCTATTATTTCCCGATCACAAATACCTGCACATAATCATAGAAATATGAGAAAGCTATAGGAAGCTAGCTCATTCAATGAGGTATCACAATAAGTAGGGGCTACTATTGAGATGAGTATGTTATTTCATGAGACATTTCATTTTCCACTTCATATATTATAGAGATGTATCTCATTTTGTACCTGAGTTACAACAATTAATTCTATAAGCTTTCAAATTGTCATCACCCTATATATGGCCAACCGGACATGGTATCAGAGGTAATCATATGAATCCTCATGTTTATGATCAAGACCCATACTGTGTCACATAATTGGCCGATTCTAGCCGTTTGTTTTCAAGTTTTCAGTGATTGAGTACAAATCAAAATTCTGATGTTTTCAATATTTGTTTTTTCCCAAGAATATTACCTTGTCATGATGGAATGCAATACTTTGTATGTGATATTATCCTCTAACCGAATAGAGGAATTCATGAGGTAGATATTAGACGTGAAGAGTTCATTCCTACTGAAGAATTATCACGACTTGGAGCACATAATTCAAATTGATGCAAAATATTCTAAACAGCCAAAATCTAATGTTTGACACCCTGTAGCTCGAAAACTGGTCATAGGATCGATCTGTAAATTGGACTGTGTCATAAGGACGATAATGTCTTGAACATATAAAATTTTCAAAAAATTTAGCCGAAAGCCATTTTACGTACTAAATGTGCGGGGTCCTTTGGAAATTCGAAATGGCGGATCCAATATGGCAGACGAGTGTTGTAATTATGGTCAGATTCTATTCAAAATTGGTATCTGGAGGTTTTAGAGGTCGGAGATATGAATCATTTGTCAAAATGGGGAAATTCAAAATGGCGGATAGAATATAGCAGACGAGTATTGTAATTATAGTTAGATTCTATTGAAAATTGGTATCATGTGGTTTTCGGGGTCGGAGATAATGATTCTTTTGTCAAAATTTTGAAATTCAAGATGGCGGATCCAATATGGCGGACGAGTTTTGTAACTATGATCCGATTCAATTCAAAATTTGAATCTGGGTGATTTTCGAGTCGGAGATCATGATTTTTTCATCAAAATTAGGAAATTAAAGATGGAGGATCCAATATGGCTGACGAGTGTTGTAATTATGATCCGATTCTATTCAAAATCTGTATCTGGGGGTTTTTGGAGTCGGAGATTATTACTTTATTCTTCAAAATTGGGAAATTTGAGATGGCGGATCCAATATGGTGAAAGAGCTTTGTAATAAATAGTAGTTTGAAAATCTATAATGGAACACGCTTTCATAGATTGCCATACTCGAGGCCAGAAACACGTTTTCATAGATAGCCAAATTAAAAAGGAAGTGAGTAGTAAATAAATGAAAAAATGAAGAGATATAGAGTTTCGAACTAAAAAGAAGTAGAATAATAAGTAGAATAGTTTGAAAAACTAAAGGATCCCGTTTTCATGGATAGCCGAACTAACTAAAAAGAAGTATGAATGAAATAATGAAAGTTCTTTGATAAATATTCATGTAAAACATTTTTACAGGAAATAATGTTATGGCAAAACGACGTTTGCCGGGTCAGCTAGTAATCTATAAAATCATCAACTTTTTCTCATTATCCTAATTTTTGGATCCAAAATTAATTGAAAACGAGAGGACATGTCCCTATTTGGGACAAATTATTATTATGAATAACTAACTTATATGTGTAAGAAAATTATCATAAAATTCGTTCATTGTACTACATTTAAAACAACAATTATGAAAATGATAACAATGCCCATTCCGAAAAAAGTTTAACTTTATTTCAAACAAAAATGTCGTTGCAACAAAGTGTATTGAGTTAAATCCACAGACATACAACATTTTCGTTATCAAATTTGTGTCGTTAAGTCAGCAATAACTGTTATCAACGAATAAAGTTACAACACAAAACACAAGATTTTTCTCGAAAATGGTTGGTCCTATCGAAACTGAATAGGAGATAATGAGCATACAAGAACTATAGGTGTGCGATGTATTTGCAGAAAAGATCTATTACCTTTTCATGTTCGTCCTGTCATCTCAGATAAATTCATTACGAAGAGATCAATTTCATCTGAAGTTGCAAAGATATTCGATCCTCTAGGATTAGTTAGTCCAAACAACATTCATTTTCAAGTAAAAATCATAATATTTTCATATTTCCTGATCAAACTGCCGAAAATTGCATTGCAAAAAAGTTGGGGGAAGAAATACCCCTAGCCCCACCTATTTCCTACGCCCCTAATCAAAATTTCAAAAAAATCTCAATAGTTCCGGCATAAAAAAATATACACAGAGGGTTTCGGAACTATTTACATAAATCCATCATCTCTTCCCCCCTTCACAATAGATTACTCGCGAGGGGGCCATTTCTGGACCCATGTTTACATAAACTTTTTTCGCCATTTTCGTTCCTAGAATCTGTGGTTGAAATCTTTCTATGTAATTTCCGGACACCCTGTACACAAAAAACATCAAAACAGCAATATCAAGTACATTAAGGAACTCTGAACTGAGCTACTAAAATGACACCTTGTAGAAGCAGGTTTTATTGTTTATTGACAAAATGGCTTCCAGTCAGAAGTAAAATTCTGGTATGAGGAAGTTGATTACAAACAACAATAATAAAATAACACAAGGTGACAATAAGAAAACAAAAAAGGTTAGGTTTATATACTGGTTCAAATTTATTTTAGATATGGGCGCCCCATGTGAACCTATTTTATTTTTTCAATCCAAAACCGTTTGTCTAACGAAAAAAAGTCAGGAGATTATTTTTGTCAGGTTATGTTCATTGAATCATAGAGAAATGTATCCTCTTTTAAAGCATATGAAAATTAATAAACCATTACATTCGTTTTTTTATGGAATAAACTAAAAAATTTGCTAATATTTCAGTTAACGCCATCTAGCGGCGACAGCAAAAGTCAAAATATGTGCCTATGTTTGCTAAAATCGGTCGAAATAAACGGGAGAAATCTTTGTTTGTTTAAAAAAACAATTGAACCTCCCCCACCACTTTATTTTGATATAACAAAACGTTTCAGACAAAAAATGTAGGGTAATGGTCAGTTAATATGAAAATGATATCATCGATATACTTTCATTGAATAAAATTCAATAAAATCCCATTTTTCTACTTGGTGTTGGTTGTTACGACCTCTAGCGGACGTTTGACAAACTCGAAAATAATTTCCAGCAATTTTTCTTGGCGACTTTCATCATGATTTTTTTTTCTCAAATCTATACGACCAATATCTCATGAGATATGGCTGCTCGCTACTCTTAACTGATCACCCTGTACAAAGAGTTTATAAGCTTCTAGCTTCTACTCTTGTTAGTTTATAAATAAATAAATATAATAAATACAAGATGGGCCCTAAGGCAGATCCCTGTGGAACACCATTACTTATTGACAGTTTTATTAGACTCTGACATATTACATCTATACCTTTTCAACTTCAATTTCGGAATCGGTGAGTTATATTTCGGAAAAAGTAATCTCGATTTCAGAATTGGTTAGTTCGATTTCAGAAATGGTAAACTCAATTTCAGAATCGGTGAGATGAATTTCAGAAAAAGTCCATTCAATTTCAGAAATGGTAAGTTGTATTTCAGAATTATTATCGGTAGGTTCAATTTCAGAAGATGAAATTCTTTTATATGTTTGAAAGGTTTTTAATTGCAAAAGAGAAGATTGTTTACAGTGGATGAACGGTGTTTGAGAGCCCTATGTTGAATCAGATTGAACATATATGGGGTGCCTTCAAGTCAGAAGTGAACAGCTTCTTGCAAGAGCATCGCCAAAGGGTCATAGCTGGGGATCCGAACAGCTTGCTCAACCAGATAGAATTCAGACTGCGATGTCTTGAGGAATGTGCAGATCATTCAATGAAAATGATAACACCTCAAATGTGTTTGCATTCTCATAATCATATGTGCAATGCTATTATCTTCCAGCGATTCGGATGGAAGGCATCTGTGGATTAAATTGAGATTATAATTATGTTATTGAATTGTTTTTGACAAGTTGAATATTGTAAATATGGTTTGTTAATATCACATGCAATTGAAAACATTTCGAACAAATATAAGGATTTTTTTTCTAAAATTGAACCTACCAATTCTGAAATAAAACTTACCATTTCTGAAATTGAATGGACTTTTTCTGAAATTGATCTCACCGATTCTGAAATTGAGTTTACCATTTCTGAAATCGAGATTACTTTTTCCGAAATTGAAGTTGAAAAGGTATAGTGCTGATTGTCCTAAATGTGATATTATGTAGAATGACCAACTCACCTCGACGAAGTGCACCGTACACCCGCTCACTCTGGCCCCCGCCTCGATCGCCTGCCTCTGCGCATGCGTGCCCTTGAACGAGGGCAGCAGGGCGGGATGCACGTTCAACAGCCGCCCGCGCCACCCTTTCACGAACTCGCCCGTCAAGATGCGCATGAAGCCGGCCAAACAGACTATATCGACGCCGGCAGAGACGAGCGACGCGTGCAACGACGCGTCGAAAGCTTGTCTGCTCGGGTAGTCTTTGTGGCTCAGCACCTGGAATGGAAGATTATGGTGTTGTGAATGATCATAATGGGCGTGTACAGTGTGTCCAGTTTTCGATGCTTTTGCATGATATCTCAGTTATCTTTGGAGATAGAACCTTGCGGTTTTCGCGGTCCTGTGCCACTTTTTTGTGAAACTCAAGATGACCTAATCAGATTTTGCAGGACTGTTTCCGTTTATGAGATACAGGGAGATTTTGAATATTTATACTTTTTGGACCCACTCTATATCTACGAAATTCATTAGCGAAAATGTCAAATCAAAATCTTGACCCATAGAGAATTTTATGCAGAATCCAGTGGCGTACAAAAATTTTTTTTTCGGGGTGTGGTTTTGAAGATACGACTCAAACTTATGATTTTTTAAATTGAACACCCTGTATTTTATAAGCTCATTAAATTCCTTTTTTTTTTCCTGATGTATGAATATAACATTTTCAAAAATGTTCAAAAATCACTAAAACATTGAATTTTAATAGTGGGCTATGGGTTTTTCGAGGGATTTTCATATAAAGAAATTCACAATTGAAGGAATATTTCCTTTGATTGTTCCATGAAGAGGGAAATAACGATTTCAACACTAATTAACTTGCAATACACAAGACTTAGATACCTGATATCCACAAATATATAGTAATAAAAAGTTTATAATGTAGAATGAGCACCTGCGATTGAATATTTACTAAAACAATTGAATTTCGAATTATTCAGTTATTTATTCATTGAATTGTTCAAATTGATGTCCATTTTCCATCACAAACTTTCTCAATACATATTGATCATTGAAAGATGTCTTTGTAATTCCTGGAAAACTGCCTCTGTTGTTGCACAAAGTTCTTCAAGTATGTTGGGCTACTCTATTAAGAAAGTTTGTCAACTGTATGTTAGGGAAAATGGATATCAATTCAAACATGTCAATGAATAAGTTACTGAATAATTCCGGAATTCAATTATTTTAGTAAATATTTGATCAGGTGCTTATTCTACATTATGGACTTTTTATTACTATTTATTTGTTGCTATCAGGTACCCAAGTTTAGTGTTTTGTTAATTAATAAGTGTTGATATTGGTTTTGACCTCTCCATGGAAAAATTTGAAGAAATATTTCTTCAATTGGAACGTTTTTTATAAGAAAAATCCATAACCAAATATCAAAATTCAATATTTTAGTGATTTTGAGCAATTTTGAAAATTTTATATCCATTCGTTATATATCATTTTGAAGACAAAAAAATAAGGAATTCAATGAGCTTATGAAATACAGGGTGTTCCATTCAAAAAATCATAAGTTTGAGTCGTATCTCCAAAACCATACCCCGAAAAAAAAAATTGAAGTGCGCCAATGGATTATGCGTGAAATTCTCTATGCGATGAGATTTTGATTTGACATTTTTGTTGAGAAACTTCGTGGATATAGAGGGGGTTCAAAAAGTATAAATTTTCAAAATCGCCCTGTATCTCATAAACGGAAACAGTCTTGCAAAATCTGATTAGGCCATCTTGAGTTTCACAAAAAAGTAGCACAGGACCGCAAAACCGGAAGGTTCTATCTCCAAAGATAACTGAGATATCAGGCAAAAGCATCGAAAACTGGACACACTGTACACCTTAGTAGAACTTTCAACTCAAACCATGTTTAAAATGATCCTTTTATACATAAATAATGATTGACGACATTATTCGATCGAAAAATTAACTGGAATGTTTTATTTTTGGACATAAATAATAGTACCTTCTGAAAACGGACCCTCTTATGACGTAGAAACCTCATCTCGCCATGGTTAAAACTGACACTTATCACTGTTGCCATATCATCCAAACAAAATATCCGAGAGATCGAAATCGATATTGAAATATCTTTTGATATCCACTACCACTGCAGAAAAATATATTCAAGTTGTCGATTGTAGGTTGAATCATTGGAATATAAACAATCTCTAGACAACGAAATGTCTCAATCTCAAAACCATTTGCACCATTACAATTCCACAATAATCCAATATATTTCATAAACGCAGCAACATTGCTTTGTTGACCCGTTTTACATGGAGATGCAAAAAGTTAATATAGGTTAGAATTGATAAAAATCAACTTGCCGATTCACCAATCTTGGTGCTTTGTCAGAAATCATGTATCATTCATCTCTGTCTGGAATAATCTTGTTTCAGTATTAGGGTTTTGACGTCACATCATCGCCTCGTTTTCAGAGGTCCGAAAAATCGGGGATTTCAATAATTTTTTATAAAACGTAGGGAGCACACAGCAAGAAACGGTTCGCGGTGGTGAGCTAGTTTGGGTGAGTTCTATCGAATTATGGAATAAAAATGTTTTGTGATATAAGCCCATTATCATTTTCTAGAACGTTCTGGAACCGGGCCAGAACCTTCTGGGACATTCTAGAACATTCTCGAACATATTAGAGATTCATTTACGAGCATTTTTGAACGCATTGGAACATTCTCGTCCAACCCATTATCGATCACTCTGGAAGGTTTTCAAACATTATTCGGTGTCTTATCAATATCATGGAAGATTACATGATGTACTGGAGCATTCTCGAATATTCTATTCTAAGATTGAATATTTATTTATTCAATTCTGGGGATAAACACTAGATTTCTGACATTTGTTGTTTTTTAGGTTATATTGAGGACATTGGCGTATCATACTGTTACGTTATTCGGGTGCAGAAGCGAACACGACACTATTTATTTTCGAACTGATTTATTTGAACTAAAGAAACACTAATTTATATCGAACTTATAACTACTATTTATGTAAAACGATTTATATCACGCGGTATATAACTGTCTCTCTGACACTGACTGACGGCAGTTGTCCGGCTGTTTATACAGTATGATGCAAATGTATGGAATAAATTCATTATTTCAGAAATGGGCGACATTTGAAGAAATTCCAAAAACACGTGAGTTTTAATTTTTGAAACCTCATCTCATGACATTCATATGAGAGATGTTACGTCACCGGTGTTGGAGTAATGACGTAATGGACGGTTATTTTAAATACAAACAGGGGTCATGTGACACCTCGTTTGAAAGGTCTACTGATCGTCTATCCAATAGTCAAAATTTTGCAAGATTGAAATTGAAATGGATTATCATTTGGTTACCTGAATCTTGCAGAGATCTTCTACTGACAATTGAACATCGAAGGGTCGTCTAGTTGAAAAAATACATCGATAAAAAAGTTCTGAACTCTACTTTTTGGATTTTTTTCGGAAGTCGTCTTGTTTTGAAATGAATTTATTCCATACATTTGCATCATACTGTATATGAGATCCCTTGGTAGGCTTTGGTTCGAGAACGTTCTAGAATGATCTTCCGTCTCCTTTATTTTTTGTTCTAGAAGCTTCTCAGAACAATACCTCTCTGTCTAATTGTTCCATCGATTGTTTCCAGAACATTCCAGAATCTTCTGTCACGTTATTTGTCACCGCGGCATATATTGAGTGTTCGGAAATATGATGGTGCATGAAGGAATCATTGGGAGGTTTGAAAACGATCTGGGATGCGTGTTACAGGATGATCGTTGTACTCTGCCTTCCTGCTGATGTTTCTAGAGCCCCTTTAAGGGGAATATCATTACAATACGTTATTTCCACATGTAATTTCTCATTCAACTCTACATATTATATCCGAATGATGGTTGAGATATGGTGAAAAAATGTATGTAGGTATTCAAACTAATGTGCTCATATGTCATGTGTGCTGTATATATTCATGTTGGGAATCATTCTTGCAGTTTTTCACGAACACTTGATATTTCCTGAATGAAGATTTCATTTTTTAAATGGTAGGGCATATGCCTTTTCTTTTAATCCTCCGTTTTAATCAAAACTGTTTGTACTAAAATGCATTCAAAAACTTGTGGAGTGGATAATTATAGGCACAATGAGAAAGAATAATATGTGATTTCGTATTAGTTCTACCTCGAATCTTTTGCTGATGTATTTACCAATTTTCCCCATTCGATCACTTTACTTTCCATGTTCTAAGTTTATATGCATTTGATGGAAAGCTGACAAGTTCAAATTTGCCATCCAACCATAGTGGAAGGAGAAGATGGTGTGCCTACGCGCATATTATGTGACGTCATCTGGGATACCAATATCAGCTGCTAGTTACAGACAAATACCGTTGCCGTGAGCGTGCGCAATGAATTCAATCATGTTTATTGAAAATTTCTACAAGTTTCTCGATCTGTCTAGAAGTAATTCAATTTATATAAACAGGTACCTATTCCTTCGATTTTACTATTTCATTGATTCTGGAAATTGTGATCTTGAGGTAATTCTCAATCGCAATTAGCAAATACATACGAATTATCATGAATTGCCAATCCCATCTGAATGATCCATTACTGTGTAGATTCTGACAGATTAAAATTCAGCAGTTAACGATGTTGACATTGCCTTCTGCTCCGACATCGACAACATGAGTATCAATTTTTGCCGTTTTGTTATTCAAATCTTTGCTGCAATTTATATTTTGTGAGAAATTAAGAGTTTTGAATTAATTTTCAATTACTTCTGTCTTGATATACGGAAGATGTTCTGTACTAATGTCATCTTGTTTCAAATATTTGTGATTTTTTGGAGGTATGTGATTCAAGATCCGTACTTTCGCACTTGTTTGGGAACATTTCGCATGGAAATGTTTTGATGAAATACGTGCTGTAATATGAATATGATGATGATATGATAGGTGAATACTTTGGAATGAGGATATGAGGAATATCAGGTAGGTACCATTATTTGAGTTTAAATTCTGTCGGCAGCAAGCTCTCATCGTTTCATTAGGTCTCCATTCTTGGATAAACAGAAAAATTCAATATCTGTGCCTTTTGTATGTTAGTTGGAATTTCCATAACCAGAAACTAAACAAGTAGGCATTTCGAAATTATTTCATTAAATTTTAGTACTTATATAATATCTGAAGTTCGAGAGATCAATCTCGAAAACAATAACAATGACAGTTATATCCCAGCTGACGTCATGTGCAGAACAAGACGAGTTTGAGCTTTCTGTTGAGCACACCATCTTCTCCTTCCACTATGCATCCAACGGATTAATACAGCCTAACGCAGCACATTTTACCATCCTTCCAAAACAGAATTGAATAATGTCGTATATCAAGATCAAGTATGAAATTAAAATTTTGTAAGATCTCTTTTAACGCCTATGAATGTGACGTGACATCTATGTCATAACAGGGACGCCAATGCGTGAAACCAAAGTCACTAGATGATTAAAAGAGAAAGGAGCTATGATCTGTCCGTACCCTGTTAGATGAAAAATACGTCAGTTTGCATGTCTACGAGCCAGTCAAGAACTACGACCGAATTTGGCTTCAACATTTTACATGGAGGCGGATCATCTTGTTAGTGTAAATAATCGAGGCTAGCAGTTATCGACTTCCCTCTCACCTTTGTAGGGATGTTAGCCCGCTGGGCTCTTGTCAGCCCTTCGACGCCTGCGTTGTTCGATATGACCAAAACGATCTCGGCTCCGATTCGTCGAGAGGGATCTTGAGTCGCGTCTATCAGCGCTTTCTGCTAGCTAGTTTTCTCTCAAACAGGTCTCTCCATTAGTGGTCGACAGAGTTTCATCTGACTCTCTTATTATAAATGCTGGTGTTCCGCAAGGATCAATTCTAGCACCAACACTATTTCTACTCCATATCAACGATTTGTTGGAAGCAACTTCATGTCCAGTACACAGCTTCGCGGATGATAGTACCCTCCACATCGCCTTCTCTTCCAGGGCTCTAATACCAGCCAGGCAAATCAGAAACGAACGAGGGAGAAATTTTGACAACATAAATTAATATGAACTGCAACAATTCTCGAATATGAAAACACAAGCATGCCTTTTCTCTAGAAAAGCCGATCTCACTGTGCCAAACATAAGCATGTCAGGAGTAACCATACCTTTGAAGACATCCATTTCGATGCTTGGTATTACTATCAGCAATAACCTTTCTTGGGAAGATCACGTGAGATCAATTGCTAAAATTGCATCCCAAAAACTTGGTTTTCTGTTTCGAGCCGGGAGCTAATTAACTTCCAGTCAGCTGCTTATGATCTATAAGGCACAGATTCGACCTGTCCTGGAATACTGTTCCCATATTTGGAGTGCAGCACTCAAACATACCCTGGAACTGTTGGAGTCTGTCCAAAAAAGGGCAATTCGTCTCGTGGGTGATGCATCGCACACAAACTCACTCACTTCTCTGGAACAAGTGGAACACCGTAGAAAAGTTGGCGATCTGGCCCTATTTTATAGATATTTTCATGGACGATGCTCTTCTGAAATATCCTCCCTTGGCAGTCCCCGCGAGATTAACCCGTCGAGTTGAGGCTTCGCACTCCTTCGTGGTCACTTTGGAGACCTGCAGAACATCTCTTTCCAAAGACTCGTTCATCCAACGAACAGCGAGGCTCTGGAATACATTGCCAAGGGAGGTGTTCCCCGATGCATATAACCTCCAGAAATTCAAGAAGAACACCAATTCCTACTTCATTTCCCTTGGTTCCCACGATGTTCTCTGAACATTACAGGATATCCCTTTTCGTGGTAACCAGAACATGAAAAAACACCCCAATTTTTTGAGAATCTTGTGGAGTCTCAATGAAATTATGGGGATTCTCAGATCGCCAAAACCTAAAATTTTGTGAGTTCACGTATCCCAACAAATGAAACCAAGCCCCATCGCTGAAAAATGTTAGGTCCAATAGCTGGTCATCGTTGAGATTATTTTGGAACCATTGGCAGTACTCCAGACAACGTGAGATATCTAGTGGCACACCAGATTGTGAAGATAATCTCTTCAATGACGTTTGGGGATTTTGCTCAACACGCGCCCTTAGATTTCCGACAACTTCTTCCGATATTTGGGGCCTTCCTGTTGATTTCTTTTTATAAACGTTTCCAGTTTGGATGAATCTGTTGATCACTGTTCTGATGTGGGCTTTCAAAGAAGATTCTTGAATCTGTACATTAGGATATTTCGCCAGATACTCATCCTCTTGCAGGCTATTACAGAGTAACTCCATTCACCATTGATGAATGTGCCATTTTGACTATAAGACATTATAATAAATGTGTTCTGCTCCGAGGAATAAGCCATCCCTCTTTTCAACACGACAATCACGAAGTAGAAAACATAATCGTTTGAAAATGTTAACGAAAAACTGACAATTGTGAGTTTATCAGCTATGACAGTATAATGATTGATGTCATAAATTAAATTCGAATGTGTGAATCTCCATAAATGAAAGGCGGCAAATGGAGAAAATATTTCAACGGCTACTACGATGTTACGATCATTTATTGTGAGTGTTAAGATTCTGAGGCTTTGAAAAATGGACTAACAACTGGTTCTTCTGCTTACTCCTGCAATATACCTGATAGCTCCTTTTTGAATTTCAAATACCCTGGTATCAAGGATAGCAGTTTTCGACTTCTCACCTTTGTAGGGATGTTAGCCCGCTGGGCTCTGGTCAGCCCTTCGACGCCTGCGTTGTTCGATATGACCAGAACGATCTCGGCTCCGATTCGTCGAGAGGGATCTTGAGTCGCGTCTATCAGCGCTTGCAGGTTCGTGCCGCTGCCGGATATCAAAACGCCCACTCTCTTCTTGGAGACGGGCTGGTTGCGAACTACGCTCGGTATGTGAGGCCTCATGGAGGCTTCCATCACGTCGGAGAAATGCTTGACCGTCACTTGTTCTGAAACTTCAGAATGATACGCATACAGGGTGTCTGTAAAAGTTGGACATGGCTCGGCTGTGGACTCCTGGGATAAAAACAAGTTGATTTAGGTCCACTTACCTATATCCAAAATCGTCTCGTTGCGTTGGTACAAGGCGTTGAAGATTTTTTGAAAAAAAAAAAAATTTTGCTCATAAAAAGAGTAGGCTGGGATCGATTTACATAATTTTTGGCATGGCATGTTCTGTGACTGTAAGTCACGTTTTGAATTGTTTTAAATCATCATCAGTGACCTGCAAGTGTTTCAAACAACCGTATTGCCGTACAAATTGCCTGGAAGTTTGCCAGTCCGACCTCTGAAAAGTTATCACCAAATTTGTACGGCAACATGGTTGTTTGAAACACTTGCAGGTCACTGATGATGATCAAAAACATTTCAAAACGTGACTTACAATCACAGAACATGCCATGCCAAAAATTATGAAAATCGATCTCAGCCTTCTCTTTTTATGAGCAAAATTATTTTTTCCAAAAAACTTCAATGCCTTGTACCGACTCAACGAGACGATTTTGGATATAGGTAAGTTGGCCTAAATCAACTTATTTTCATGCCAGGAGTCCACAGTCGAGCCATACCCCAACCACTTACAGACATCCTGTATTTAGGTGTTCCCAATGCGATGAATTTAGATCATATTTATAGCGACAAGGGTAAATCACTTTTGCGAAACACCTGGAAGGGAGAATGCCGGTTTCTCGAATAGCACAGGGGCAGCTCCAACAAAGATAGCTTGTGTTACAGTAACCTGTCTCTTTCACACTCGTGCTGTTTAATGGCGGATTGGTGTTTACATTTTTTTGATCCAATATTTGGAGTACTTGAGATCTTTTTTTTTATCCAAACAGGCAAAAAAGTGAAGACATAACTTCATTGTTTTTTGTTATGTGATATATCGCTGAATTTGGCGTGTTTTATGTCTTCAAAAGGACTGAATTTGTTGGTGTGAATTGATTATTGTTGAAAATTTTTGTGATTTCGAATAAATACACAATGGTTATTTATATTGTGTGGCCTTTGGATGCAAAACAAGCAAGACAAACAGAAATTGTCCTCCATGGGAAGTTGAGAATTGTTCAGATACTTAGAAAAACTAGTAATTCATTTTCAGGATGTGTTTGTGGATGTTCATAACTTGGATTCTAAGGACAATGTTTTTCATATTATGGACAATGATATGCTTACTTCCAGCTCCCATGTAAATTTCCCCACAAACTGTTTCATTGGAGAAGGCCTATTCTATTGAAAAGAAAAGTGAAAACACTGAAACAGAAAGTGAAAAGGAGAATGACAATCTTGATGAGGTACTAAAAAAACATTTTGAAGGTAAAAACTACAAGTTCAAATTTTAAAACTCGAGAGCTACATCATAATATTGTCTTTTCAGATTTGCCTTTGGAGCTTCTCCTTCTCTAGAAAAAATGAAGGTGTGAGCGACGCTGATATGCATCTTTAATGATTTACGATTTTATTCGTCTATACGAATTATAATCATTGACTGCCGAATTACCAGACATTCAGAAACCTTTTTTGGCGTCTTATGGAATCTGGATCCTTTAGAAAAGCTTCAGTGATAGGCAGACCGTTGACTACTAGGACTCCAGAAATTAAAGAAGCTGTTCTGCAGGCAATTGCACAAAATCTTACGAGTCCCATGGAAATAATTCAAATGCATGGAATATTTCAAATCCCAATAACTCAAAAACAGATGCTCGCAGCAACCTCTAATTGGAATATATTTTTTACACAAAAGTGTTCTAGAAATTTATTTCTCTACTATAAAACGTGATACAGGTGCGCACAAAGATGTTATGACTTTTCAAAAGACATGTAGGTGGCGCCCACCCCACGAAAGAGACAAACTAACATAAAATTTGATATTGTCATTGAAAAATACCCCTAGATACCAAATTTGATCCGAATATCACAATTATTTCGAAATTTATCAACAAAAAGCAAAAATATAAATTCAACTTTGACACTCTGTATATCAGAAACGAATAACTTTCGGACATCTAATATATACAATTTTCCTATCCCGGTCACGGTGTTAGTGGTCGAACTTCTCCGAAACGGCTCGACCGATTCATATGAAATTTTTTGTGCGTATTCGGTAGGTATGAGAATCGGTCGTAATCTATTTCTTAAATCGAAAATTCAAGATGGCGGACGAGTTTTTTAGGTCAGGTTCCATTCAAAATTGGTATCTAGGGGTTTTCGAGGTCAGAAATTATGATTTTCTAGGAAATTCAAAATGGCGGATCCAATATGGCGGACGAATTTGTAATTATGATCCAATTATATTCAAAATAGGTATCTGTGGGTTTTCGGGGTCGGAGATCATGGTTCTTTCGTCAAAATTTGGAAATTCAAAATGGCGAATATGGCGGGCGAGTTTCGTAATTATGGTCAGATTCTATTCAAAATTGGTATCTGAAGGTTTTAGAGGTCGTAAATATGAATCATTTGTCAAAATGAGGAAATTCAAGATGGCGATCCGATCCCATTCAAAATTTGTATCTGGGTGATTTTCGTATCGGAGATTATGATTCTCTCATCAAAATTAGGAAATTGAAGATGGAGGATCCAATATGGCGGACGAGTTTTGTAATTATGATCCGATTCTATTCAAAACCTGTATCTGGGGGTTTTCCGGTTCGGAGATTATGATTTTATTCTTTAAAATTAGTAAATTCAAGATGGCGGATCCAATATGGTGAGAGCTTTGTAATAATTAGTAGTTTGAAACACTATAATGAAACACGCTTTTATAGATAGCCAAACTCGAGGCCAAACTGAATAGAAGTAGAAAGTTGATAGTATAGTTTAGAAAAGAGATAGATTGTCGAACTGAAAAGAAGTAGAAAATAAAAGAGTAGATTGAAATACCAATGAAACACGATTTCATGGATATCCAAACTGAAAAGAAGTTCAAAACAAAATAATAAAAGTGTGTTGATGAATATTTAACTAAAAGAATATTTTCTAGAAGGAAATGTATATAGCAAAACAACGTGTGCCAGGTATCAGCTTCAGCTATTGTAATTAATAGTAGTTTGAAAATCAAATGAAACATGTTTTATAGATAGCTTAACTAAAAAGAAGTGAGTAGTAAATAAATAGAAAAATGAAGAGATATAGAGTGCCGAACTAAAAAGAAGTAGAGAATAAGTAGAATAGTTTGAAAAACTAAATAATCCCGTTTTCATGGATAGCCGAACTAAAAAGAAGTATAAATAAAAAAATAATGAAAGTTCTTTGATGAATATTTATGTTGGAAAATTTTTCCTAGAAATAATGTTATGGCAAAACAACGTTTGCCGGGTCAGCTAGTAAAATATAAAAAATTCAGCCAATTCGACAGGAGCCCAATTTTCCCTATAAAACGTGCGGTGTCCTTTGACCAGATTTTCACGAACCTACGATATCCTTCCACCCCCTCCCAAAAACTCACCACTCTTCTTCTCGACCACCCTTCCGATCACCGCCCCTCCCGGCACCTCCACCATCCTCAACACTCCCTCCGCATCTCCTCCATCGACGATCAACACTCCCCCCACGCCGCAATTGAACGTGCGCAACATCTCCCCCTCACACACCCCGCCAGCAGCCGCCAGCCATGGGAAGACTGCCGGCATCCGCCATTTTGTGGCGTCCAGTTCCACGGCCACCTCTTCGGGAAGGATTCTCGGGATGTTTTCCACCAGGCCGCCGCCTGTGATGTGGGCGAAGGCTTTCACTTTGCCGCTCTTCGCGGCCGGTATCACGGATTTCACGTAGATCGTGGTGGGAGTGAGCAAGACTTCGCCTGGAAAATTACGAGCACGATGAAAATAGACTGGTGTAACCACTTGTCAATTGTTTTTTTCCAAAACGTGTAGACCGCGAAACACCGTAGCAAGGCCGCACGGGATTGCCTGTAGATGGCGTAGGGAACATCGTGCCACATATACTTCACAGATATAATGGAAATTTCACGTCTTTTTCATTAAATCAATCACTTTTTCTCAATGTTTTTAAATTACGAATCAATAAACGTAAATGTAAACAACAAAACAAAACAACCATTGTGTAGCAAGATCACTCTGGGAACAGCGCCATCTAGCGTTAGTTTTGCGCGGCCTTACTACGGTGATAGAATTTGACATAATCAAGTAGGCCAGAGGTCTACAAAAATTTCTAGGGTTTTGTAAGAGGGAGCTATTTCACCATACATATATCCACCTTTATTACGAGCATGCGGTAATGTTATGACACTGCTGTTTTGACGTTTTTTGTATGTTAGAGTACGGACACTAGACAAGCAGTGCCCATCAAACATAACCACAAACGATTCTGAAGCAAATCAGATGTTTTGCCAGACAAGGACAAGAATATGTTTTTCGCCTGGATAAAGGATCCTCGCATGCTCCTTCCTCCACAAGTCCTGGGAAGAGTACATCCATATAATCTTTCTCTGTCTTTGATTTCAGTATGAGAGTGCATAGCGTCTCCTCGAGTGGGTAAAAGGGTACGATGAATTGATTAGAAAATTATTTCTTCTCGATATATTGAATGATAAGGCTGAAGGACCTCAATGGAGGTCGATTTCAAGTTGGTATGTATATATTATATACCAACGAAATACATATACTATTCCTATGAAATGAGTCTCTTATATGTATATAAACTGCTGATCAGTGGAACCGTATCAAGCACATTTTTGCTCTAAATTCAACATTGAATATTTTCGCGAAAATTCCACTTATTCGGATGCGGTTTTCTTTATTCTGAAGATTGATCCATTGGGTATATGACAGATAGACCGCAGATGGAAATAAATGGTAACCTTTGGCTATACAGGGTGACAAACAAACCTCTGCAAAATATTGAAAAATTCTCCATGCTCCCAATTTGATGGAAAATTTTTGATAATTCTTTCAAGCATATTTTCATAATTCTTGAGCATATTGCTGATTTTCGAGAAAAATATTTTTTTTTTTTCGAAAAATGTGATAATTTGTACTACTGACCAAAAATATTCTTATTTGTAGCTCAAATACCACAGATTTTCTCTTGGATGACCTATTGGTATGAAATCTCATATTGTTCATATACAGAGTGTTTGGTAACAATATTAAATTTGATAGATATTATTACAGGAAGACCGAGCACAACACATTGATTAACTTGTATAGTGTTCGAGATTGAATGACAGCAACTTTCCTTGGAGTTGTAGAAAAAAAACGGGAGAAAGTATATACAGGGTGATATACCAAGATTGATGGAAGTTTTATACGATGAAACTTTGAGAGTTCAAAAATGTATGTAATATATCAATGAATTCTTACTCATCTCTCTTACTCTTACTCATCATTGGAAAGTTGCTCAGTGTAGAATATACGAGGTGAACTCGACTCACTATACACCGTGTCCCAGCTAAAATGTCCCCCCTTGTAAAAAATAAACCGCGAGATCGAATGACTTGAAATTTGGTCACCCAGTATATTTGATGATGCTCACTCGAATTATGCTATTGAATAAATCGTAGGTATACAGGGTCACACCGAAGTACACCTCAACTTTCTTATTTGAATAGGGACACACAGTATATTATTCCATATTCAAGTATAGTTCATTATTACAAATTGAACAATGCCGGGTTTGATGGGATTTTTTCAAACGACGATGAAGATATGGCAAAACATCAAACGACTTTGGTCATTTTCATGTCTCCTCCGTAACTTCTTTATTTATGGAAATATTCAAATAGGAATTTCACATTCTCATGGCAGTTTTTCACACCTGCCAAATTTGATCGGAGTTATGGAATTTTTGTTGAAATTTAAAAAAATGGCTGCTCCAATATGGCGGAAAAGATTTGGTCCGATTTCATTCAAAATTGGTAAGTGGGGGTTTTTAAGGTCGGAGATCATGATTTTTTTGTTAAAATTCATAAAATTCAAGATAGCGGCTTCCAAATAATTTTTTGTTTTTGTATAAATGACGATAACTCCGTTGTTATCAACACAAAACTATTACTGCGACATATCATCTGTAAGAGAAAAAAAAGTTATTTGTAACTAAATAAGTGAGCTATGACCCACATTTGAAAAACTAAAGTTGGTGCTGATATCTCAAATTCTAGAAGAGTTGGTATAAATATCATATTTTTTTCGAAATCACTTTGAAAAACTGCCATGAGGATGTGAAATTCCTATTTGAATATTTTCATAAATAAATAAGTTACGGAGGAGACATGAAAATGATCAAAATCTGTTTTTTGCGTATAAAACAAAAACGAATAGATTTTATCAAAATATATTTTCACATTATAGTTGGCCTTGACAAACTACACATTTGGTGTCATTTAACCGACTTCGTATCTCTCACCGTTAAAGATACCCATGGTGAGCATGGTAAGTTGGGACACACTGTATAGTGAAACAACGATAAACATGCTGCTGAAAAATAATCGATATAAATAAAGTATCATCAGGAGAATTGTGCAATAATTCTTATTCCCATCCAATGATTCGTCATACCTATCGTTCTGCCATCGCCACTGAACGGAGCCGGCGACCCATATCCCAGCCCGTTCATCTTCATCACCCTGCGGACCAGGCTGAACCCGTTGCTGTGCACGCCGCTGGAGGGCAGCCCGATAATCAAGTCGCCCGGCTTGATGGCGTCTAGGCGAGGCATCAACTGCGCACGCTCGACCGCGCCCACCGTGAAGCCGGCCAGGTCGTACTCGCCGGGAGGGTACATGTCTGGCATTTCCGCTGTTTCTCCACCTGAGAAGATTCGTAGGGTCATATAATGATAATAATAATTATTTAAATGTATGATTAATTGATATTCATCATACAGGACGTGGAAAGATATTCTGAATTGAGAGAAACCTTATCACGAATCTGTGATTGAGGTCTATAAACATAACAAGTCCGAATTCTAGGGAATTTTAGGTTTGAACATTTTCACCATCTACGAAATTCAGCGCACCCATCACCAAATCATCGTAAGTCTGTTTTTGGTAGCGACATCTATTAGATATAATTTGAACCTCCTAACTATACTTGGAGATATTTTGAACTCTCAAAAACTCGTAAGGTAGGTCTGCAAGAGAGGATAGGGAATAGGGTTAAGTTGTGCTTGTTGAGAAAGTGTAAATCTTTATTGTTTGTTTCATTATTTGAACTGAAATCCATGTAATAAGACACCAAAGTAAGTTCATCTTGAACTATTTGGTCAATCTTCTCGAAAACTTCGGCAGTGATTCGAAGGACAATCTTGTTAATTTTGAGCCAACATGTGAACAGACTTACGAAGTTCTGATCTTTATGTTATCTATCTAGTAGAGGACTTATAAGAGCTTCTGAGAAGATGTTTCGATTGAAATATTTGGGTTCAATATTGTTGAACCCATATTTCTCATTGTTATCAAAACTGCCGCTGATTTGCTATACATGCACTGTGAAGCAAGGCCAAACAAACTTAATGACAATTTTCACTTGTAATTGATCAAAACCAATTCAGTCTGAATAATGTTCAATTTATTTTTGTAAATACTTCGAATGTCATTTATTTGAACATTGAGAATATAAATCTTCTAAGAATATTGATTTCATTCATCAAGCAGGTACCTTTACAGATGAGGAATTGCCTTAAAAAACAGAAATTGAATCGTTCGAAGTACCTAGTGGAAAACGTTTTTTCCCCTCCTGAACCATTAGCGCTGAAAGACTTACGAGGTTTTGACAGTGACCCGACGAAGTTTCCATCGTTCAAGTTTGAACCCCTTGATTGGGTGAAGGTATTGAAAAGGAACATTCTCAGATATATTTATGGACACAAAAAAATGGATATATACATGGAAATACATTGAGAATTACAGAAAACAACTACTTTCCTGGCTATTTGCCACGTCGAACATTGAATTATATCTGTTGAATATCCAAAAAAAGAAGGCATGAAAAATCAAAATCTTCTGAAATCAAACGTTGTTCTCTATAATATAATATAGAAATTCTATAGAAGTTGATTGATTGATGATTTATTTATTTGACAAGTTGTCTAGCTATTGTCATCTACCAATATACCCTGTGATCATAATCACAATAAATACGATTGACTTTACTACAATATCATCAAATTTGACAGATTTTTTCAATTCCTATATGTTCAACTTAAGGTCCCTTGATGTAAATTGACGTATTTGTCATCTTAACTGGGTACGGACAGATCCTCGTCTCCTCTCACTCTAAAGTGTTTGTGAAACAGTTATATAGTTCCATCATTATTCATTTCTGGGGATAAACACTACATTTCTGACATTTGTTGTTTTTCAGGTTATATTGAGGACATTGGCGTATCATACGTAATTTCCACATGTAATTTCTCATTCACCTCTACATATTATATCCAAATGATGATGATAATTTTCGAGTTTTTGATTTTTCAACTCCAGCATAATCATTGTGAGGCAGTGAGCAATAAATGTTTCTGAAAGTTTAATACGTTTTACCAAATGGGACTGTTCTAAGGCAGTTCCTATCAATAAATGAATTTTGATTTCAGACTAAGCCTTATGGTTGAGAAATGATGAAATTATTTAGGTATTCAAACTAATGTGCTCATATGTCATGTGTGCTGTATATATTCATGTTGGGAATCATTTTTGCAGTTTTTCACGAACACTTAATATTTCCTGAATGTAGGTATAATTTTTAAATGGTGAAAACCAATTGTCAATAAAATACTATTTGTACTTTTTTCAGAAATTTATCCAGAAAGTACAGTCTTCTTTAGACATCATGTCGCCGTTGGACGGTGTCAGCGCTCTTATCGCATAAGTTATTAAGAATGCTATCATCGTCCATGTGCGACATGTTTTCTGAAGGCGACTGTACTCTAAAACCGAAAAGTATATTTACCAATAAGAGAGCATCCAGCTTGTCTGCATCCTTCAGCTATTCCTGTCACCACTTGCTTTGCAATGTCAATGTCCAGAGAACCGCAAGCAAAGTAGTCCAAGAAGAACAGAGGCTCCGCACCATTAGCAAGGACATCGTTCACACACATCGCTACCAAATCAATGCCGACGGTATTATGTATTCCCATTTCTTGAGCAATCTGGAATGAATTCAACTAGTATGTTCATTGCCGTTTTAAATGAAAATCTAGTAAGTAGGCGAGGTATAATATTGTCTGTTCATTGAACAAAGGAAGGGTTAATCGCAAGAACTGTTCTTGAGTTGTTGTTCCGGAACAAACTGCCTATCACACAACTTAGGTGGTGGAACTACTGTGTAACTAGAGTTCCTAAATGTACTTGACACTGCTGTTTTGACGTTTTTTGTATTCGCGAGAATCACGAAGTGTGCGGCCTCTGGTGGCTAACTTTACAAGTCTTGCGAGTATGAACAACAATAACAACAAATATGGCGTGCATTGTTTTGAGTTTCGTGATAATGTGTTTTATTTGAAAATTATTTATTTGTTGAAGTGCATATTCCAGAACCTCATTTTCCCTAATGGAAGAACTCAAATTATTGCATAAACTTTTATTATTTACAATGAATAAATCCTGGTACAGAATAACTGTATCATCAGCAAAACCCATTATATCTCCTTCCGTATCCATATAGAATAAGTTATTTATGTATATATTGAAGAATATGGGCCCTAATACTGTTCCTTGGTCCTTGGTGGTCAGGATCATCTTCCAAAAGTTCTTGAGAGTACATTAATTTGAAAGGCTTAATTTTTTCTTGCTTTAGAATCCTGTAAATTGAAGATTTACTTAAATCTTGTTTTCGTTCTATTTAAAGACATTTTAGGCAGTGGCTGCTCGTGACTTTCATGACAGAGGAGGCTGAATGATATGAGATTTATTGTGAAAAACAACTCTCTACTCGCCCAAATCAGAGATTATACACTCCCCTAGATAGGCAACGCCCGTGTTAAAACTGGCCGCGCTCGGAATGGAGCCACAAATCCAGTTTCGTTCCCGCTATTTGGAGCCCTTCGAAATTCATTCATGAAAATCGTCGCGTATCTACCGAACACTACCGAGTCCCCGACCAGTCCCGACTCACAAAATGCGTGTATGCCAAATCTTCTTTGGAACTCTCGACGTGGTGTTCGAACCAAATACAACTACCGCTCGACCGTCCCTTCCCCCTCGCTCGACCATCCCTTCCCCCTTGCCACCCTTGCTCGACCTTTCGCCACTTCGCACACGTGCCGCCTATCCCTTCATCTCTAGAGCAGGTATAATTTTTAAATCTGGAGTCTGGAGGTGCCTGGAGGCTGGACATATCTTGCCATTTTATTACTTATTAATGAATTATTGTTGTTGTATGTGATTTCGATGCGATTGTTCTCTTTTATTTCTCATTATTGTGTTTACCTATCTGGTTATTACTGTATTGTACTCTGTGACCAGATATCAGGCCCGGACTGGCTACTATTTGGCTACCGGGCATTATCTTTGACCGGCCCCCAATTCTGAGGTCTGTTTTCTTCGGTATGAATAATTGTTATTTCATTATGTTTATTCATAAAAAAATCAAATGAAAACATTTTCATTCCTCCGACAATAGATAGAACAGAACATAAATAAGAAAAAATAAATTAACTGATACATTTAGTTATAGTGAAATTGTGAATTTCAAATATACTCTAGATTTCTCCTCAAAGCTGGTGCCATTATTGGTCTATTATATCTGAATTTTTCAATTTGCTTAATATTGTCTTTTCCACAGACATCAACATAAAGGCTTCCAGCTTCTCTTGTGTCATTGAACTCCTCAGCATGTTTTTTTTATTATTTTCAGTTTAGAGAATCCAGTTTCACATGAAACTTGGGTTGATGAAAATGTTAGTACTAGTAACTTGTACGCAGCGAATAAATTCGCATACGCGGAACAATATAGGTTATATTTCAGCAGTAACCTATGTAACAGCAATGTAAACAATTTTTGCACAACCCCTTTATACTCTTGCTACATTTAATATAATCGGATCCGAGCTTTTCAATGTCTTCATCGTTATCTACTTCCGCTTCCGATGATAAAACCGCATATTCCTCACACAGAGTTTTTGAGAGCGTTTGCCATTTGTTTGCAAAATCAACCATTTCGGCCCTTAGGATCTCTGCTGTGATATCAGGCATAAATTTGTTGAGTAAATTGCTCAACTTCGTGAAAGCTTGTAACGATATTCCCGAATCAATGAGTTCTTTGAAGTTATCAGGATGCATACAGCTTATATCAGCATTGAGTAGTCCATGTGGTTGAAATCTGCGTTCTAGAGTACTAGCGACCGTATCAAAAATGACATGATGGACTTCAACCATATATTTTTCTGTTGCAGTTTTCAAAGTGATATGTGTATTATATCCACCTGATAAAATTTTGGGCTTGTGAACTCTTTTTTCTGGTAGATCTTCTACAACTGATTCAGAATTTTGTCTCTCTAGTTCTTCGTTAGCAATTGAAGCAAATCTACTTGCTGATTTGTGAATATTTTCAAAATCTCTAGATATATTTTTAATATCTTCTAAAACGTGCATCGCCATTTTGTAAGATTGTAAAACATCTAAACCTTCTGTTTGCAAGTATTTAGATAGAGAACTCGTGTATTTGAATATTCGTAAAAATATAATGGCTGTAATAATGGTTTCGAAAGCTAAAATTTTTTGCAATATATCGTTGGCTTTTTTTCTCAAAGTTGCGTTGTAATGCTGTGAACTAAAGAGATGCTCTAGGGTTAGAATCAATTCAACATATAAACCTTTAGGAGAATCACTATTTAGTTCATCATAGTCGCCAAAAATTTTTCAAGGCATCAGATTTCGATGACCATCTGGTCTCACCTATAGTATTCAATCGTTTATGTTGCTTGCTCTGAGTATTTTGTGTCCATACATCCATTCGCTTATATGATTCTCTTAGAAAAACAGCACAGATATTTAGGTTTTCGAATATTACAATTATGAATCTGACTATTTTTATTTAGATTATGAGACTAATCTGTGATGAAAGCGATATTCGTGTAGAATCAGTGCCTCACAAAATTATCTATCGCGGCCCCCCGGCCCCGGTTTGACGCCGGCCCACCGGGCATTTGCCCGGTTGCCCGCCGGGCCAGTCCGGGCCTGCCAGATATTCTCTGCTTTGACGATCATGAATCGCCCTGAGGACCACCGTAGTGGAAATAAATGTAGTTTTTTCAATTGTGGAATATGCCAAAGAGACGATGAAACTTTACAAATGTTTCGTGTTCCTAGTGATACTCGTGCCGAACAGTGGATTTTAAATTGTGGTTAGTTGTAAGTTTTTTAGTACTTTTTTTCAACAAACCTCAAGTTATAACAGAGAGAGTTATTGTTTTTTTTTTTCAAAAATACGTATAATTTGAATCTTTTCAATCCTGAAGTAGGTATGCTTAGAAGGGGTTGAAATATTCAACCCCTAAGACATTTTTTCTTACAACTTTTCTTGGATGAAAAATTTTCTTTCAAAAAGATGTCAAATTCTTCGAAGTTTTGGAAATTACTTTTAGAAAAAAAAGTTAGTAAATAAATTTTCAGCCATGTTTTTTCAAAATTTCATCCAATAAAATAGTTGTAAAAAATATCAAGAGGTTGAATTAATATTTCAAACCCTTCTATTAAGCATACTTTATATATAGGGTTGAAAACATTAATGACAAATAATATTAACCAAGTTTCGTATCTTACAGGAAAAATAAAAATGAAACGAAAAAAAAAAATGTTTCATCAACATCGGAGGGGTGTAACTTTTCCGGGGAGAGGTTTATCAAAAATCACCCCTTATATATTTTTTTGGTGTTATTTAGATACACCCTGTATAGGTGTTTGAATATATAAAAGAACATCCTAGATACATTGAGAATAACAAATAATTATTTGAAATGACCTTTTGTTATATACAGTGGTGTCCCACTTATTTGAGCAGCCTCGCCCTTGTATTTTCTAATTCGTTTTCCGATTCGATTTTTTTCTAAAAGAATGCGATTTCCATTTTTTGGTACCTACCTATTCCATTTTCACATTGCACTATTACTGGACGATAGAAAATGCGAAACGATCAATTATTGATATCATGCTTTTTTTAAGCAAAAAACTGAAAACATTACAGCACTTCAAATAATCTCTAGAATATAATATACAGTGTCTTCAGAAAGTTTGTGTCTATTTAGATTTTACACATTTGTTCCAAGTTTGAACGCATTTTCTGGGGTGTGTATAATTGGCGGACTGGAAAAAATGCTGCGGACTGGCTTTTTCCAGTAAACAAATCGTTGTTTTCATTTCATATCTGGATTGAGCTCATTGACCTAAACGATAAAAAGTTTACGAAATTTTTTCCCAGCCCCCCTGGGAGCACTTTACTCGTTTATTTTTTCGTGAAATCTTGCGGACTGGGTATTTTTAACAATAAAATCATCTCAATTTTCTCAAAAATCGATTCATCCCATTAGCTTACACGATGAATAGTTTTTAAAGTTTCTCCCTAGCCCCCCTGGGGAGCACTTTACTCGTGTGTTTTTTCATAAAATCTTGTGGGCTGGGTATTTTTACCAGTCAAGTCATCTCAATTTTCTCAAAAATCGATTTATCTCACAAAAATACAGGTTTAAATTTTTTTTAAAATTTTTCGCAAGCCTTCATGGGGAGCACTTTACTCGTTCGTTTTTTCATAAAATCTTGCGAACTGGGTACTTTTGTGAGTCAAATCATCTCAATATTCTCAAAAATCGATTTATTCCATGAGCATACACGATGAGTAGTTTCTAAACTTTTTCCCTAGCCCCCCGGGGAGCACTTTACTCGTGTGTTTTTTTTCATAAAATCTTGCGGACGCTGATGAGGCGTCATTGGAATAAGCAAAATAGGGTACAAAAAAAACATCCTATCATAGATGAGAGAGAGAGAGAGAACACCAATTCCTACCTTATTTCCCTTGGTTCTCACGATGTTCTCTGAACATTACAGGCTCGATTACAGGATATCCCTTTTCGTGGGAACCAGAACATAAAAAATGTATAACATCAAAACAAAAATAAATAAATTTGGTAACAACAGAAATAATATCACATTTTTCAGTATTGTCAGTATCGCATATTTGAAATATGAAAATGTAAACATACCGGAAGATTTTATGAAAAAACACACGAGTAAAGTGCTCCCCAGGGGGGCTAGAAAAAAATTTCAGGAAACTTTTCATCGTGTATTTTCATGAGATAAATCTATTTTTGGTAAAATTGATTTGACTTGCGAAAAAAACCCAGTCCGCAAGATTTTATTAAAAAACACACGATTAAAGTGCTCCCCAGGGAGGTCAGTGAAAAAATCAGAAACTTTTTATCGTGTAGTTCAATAAACTGAATCCAGATATGCAATTAAAACAACGATTTATTTGCTGGAAATAGCCAGTCCGCAAATTATACACACCCCAATTTCTGTAATTTGAAAGTTGTTACTTCGACAAAACTGTTTTATACCAGAAAATTTAAAAATACCAAAAACTAAATGTTGCAATAGAGCATTCGAATTTGAGAGGAATGTGTAAAATCGGGAAAGAAATAATTTCGCGTAGTGAATGTTTTTGAAATTCAAACGAGTAAGCGTACTTTAAATGATTGATTTGAAAAATTCTTACTTTTAACATCTAGTGAAAGTCACGTGACTCCGACCTAGCCAGCCATTTTAGATATATGTTACTTAAATCTCTTTATTTTCATATTTGGGACTTTTTCTGAAATAAATACCAAGTGATTCGAAAGTTTTCTTTTACATTTGTTTCTCACACCTACCTATTACACTTAAACTATAAGCTTGGGCATGTTTTGAATGTGTATGACACTATATTTATCGTTTGAAGTAATTGTATGTACCTAATTTGGTGTTTTCAGCTTTCATTCATAACCACAGGAGTAATTAAATATTTCGTGCATAGAAACATTTGTTCTTTTCCGAAAATAATCAATGAATAGATGAATTAGTTTGTGGAATAGAATCGGATCATAATTACAAAACTCGTCTCCAAATTGGTTCTGCCATCTTGAATTTACTAATTTGTACGGAAGAATCATAATCTCCGACCCCGAAAACTCCCAAATACAAATTCTGAATAGAATCGGATCATAATTACAAAACTCGTCCGCCATCTTGTATTTCCTAATTTTCATGAAAGAATCATAATCTCCGACCCCGCGAAAACCTTCAGATACATTTTTAATAGAATCGGATCATAATTACAAAACTAGTCCGCCATATATTGGTTCCGCCATCTTGTTTTTCCTGATTTTGACTGAAGAATCATAATCTTCGACCCCGAAAACCTTCAGGTATCAATTTTGAATAGAATCGGATCATAACTACAAAACTCGTCCGCCATCTTGAATTTCCTAATTTTGACGAAAGAATCATAATCTTCGACCCCGAAAGCCCCCAGATACAAATTTTGAAGATAATCAAATCATAATTACGAAACTCGTCCGCCCTATATTGGTTCCGCCATCTTGTATTTCCTTATTTTGACCAAAGGATCATAATCTTCGACCCCAAAAACCTCCAGATACCAATTTTGAATAGAATCGGATCATAATATTAAAAAAACTTGTCCGCCATATTGGTTCCGCCATCTTTAACTCTCTAATTTTGTCGAAAGAATCATAATCTCCGACCCCGCAAACCCCCAGATACAAATATTGAATAGAATCGGATCATAACTACAAAACTCGTCCGCCATCTTGAATTTCCTAATTTTGACAAAAGAATCATAATCCTCGACCCCGAAAGCCCCCAGATACAAATTTTGAAGATAATCAAATCATAATTACGAGACTCGTCCGCCATATATTGGTTCCGCCATCTTGTATTTCCTTATTTTGACCAAAGGATCATAATCTTCGGCCCCAAAAACCTCCAGATACCAATTTTGAATAGAATCGGATCATAATATTAAAAAAACTTGTCCGCCATATTGGTTCCGCCATCTTTAACTCTCTAATTTTGTCGAAAGAATCATAATCTCCGACCCCGCAAACCCCCAGATACAAATATTGAATAGAATCGGATCATGATTACATGATCGTCCGTCATATCGGATCCGCCATCTTGAATTTTCTAATTTTCACGAATTTTAATACTTTTTAATATCCCATTCCGGACTAAGAGAAATCCGAAAATAATCAAATATATTGGACTTACTTTTATATAGATAATTAATGTACCTAGATAATTCGTAATTTTGAAATATAAATTAATTATTATTCGTATTTCATAAATAAATGTCAATATTTTCAAGTAGTCACGGCGTGAATCCAAACTCTCCTTGAAAATAATCATCGTCTCGGCTGGTCTCGGTCATCTCAGATATAATAAATTAGCACTACCAATATAGTAGGAGTCTTGGCAACGATGTAAATACCAGTGAATGGACGTAGTAAATATCGATTTTACTACAGCTTCAATATTCTATCCACGATAGACAGCGACATCTGTTGAAACACATTCACAACTCGAAAGACGTTGCCTCTCATGCCATATACAGTGTTTATCTATGGTCTGTATAATCTCTGCCCAAATCAATAGCTTTAATGACATTCTGTTTACCAGTTAACCTGAACTTAATACTTGAAGAGATGTGTTCCTGTGATTCGCAGTGTCTATCCAATCCACGAGCCAAATTTTTCAAATCATTATATCCTAATCGCCCCCAACATGATGACTTATCGGTTGAAAATAATACGCAGTACCAACAAAATAGCTTATTCCTTACCTCAGATCCCGTCAGCCAGATATATTTTTTATAATCATCAGAATTGAAGGAACGATTTTGTCTGTTACCTGTTACAATCATATTTTTTGATTCCGGTGTCGGACGTTTGTTTTTCACAATAAATTTATCTTCATAAGACAAAGCACTGAATGGGTTCACCAAAAAGTATTCCACTAAATTGCAATCGTTGAAAACACTCACTTTTCAGAAATTTATAGAGCCCCTAACCATTAACCAAACATAAACATAAACAATGCCCGCAATTCGCGACACGACAAACACGTGCTATTCGGGCGTATTCGGGCATTTGCATTGCGCGAGTGGGTTGCGCTCAAGGTTGCGCTTGCGCATTGTGAAGGAGTCTATCCACCTATAGATGTTGCCAAGTTGAATATTTTACGCGTGATTTGCAGACTTCAACGTGTGATGCGTGGGCAAGCACTGTTGCCAATTCAAAAATATTTACCTAAAAACAGGAAATAAAATCAAAATCCATGTATTTTGGTGTCCTTTTAATGAGAAAGTATAGATAATATCAGTTCAAGGAAAATCTCCGAGGAGGCTCAGCCTCCGTTGCCTCCTCTGAGGAGTCGCCACTGATTTTAGGATTCTCTTCTAAAGATAATAGGATATTCAACTTATTGTCATCTGTAGTGGCCGTTTCAGGTCGACCAGTTTTCGGATTTGAAACACTTGCAGGTCACTGATGATGATCAAAAACATCTCAAAACGTGACTTATAGTCACAGAACATGCCATGCCAAAAATTATGAAAATCGATCTCAGCCTACTCTCTTTATGAGCAAAACAATTTTTTTCCTAAAAAACTTCAACGCCTTATACCAACTCAACGAGACGATTCTGGATATAGGTAAGTTGGCCTAAATCAACTTGTTTTTATCCCAGGAGTCCACAGCCGAGCCATGTCCCAACCTTTTACACCCTGTATATTGAAATAAAACGCATAATTTTATTTTATAGAAACGAGGAGAGAAAATCCCAAAAACTCAAGTAAAATTAGTAGTATGGCTTACTTTCAGTTTGGTTCCGACCCCGTCCGTCCCGGAAACGAGCAGAGGGTCCTTGTACCCGGCCGCCCTGGCGTCGAAAAGGCCTCCGAACCCGCCCAGGCCGCCCATGACGCCCGACCTCGCCGTCGACCGGGCGGCCGGCTTGATGTGGGCGACCAGATCGTTGCCCGCTGATATGTCCACCCCGCTCTGTTTGTACGTAGTGCGGCCGTGCTGCAAAATCGCCCTGAAAAAGGGTTGAAAAAACGCGAATGCAAGTGTAAAAACCTCAGAGTAACCTGCTGAAAATAGTTATCTACGGGTTGCGTGCAAGAACTGTCAGATGACCGACCCTGGAGGTGAAACATTGAAACACAACCTCACTTTTCTTATTTGTTTACAAGGGATTGAAATAGTTTTTCACGATTATTTTGGCATAGGAATCATGTTTTGCGGCTATTCATTATTTCGCGCCTATTCATTATTTCGCGCATGCCATCACATTGTGCTGTTGTACAATGCACAAGAAATGCAGCGGGAGACGAAGGAATCCGGTTGGTACATTATGATTCAAAAGTAAGTACCACATGTAGTTTTCATTTTGAAATTTGGTAATTTCTCTGATTTCTCATCGGAATTCCTTCTGCAATAGGAGCTAATAGAAATACTCCTGAAATTTCTAAAATAATGCAAGATTGGATTTATGCAATCAAACGGGAGGACTGGTCTGACATACTGACGAAATATGATCGTGTGTGTTGTAGACATTTTCAATCTACTAGCAGTATTAGCTTCTATTGCAGAAGTGGCAGAAGGAATTTTAATAAGGAATGACAACATTTCATGATGATAACTATGTGAGATAACTATTTACCTGAAAAATCATATTCCTTCGTCTCTCGCTGCATTTTTTGTGCATTGTACAACAGCATAATGAGAAGGCATGCTTGAATTGATGAATAGCGCAAAAAACACGATTCGTATACCAAAATTGTGAAAAAATATTTCAATCCTTTGATTCCTCTGTCAACAAATAACAAACGTGAGGTTGTGTTTTAATGTTTCGCAGAAGAGTGAGGTTATGTTTCAATATTTGACCTCCAGGGTCGGTCATAGTGCACGCGACCTATACTAAAATTATAAAGAGGAAACATTTGATTGTTTGTTTGTATGTATGTATAGAATAGGCTCCGAAACTACTAGATCTATTTGGCTGAAAATTGGTGGGGAAGTAGCTTAGAACCAGGAGATGGTTATAGGATACTTTTATATCCCGGTACCATTAGGAAATTCAAGATGGCGGATCTAATATATCGGGCGAGTTTTGTAATTATGGTCCGATTCTATTCAAAATTGGTATCTGGGGGTTTTCAGTATTTTGAGTAAATCAGACAGAAATATATATTCTTCAAATATCTAAGAGGAATGAAATTTCGTCAAAATTGGGAAATTCATGTGAACTAAAAAGAAGTTGAAATAAATGGTAGTTTGAAAAACTAGAGAAACACGCTTTTATAGATAGAGAAATTAAAAGAATGTAGAAAATAGAATTATAATAGTGTCTTGATGAATATTGAACTGAAAAAATATATTATAGAAATAATGTACCTATATAGCAAAACAACGTTTGCGAGGTCTGCTAGTTTATTATACAAGGGAAAAAAGTAGTAGATTCTAGCTCGAGATGACAAAAAGCCGTAAGCTGAAATCTAATATTTTTTCCGTGTATAATACACTATTTTATTCTGTAACAAGAGAAAGGACAAATCAATATTGGGAAGATTCAATATGACCAATGACAACAGTATTCACTGGTCTCAATATTGAATAATTATATACTTGCAAGATGCTTCAGTACCAATAAAAATATCGTAGTATTCCTAATAATGATCGAGATTCTATGCAAACCCAAATTATCTTGTGGCCCTGGTAACAGCTTAATGCCTAGAGTTCCCAGAATCGCGTTTTATGCGCTATTCATTAATTCAAGCATACCTTCTCATATTGGGCTGTTGTATGTACAATACACAAAAAATGCAGGGAGAGACGAAGGAATATGTATGTCGAACATTTGCGATGATTTTAAATAATGGATGATTGCATCAAATATGTGGCGTAAATTCCACTAGTGTGTACAGAGTGATTCATGTCCCCCCCCCTCTAGGTCACTTATTTTTGAACCGATTTAAAAATTTGAAGAATAATCTAAAATGATTTTTCAGAAAAAATGTTCCCCTTGCATCAGAAAATAAAGGGTGTTCGGAATAAACGATCTACAGACTACTACTTGATTTTTTCAAATGGAACACCCTGTATTTCATTGTATTTTTAGATTCTTCCTGAAGAGCTGATTTCCTCAATGCATCACAATTGGGGTCTAGCAGGAATGATTACAGAGATATATTATGGTGTTCAAAATCGAGATTTATCAACTTCAGGATTTTTTTCTGTGGAAACTATTCATTATTGGTCAAAACGGCTTTCATGTCCCTATCTCAACTTTTGATTTACTATCTACTGACATTTAATTCGAACATTTACAGGGTGGTTCAAGATTCAGAATACTAAACACCCTGGATCTGTTCCAATTATTAAATGTCAGTAGATAGTAAATGAAAAGTTAAGACACAGACATGAAAGCCGTTTCGACCGATAATGAGTTTCGTCACAAAAAAATCCTAAAGTTGATAAATCTCGATTTTGAACACCCTATATCTCTGTAATCATTCCTGCTAGATCGCAATTGTGATGCATTCAGGAAATCAGCTCTTCAGGAAGAATCTAAAAATACAATGAAATACAGGGTGTTCCATTTGAAAAAATCAAGTAGTAGTCTGTAGATCGTTTGTTCCGAGCACCCTTTATTTTCTGATGCAAGGGGAATTTTTTTTCTGAAAAATCATTTTAGATTATTTTTCAAATTTTTAAATCGGTTCAAAAATAAGTGACCTAGAGGGGGGGGACATGAATCACCCTGTACACACTAGTGGAATTTACGCCACATACCTATTTTATCATTCCGTGTATAAATAGTATTTGATGCAATCACCCATTATTTAAAGTCATCGCAAATCTCTGTAATCATTCACACCCTATATCTTTGTAATCATTCCAGCTAGACCCCAAGTGTGATGCATTGATCAAATCAGCTCTTCAAGGAGAATCTAAAAATACAATGAAAAATAGGATGTTCCATTTGATATAATCAAATAGTACTTTGTAGATCGTTTGTTCCGAGCACCCTGTATTTTCTGATGTAGCGGAAATCATTTAAGATGATATTTAAAGTTTTGAAATCGGTTCAAAAATAGCTGAGCTAGAGGGGGGGGGGGGGAATTTATGGTGAATCACCCTGCAACCCCATTTCAATGATTATTTAAAAAATTTACAGAGTTCTGGGGAAATACGGCATGCGACAGTATACTAGTTAGGGTGAGAACTTCGAACTGATGAAATACAATTTTTCACTGAAACATTTTTTTTATGTTCTGGTTCCCATGAAAAGGGATATCCTGTAATGTTCATAGAACCAAGGAAAATAAGGTAGAAATTGGTGTTTTTCTTAAATTTCTGGAGGTTATGCCTCGGGGAACACCTCCCTTGGCAATGTGTTCCAGAGTCTCGCTGTTCTTTGGATGAAATGTAATTGGTAATAGATGTTCTGCAGGTCTCCAAAGTGACCATTTATGGCCACAAAAACGAAAAATGCCATACCTAGCGATCCCTTTGTGAGCGATATCGGTCCGATGCTGCTCGCCCTCGAACCGTATGATCTCGCAAGCGGCGGTCGCTCGAGCCGCGGCGGTGACCAGTTGCGGCGCTATCGCGACGGCAATCAGCACCCTGCCGCCGTTCGTTACGACGCCTCCGTCTTTCGTCGCGACGCCGCCGCTTTTCGTCGCAGCAGCGGTGCCGCAGTGAAAGACCACGTGGTTCGGTAGGGAAGTTACTCGTTCGATGCCGGATATGAGTTGGCCTTTGCTGGATGATTCTGGGTAGCCTGGAATGGGGGAAGTTTTCATGAAATAAGTTTGGGATTCCTCAGTTATATGTCCACGTTGTACAGATTGGCGATCGATAAAGTCCAAGTCGTTTATATTTTCAAAATAAAGTAATTTCCAATGGGGAAGTTTCCTTCAGATGAATTATCATAAAATACGATAGTGAAAAATTATAAATTCTTCATTAGTAATCAATTTCATTCAGCCAAAGAGCAATTTATGGGAATTATTCGTAATACTTGACAAAGTAGGATTGAAGAACCTATCATATCCCATTGCTGTTATGATATAGTTATTATGCATTCAAAGAATAATTTCTGGAAATCTAGACATATTGATGATGTCGGCAACGTCGTACTGGCACAGGGAATCGTATTTTAACTCTGTGTGAATTTAAATTCTCAGAAAGTAAGGAATGGTGGAGTTCCTCTTTTATTAATTTTTTTCTGAAGTGAAATTTCATCTGTCTCAAGGGACAGACATTACAGCATCCAACACAAGGGGAAAAGAAGGCAACATTTCGAACTTTTAATTGAAATATCTCGATAAATAGTGGTTTGTTCACATTTTCACTATCAAATTCGTGTTAGCGACTAGCCAGATGCCGGACGCCCTGTACCATTAGAAGCACAGAGCTACAGTTGGTGGATACATAAGGTTTAGTCACCTATCCACAAATGACTGTATCTGATCAGGAGGCATTCAGGTTGATTCATTCTTATTTGAAGCGTTGTAAAGAATACATTGTGATAAGTGTTAATAATGGTGGAATGTTTCAGAGGGACTGATTCTGTTCTGTCAACCCTATACCGAGCAGTACTAATATCCGTGTTTGTCAGATAAAAATACGTAAGTACCAAGAAAAAATTTCCCGAAAAAACCCATCGCATGATAAATGCAGTTTTACCATTTTTAATATGACTCACCTCTAGAAGCCATTACGACGCCGACAGCGCTCGCGTTCTCTTTCCACCGTAGCTCCTGGCTTTCCAAAGTACCCCGGCAACAAGCCGCCATGATGTCGTACAGATCCGATTCGAGCAGGGGCAGGATCACTTCCGTTTCCGGATCGCCGAAGCGGCAGTTGAACTCCAACACTTTGGGTCCGTCTTGCGTCAACATCAAACCGGCGTACAACACACCTAAAAGTTACAGCCTTGATAGTCCTTTGATGGAAATTGACGTTAAAGTCATCTTAACAGGGTACGGACAGATCCTCGTCTCCTCTCACTCTAAAGTGTTTGTGAAACAGTTATAAAGTTCCATCCTTATTCAATTCTGGGGATAAACAGTGTGAATATACCATGCATGCAGATGATACAGTACTTTTATATGAAGGCAAGAATCCTTCAGATTTAGAAAATATGATAAATGAAGACTTGAAAATATTTGAAAAATGGCTCCAATCTAACCTTTTATTGATAAATACTAACAAAACAGAATATATGATTTTTCACCAACAAAATAAAAAAAAAATTCACCTCAACCTTAAAATAAAAAATGAACTCTTGAAACAAACTGACCAGATAAAATATCTTGGTATTTGGTTTGATGACAGGTTGAAGTGGGACAAACATATTGATGTTCTGACAAAAAAAATATCTCCAATTATTGGTGCATTGAGAAGATGTCCCAAACTTGATATTAAAATTGCAAACATGATTCTCTACTCTCATATACTGAGTCGTATCAACTATTTAATAAATGTTTGGGGATCTTGTTCAAAAAATAATTTCAATAAAATATCAACATTATATAGAAAATCGTTAAAAGTATTGTATCGTCTCCCATTTGATACACCAACCAATCAATTGTATGAAATAACAAATACGTATTCTTTAGATGAAATATATAGAAAAAATATCATATAATATCATAAATAAAAAATTGAAGTCGAATATTATTTTGATACGGAATTCTGAAATTCATAATCATGAAACTAGACAATATAAATTGTTCCATCTTGACGCCGCTAGCTCCCTAATCGGACAAAAAAGATTCACTCATTCAGCCTTAACTGAATCCAATAAACTACCTGATAATATAAAAAATTGCAGAAACATAGGTATATTCAAAAATTAAGTAAAAAAACTGATTATTTCTCAGCGGACTTGATAAAATTAATCATGCCATTTTTTTTTTTTTTTACAAATATTATTCTTTGTTTGCCAATTTACAGTTGTTGATATATTTTGAATGATGCTATGTTTACCTATAGGTATATAATTATGTACTTCCTCATACCAGAGCCTATTCTGTCTGGAAGTTATTTGTTCAATAAATAAATAAATAAATAAATAATTTCTGACATTTGTTGTTTTTTAGGTTATATTGAGGTCATTGGCGTATCATACGTAATTTCCATATGAAATCCTGATTCAACTATACCAAGATATAGATGAATAATCCTCTAGTTTGAGAGTTTACTACTCCAGCATAATCTACCTCGAGGTAGGGAACATATAAATTGTAATGAGAGTTTAATATATTCCACCAAAAGATACTGTTCTTAGACTGTATACCAGGGTTGACTGAATTGACTGAATTAATTCTGATTTCAAGCTAAGCAGTAGTTTATCTATGAGCTGAATTGATTGATTGATTGTCTTTATTACCCCAAGAAACATAGTTGTTTATAATAGGGATACATAAACAATATACATAATGTTATACATACAATTATGAAATTATAATAAGATATAACAAGTAATATCAGAAGATAAAAAACTAGACCAAAAAATTGATCAAAGCACTCACCTACAAATTTAATATTTTCCTTCCTGAAACCTTCTAATGTTTTTTCCAGAATTTCATGCTGAACAAACTCCAACTGTGCAGAACTCAATAATGGGCAAGGACAATAAGCTCCCATGCCCCCAGTGTTGGGGCCTTGATCATTATTGAAGATTCTCTTGTGATCTTGAGCAGGTAACATAGCTTTAATGCATGTTCCATCAGAAAATGCCAACACCTACAAGAAATAAATCAATCAGTTTTGTATAGGCTCAAAATTATTTCATTACATAGTAATAATGGAACACACTATTGAAAATACACAGAAAATAATTATATTAGTAGTTTCTCTAGGTACATTTTATGTGAATATTTCATCATTCATCAATCAGCAATATATATAAATATTGAACTCCAAATGTTAATACACTCAGTTCCAAAAAAAGTACGCACTTGATATTTGACCTATCTTCTTAAAAAAAAAAAAATAGTAGGCCGATTTTTTTTTTATTTATTTGTTGGTAGGTCATGCATTTGTCTTAGAAAAAAAAAATAAAGAGGTGAAATTTTTTTCAAAGCCTCCTGGTGGTGGTGGTGGAATGACTCGAACCATGATTTATTCTTAATTTTTGACTCACCCTGTGTGTTAATTGAGTAATGGCATAGAAAGTGCTAACGCCCTATACGAAAGAGGCTTCTTTTGCAAGCACTTTGTTTTTTATTCATTGATTTATCTCTAAAATTTTCCGAATTACAGCTTTTTTGCTGATACATTACGCTTATCCCACAAATTGAATTTATTGAAGGATCAGAGTACTCAAAATTGATTGGGTTGTACTCTGGTAGGATCACAATGTCTTTAAAAAAACTAATTTGTTGTATGCCTCCATATTTGACCATTTGTCGTTGTGTCATTAATCAAGTGTCTTGTTTTATTGACTAAAATTACATAAAATTCCTCAAATAAATCCTGAACAAGTAGCCAGATTCGTTGCGTTAGTAAACGATGGGCGTAGTAAACGTTACGCCGCTCGTGCAGTGGGAGTTCATGAAGCAACTGCTCGTAGAGCAATCCGCAAGTACGAACAAACAGGAAGCACCGCTCGGATGATCGGTTCTGGTCGCTCCCGAAAAACTTCTCCAAGAGATGATCGCCTCTTGAGATTGCGGATTTTACGGAATCGATCAAATACTGCGGTAAATGTTCAGCAAGATCTTCGCCGAATTCGTGATGTTGCAGTAAGTAAGCAGACGGTATGTAGACGTATAAAAGAAGTTAATTCAAAAGCTAGGAGACTTGCAAAAGGTCCCAAATTATTGCCCGAACATCGTGCTACTAGAAGAAATTTTATTGAAAATTATGGACAGTGGAATATTCCTGAATGGTCGAATGTGTTGTTTACGGATGAGTCAAGGTTTTGCCTCAACATGGTGGATGGAAGAAAAAGAGTGCGGAGAAGAACTGGTGAACGGTTTAATCAAAATTTAATAACAGAATGCGAAAATTTTGATGATGGGTCCGTTATGGTGTGGGGAGGGATTTCAATGAATGGAAAGACACCCCTTCATGTTTTTCCGGTGAGGCAGTCGATGAATGCCCAAATTCACATTGACATTTTAGAGCAGTATGTCTTAACTTATGCAGAGTTAGTGGGCAATAATTTTATATTGATGCAGGATAATGCCCGACCACACACCGCAGCAATAGTGCGAAACTTCTTAGAAGCTACTGGTATTACCACATTACAATGGCCTGCGAGAAGCCCCGATATGAATCCTATAGAACATTTGTGGGATGAATTAGGGAGATGGGTACGTTCTCGCGAGAGGTCTCCGGAAAGTCTCGCAGAAATGGCAGATGCATTAGTGGAAGAATGGGATCGTATACCAATGGAAACGATAAGCAACTTAATTTCCAGTATGCCTCGTAGATTAGAAGTTCTTAGAGTTGCTAGAGGAGGCAATACACGGTATTAAGCAGTCATCCCAATTTATAATTTTGTGTTTAATATAAAAAGTTTTTCAAAATTATTGGTATCAGTTTATTTCATTAGAAAATTGTTTCTCGATAAATTCAGAAAGTTGGTAATCTGCAAGGATTCAGCAAAAAAAGCTGTAATTCGGAAAATTCTAGAGATGAATCAATGAATGAAAAAACAAAATGCTTGCAAAAGGAGCCTCTTTCGTATAGGGTGCAAGCACTTTCTATGCCATTACTCAATTAACACACAGGGTGAGTCAAAAATCAAGAATAAATCATGATTCGAGTTATTCCACAACCATCACGGAGGCTTTGAAAAATTGTCACCTCTTTATTTTTTTTCAAAGACAAATGCATTACCTACCAACAAATAAAAAATAAATAAAAATCGGCCTACTATTTTTTATTTCATTTTTTTTAAGAAGATAGGTCAAATATCAAGTGCATAACTTTTTTTGGAACTGAGTGTAGTTTGCAAAACTATATTAGGCAGTTGATTTGATACCCTCTGTATATCAGATATCACTGATATCAGAATTGTAAGTTGAATGTTGTATTCTTAATTAATAAACTTTCATATTTGCAGAGCACACTGCTTTGATTTCAGATATTCATTATCAGCAGTTACATAATTCTTTATTGCCCCAGGTCACTGTTTGTATCTTGCATTATCACAGAACTAATTCTAGAAATATAGGTACCTACCTATTCCTCACATAATAATCAACCAATTAGAATATTGTTAAAAAATTACTTATCTACCAAATTGAAGAAAAAGTGTTTGCAGTCTACAAATCATGAGTGGACTTTTTTTTATTTCTTAAATAGAATCATCACTCAAATACCTTTCAATTTCATATTTATTAATAATTTTTCGGCCGATTTTTAGGTGCTAAAATCATCAATAACGTTCAAACGGCTAGAAATTTACCACCAGTAAAAAGGGACATCACAGTTGCCATGTATTGAAATACAATTGGGAACTTCAGAAATATTAGTTATTCAATCAAATATATAAAATTCTCCTGTCCCGGTCACGGTGAAATTTTTTGTGCGTATTCGGTAGGTATGAGAATCGGTCGAAATCTATTTTTTAAATAGAAAATTCAAGATGGTGGATCTAATATGGCGGACGAGTATTGTTATCCAATTTCATTCAAAATTGGTATTTGGGGGTTTTCGGGGTCGGATTATGGTTCTTTCGTCAAATTTTGGAAATTCAAGATGGCGGATCCAATATGGCGGACGAGTTTTGTAATTATGGTCAGATTCCATTCAAAATTGGTATCTGGAGGTTTTCGAGGTCGGAGATTATGATTTCTTCATCAAAATTAGGAAATTCAAAATGGCGGATTCAATATGGTGGACGAGTTTTGTAATTATGGTCAGATTTTATTCATAATTAGTATCTGGGAGTTTTCGAGGTCAGAGATTATGATTTTTTATCAAAATTAGGAAATTAAAAATGGCGGATCCAATATGGCGGACGAGTTTTATAATTATGATCCAATTATATTCAGAATTGGTATCTGAGGGTTATCGAGGTCGGAGATAATGGTTCGTTCGTCAAAAATTGGTAATTCAAAATGGCGGATCCAATATGGCGGACGAGTTTTGTAATTATTAAGCGATAAAAAAAAATAAAAAAAAAGATTCTATTCAAAATTGGTTTCTGGAGGTTTAAGTAAGTAAGTAAGTAAGTAAGTAAGTAAGTAAGTAAGTAAGTAAGTAAGTAAGTAAGTACATTTATTTCCAATATACACAGAACAGGTGTACATTTAGCCATCGGCATAAGGAAAGATTAGTGTCATTTAACAAAATTATTTGGTAATGAAAAAAAGTCTAAGCTCTATACATTTGAAATCTGCAGCATGCTTGCTACTACTGCTGAATATTGTTTTTTTTTTTTTTTTTTTTTTTTACAGGTCGGAGATATGAATCATTTGTCAAAATAGGGAAATACAAAATGGCGGATCCAATGTGGCGGACGAGTTTTGTAATTATGGTCAGATTCTATTCAAAATTGGTGACTGGGGGTTTTTGAAGTCAGAGATTATGATTTTTTTCTTCGAAATTGGGAAATTCAAGATGTCGGATTCAATATGGCGATAAATAAATGATAAATAGTAGTTTGAAAAACTATAATGAAACACGCTTTTATGGATAGCCCAACTCGAGGCCAAACTGAATACAAGTAGAAAATGGATGGTATAGTATGAAAAACTTGATAGATTGTCGAACTAAAAAGAAGTAGAAAATAAAAATAGTACTTTGAAATACTAATGAAACACGATTTTATGGATAGCCAAACTGAAAAAAAAAAGTAGAAAACAAGATAATAAAAGTGTGTTGATGAATATTCAACTAAAAATGTATTTCCTAGAAATAAATGTATATATATAGCAAAACAACGTTTGCCGGACATCAGCTATTGAGAAAAACTGATGAAACACGTTTCTATAGATGGCCAAACTGAAAAGAAGTGAGTAGAAAATGAAGAGTAGTTTAAAAAAATGGAGAAATATAGAGTGCCGAACAAAAAAGACGTAGAAAATAAAATGTAGAATAGTTTGAAAAACTAAAGAATCCCGCTTTAATGGATAGCCAAACTAAAAAGAAGTAGAAATGAAATATTAATAGTTTTTTGATAAAAATTCATCTGAAATTTTTTTTCTACAAATAATGTTTATGGTAAAACAACGTTTGCTGGGTCAGCTAGTAATTCATAAGTTCTCAATTGAGTATTGATCATATTTCTAATTGGCAATAAAAATTCAATTGTCTCCAAATGTTCCCTTATGATTTATGGCTTATTGCTTATAAAAAATTTGTGTAAATAATAATTATATTGATTCACACTAGAGGACATTCCAATCTGTGAACATGACAACACAGTGCACGACTTGTGGGCGTGGTCTTGTCAGTTATCAGCATTCAGCACAATGTTGCCAAGTCTCCAACATTCACATGATATTTCATTATGGAGAATAAAAAATATTTGGACATGCTGGTTGTTCAAAAAAGTCAATAATGAACTATAATGTCATGAGTTTTAGGAACATGATGTTCAGATGTTAGGAATCGGAACGATGTTTATTGGAACGACCCATCTCTAATTCCAATAAAGAGGGCATTGATCAACACACAAAATGGCGTGTCATTCAGATAACCTATTATCCTTAATAATTAGAGAATAACTAGTATTTACAATGAGTTCCTCCTATTATGTTTTATTCAATGACAGGACTCTAACATCTTTTTGATAACTTCATTATAATTGGTGACTTGACAACCCTGCTTCACGAGTGGAAATGGAAGATTATCTGACCAATAAGGAGACAGCATAAAAACTGATGTCACCATTTATTCAAGGTATCACCAAATGGCTGCCATGACATTACCTTTGAAATGAGCTCTGAAATTCAATGATTTTAAGCAATGCATAGACTTATTATTTGCATAAAAAAGCATTAGAAGTGTTGCAAAAATTAATTCAGGTTCCTAAAGCCACAATGCAGTAATTGAATGCCAATAATTCATTATCAGTCCACTAGCCCAATGATTTTATTTTCATTTTGAATTCATAAGTTAATGCTACTCACTGACACTTCTTCTCCAAATAGGAGTTCTTCAACAAGAACCATATCTCCAGCAGCACCATATTTTTTATCTGTTAATATTTCATCTACAGCTCTGCAAGCTTCTTCTTTATCCTTAGCAACAACAACTCCTTTTCCAGCTGCCAGTCCACTAGCTTTAACTACCAAGGCATCAAATGGGGCACTAAAATAATGATAAAAATTAATCTCTTGCAAATATTCAGTATGATGAATGTATTTCTGTGAACTAATAGACCATCATGAGATTTCTCCTTGGATTTCTCTGTATTCCAATATACTCACGTGTTTATAAATGTTTTTGCCTCTGCAGCATTATTGAAAGATTTCCATCTGGCTGTTGGTATGTTGTGATTGTTCATGAAAGTTTTTGCCCAATCTTTGTTGGATTCTATCTGAGCTGCATTTTTCTGTGGACCAAACACCTGTATTCCTTCAGCTAGCAAAGCATCAGCAATTCCATTTGCTAGTGGATCTTCTGGACCCACTGCCACCAGTGATATTGCATGATTTTTACAAAATTCGATCACATTCTGAAACAAAATAGTTGTAATTTCCAATCTCACCTTTCCATGATGGATTATTTATGCCTTGAAATTTTTCAAATCGATGTCCACGTTTTTTGCTTTTTCCACCAATTGGATTCCACAACTTCCAGGAGCTGTGAAAATATTTTCCACCTTTTTGCTTTGTGAAAGTTTCCACACAATGGCATGTTCTCGACCCCCACCTCCAATTACTAACACGTTTTCAGGCATTTTTTAACACTATTTCTATTTTCTATAACCTTTTATTCAATATTCAATACACAAAGTATATAAGTACATTCAGAATGATTGCTTAGTGATTATGCATAGTTCTTCAGCAAGGGCAGAGATTGGGGTTGGGAAATAATTAAATTAGATAAACAACTAGACGTCAAATTCTTGTGAAACAGTTTCGATATTTGAATTTTTTATCTAATTTAGAAATTCGGAATAACAAGAATGATTGAAACTATAAATTATATTATCATTTCATTGGTGTGATAACCTATGAACCTCTCCAAGATTATAATTCAATAATAATATATCGATATAATAAACCCACAATACACCGAATGAAATTTTGAAGACAATTTTATTATGATTTAAAAATTAATGAATAGTGTAAACAGTAGCGCTTCTTTGGTAAGACAATTTTGAAATTTTTCAGTGTTTTTTTTCCAGGTTTTCTTCTTCTACTTCTTTTTTTTATTGGGTGACCTGAGCTACTAGGGCCATCAGCAATTCATATACGTAGCACTGCTACGCCAGAGTTGAGTACTGGCAACTATCAATGTCATGAGTTTATCTCTTTTCATTGAATTATCTGAACAGAGATGGCTTTAGGTAAAATCCGAGATCATTCATGTAAAAGGCTTGTTCCATTGAAATAACACATGTTACATGTTAGAATCATGTTAATAATATCAATATATTCATTTCACATTCTTGTATCTATTTTTTCAGTTTGGGTCATAAATAGGAGGAATACAGGGTCACCAAAATGAACATATTTTGCATATTAAACTATTGCACAGCCAGTCAATAAAGTTTCCAAATAAGGTGATAATTTTCCTAGGAATCCTAATATGAATTTTCATTCACCTTCTTCATCTTCACCTAATATAATTTCTTCAGGATCTGGTGCTCTGGGCAAAAATTCTAGATCATCATACATCCTTTTAAATATGTCTCTTGCCATTTTTATAGATCCATCATAGTCCAAATCCAGGTCAGGTCCAGGGCACAAGAATACATTATCAGGGACATTACTTTTCAAGTCTGACTCACTTGTGTCTGGTAGAGAAAAATAGGCAGACCACAATATTTCCGGTTTTCTTGCAGTTTCATTTTCCTCTGGAGTTTCAAAAGGTTCAGAAAGAAACAGATTCTCTACCACATGTTTGAAATCTTCTTCTGGAGAAATATTTTGTCTTGAAATTAAATGGACCAAGAATAAACCTTTGGGGCATGTTCCAGTAAGGCTTCCCAGTTCAATAAGGGTGACAGTGTTTTTCCCATTCTCAGGGGGGTAAAACAGTAGTGTTAAATGTTCTTTTTCACTTTCTATCATAGAACTGCTAGTTATGAGTACTGCTCTAGATATATACTTCTTTTCAACACCAGTGATGAATTGCTGTGGTGAATTATCTACACTCATAATCAAATGATCAGCTTCTAGATGCTGGGAACCAAGTTTCAAGGATTTAAACTTATTATCATGCATAATAATTCCTTGTGGAGTTTGTCCCAATGCAAAAACACCACCAAAAACAGCACTCAATCTACAAAAAGCTTGAGGTAACTCACCACTTCCATACATTGAATAGAGAAAAGGGGTTTTTCCAAAACGTCCCAGGCTATTCAAGAATCTCTTAGCATTTCCTACACCTTCACTGAAAGGTGTTTCATCTGAACTCATGGATATGCCATACAAAATGAAATGAATGAGGTTTGGACTCAATTTTTTATCAATCAGAAAATCTTTGAAAGTCTGATTTTCATAGTTCTTCATGTCTTCTTCAGGATCATTCAATGAGGTCAAAACCTTCATCAACATCCTTTTTTCAATGACAGTTACATTAGTATTTGAAAACACATCAGCACGAGAGCAAGGAACCACATGTAACTTGCCATTTAGCCAAGTGATTATTCTGCTAACACATCTGTATTCTGCATACCTAGAGATATTTGATGATATAAGTAACCCAACAAAGTCTCCTCTTCCAAATTGGAGTTTTGGTGCAAGATCAATATTGAATTTTCTTGATTCTTTTAGAAGTCTCTCACTGCTCCATTTTTCATCTAGCTCCATATTTGATGTGTCCTCACTCACATCACTCTTCTTAGGTATATTTGGAATGTGGTACTTGAACTGTACATTCTCTACATTAAAAACATTGTTTCCTAAGCAGTATGTATTCTCTTCAAGTACTAGTGGATTCCTAACATTGCTGCTAGAATTATCGTCATTTTTCAACTTGGTAATTGTCTCCAGATTGAAGGAGGCCCATTGTCCTCCATAATAATCATTTGTATCAATGTGTAAAACTGTTTTGCCAACTCTACTAGCTGCAGCAGATAACATAGATTCAACTACACCAGTACCGACTACTATCAAATCGAACTTTTCTGGAAATGTGTAATCCATTTTTTTGATATTGAATTTCGAATATTTCTTCAATATCAAACAAATTCATATGGGACTTATGGGAAAGAAAACTAGGATGGGATGGGAGAACAACACAAAACAAACGTCATCAACAACAGGTTCTTCTTCTTCTTCTTCTTCTTATTTGTTTTTCTTGGTTTTCTGACTCCTTGCGTTACAATTCGACTGTCAATAATGGCATTGACAAATCTCGTTGACGTACAGGCTGTGACCTTAGATCATAGACATTAATCTATCTTTTTTAAAGTTCACGTGAACAAGGCCATGAAATGTTGGATGCAGAACAAAGTTTGGTAAAGTTTTTCTCAATCGATCAACATTTTCCGCAATTTCGCAGAATACGCATTAAATGGATAGATAGAATGGTGCAGAAACGATGCACCAGTGTACATTTTGATTTTGTGTTTCGTGCCCTGTGTTCTACAGTTGGCTATTCTGAGAATTTACCGCCATGTCCGCCATTGTCATATGCCGTTCGCGCCTAACTTCATGATTGTTTGTTTCGTCAGCTGTCTGTTTGGTGTTGTCTTGAAAATGTTGTAGTGAAATTAGGTGAAAATGAAAAAAGTGGTAGAAAATTTTAAATATGAATGAATGTGTGCATTTATACTTGATGAATGCGATCATTAAAGTTCAAAGTAAGTAAAATATATTAAATGAGCTCATTACATTGAGAAATTCCTCGGAGATACTATGGACATTTAACTGTATATTCCCAAGATAATTTATTGTTAAAGTGGTGATAAATGTATTAAAAAAGGCCTAGTTGAACAATGATCGAGCTGTGAATGTAATTTGCATATTTTTCTGTTATATTATGCGCGGCATCCCTATTTCCTTGACATGGCGGGATAATTGGAATGACTTTTCAGAATGGCGGGATGTGCAGGAATCCGGGGTTCTTATGCTTGGTTATGTGCAAGTTACACGTAGAGAAAAATCTCGCGGCAGTTATCACATCCAGTAAATATATCAGAAATATATTTAGAGCGATAAATTAGCTTTTATTCATACAAATATAGTGAAATATATCGGGTGAAACTGATCGTAAGCTGTTTTTGGAAAATTTATTCCACGCTTATATTTTGAGTTGGGTGATAGGGTTGGGGTCCAGTTTTGGGTCATATAGGGTGAGTTAACATCTATTTGCTACATTGAGCTACAAATATACTGTTTTTCGTAGTAAAAGTTCGGGTATTTCGAGTTTCAAATAATCGACAATGTGGATGCTTGCAGGGGGTCGTCTTTTTCAGTCTACCTAACTGGTTTTTGGCCTTTTTTAATGCAACAAAATCCCAAATTCGTGCATCAGGGGTTGTGCCCTTCTATGTGGGATGCAATTATGTGAAAAAACTTTGAATATTCATATCATTATTGAAAATAACCTTGTGTTTGATGGCGTGGACATTTCAAGTGACATCAAATGACCTTTTCCTTTCTTGTTTCAAAGTGTTCTGATCGATCTACCAATTCATCTATTGATCAATTATTCTTCATTTTACAATATTTGTTAGTTATGTAACTCAAAATTCTCGAAAATCTAGTAGGAGGTTATGATGCAAACATGTGCTATTTAAAATTTAAAGGGTCATCCCATAACAAGCATTTACCTAGTCCACATGATTATCTGTTATATTTTATCAAGATATATACAGTAAGCACTTTATTCAAGAAATGCTTGATCTACTTTCCAAAGTCGATAATGTTGAATATTGTTAAATAATGTTTTATCCTTGGCATAGTTGATGGTGCATAAGTTACATCTACTTAGGTAGGTAAATTTTCAATTTCAACCTTACAATATCAGCATCTACACTAATTTGACATTGTATTATAATATTATAGTAAATAATATCACTTATAAACATTGAATGTAGTGAGAGGAATACATATATATGATTATTTTTTAGCAAAATGTACCTAGCAGGATTTGTTTTTGAGTCAGTACCTACCAAAGGAAGCAAATACAAAAAATTATAAATGTTGAGAATCAGAAGGGTTTTTTGTTTTATTTGCTAAGTATGGTAGAAAGAACTAATGGGATTTTGTATAGTTAGGATAGGAATTTCTGGAATCTGTAGGTAGGAACTGATCATTCATTTATGATTTCAATCTCATAAATAAATATTATAATGTCAATTTTGTTTTCTGTATCATATTACTCATCTTACAAGAGCTATATGGAGTTTCTTTCCCATTGACTTGACTTGTAACTATAAATTCATCTAACTAATAAAAAATAGACTCAACATTAGCCTTTTGCTTTTTGTATTATTAGGTACTACATAGAGAAAGAGGTGGTTCTTCAATTATCAGCAATGATACCAAAAAACCCATATTTTACTTTTACTAAAGAGTCAAGGAAAGGAATATGTTATGGAGGTAGTTGAAAGGTCTCTATATAATTCATTTTAGCAGTCTTCATATTGTTCAAGCATCTGTTTTTCAAATGCTTGACCTGTACAAGTTTTTACTACACTCAAGAAAACCCCACAGCTTCATTAATTGAATTGTAATCTTTTTTGTTTGGGTTGAAACAATGAATTATAGAAATTATTATCAATTATTATTGATTATTACTATTTTTATCTTACAGGAAATTGATTGCAAGTATTATTAATATAATAGAATAGAAAAATGAGTGCCAGATCTAATGAAGATAGGTCATTACAGTCCTCAGAAAATTTCCAAGATTATGATTCAGACAAATTAACTTGCAATGACCAATACACAGAAGGTGACTATGCAGAATCCAGTAAGCTCTCTTTCCAAGATCTGCTCAAAATCCACCACAAACAGACTGTTTGGGGATTCCAGTTTGGCAAGGAGGTAATGTTTAGTTTTTTTTTTTCATAAGGTAGTGGCTTCTTGATCTGATAGTGTTCGAAATTTCTTATGTTAGGAAATTTGGATCCTACAAAAATAACAAAAACATTGTTTTGGTTCCAATATCATCAATGATTGAAATTAGGATATGCCATTTGACTCAAAATAGTGCATTTTCAGTAGTGATACTAACTAACTTGTTGCATAATTATTACATAGAGTTGTTAGTTTAACATTTTTTGGGAGAATTATCCCATGAAACTGACACAATTTGTAATTATTGTGCAGGAAGTTTGAGATGTATAATTTTGAAGATTTTGTAGTTTGATTTGTATGTATGATGTGATTATTTTTTAAGTAGTCTGAATGAACATCAAAATTTGAGGATGAGCTTTGTTTGTATGTAACAATATGAATTAGTTACTATGGAAATGGAAATAATTTTAAATTTCTGATTGGTGGAGCTACTCTATGTTTATCCACCTATATTCAAATTGGTTTAAAATCATAGGAAGATAATAATCAGGGAAATATATGGATACAATAAGGACTTTTTTTCTAAAGCACACCCTCCCAAATTTCATTTTCAGAGCATCAACACAAAATAAAATATTGGAGACTCATCTTTCTGGATATCAGTGTGATAAATGATTCTAGCTATACATCAAATTGTAACATTGTCAGTTTTACTCTTGAGGTAGAATTTTTCGAATTAATTGATGTAAAACAGCTCTTAAATTTAAATACTTTTTGCAATTGACTTGGAAATGTTCCATTTTTGTTCTGAAATCAGCTCTGAAGTTGACGTTTCTCTTACTGATATAATAAAATATCCAATACAGGGTGTTGATTGATTGAGTGCCGATTATACAAGGTGTGAACCCTCGGGAGATTTCAAGCAGAAAAGTTTATATCAATATATGTCCTGAACCTCTTAGTTTTTGAGCTACAGGGTGTTGAAATCAGAGGCGTGCAGTTTTCTTGAATAAAAACAAACAAAATTGTTTTTTGTCCCAAAACAAAATGTGTTTCCACTCATAGTGGGTGCCCACTGAATTTTAACAAAATACAAGGTAGCTTAGTTCATTTAAACATTCTGATTGGTTCAAAATCATAGGAAGAAAATAATCAGGGAAATATATAGATACAATAAGGACTTTTTTTGTAATGCACACCCTCCCAAATTTCATTTTCAGAACATCAAAACAAAATAATTATATTGGTGACTCATCTTTCTGGATATCAGTGTGATGAATGATTCTAGCTATACATCAAATTATAACACTGTCAGTTTTACTCTTGAGGTAGAATTTTTCGAATTAATTGATGTAAAACAGCTCTTGACGTTGCCGTTTCTCCTACTGATATAATAAAATATACAATACAGGGTGTTGATTGATTGAGTGCCGATAATACAAGGTGTGACCCTCGGGTGATTTCAAGCAGAAAAGTTTATATCAATATATGTCCTGAACCTCTTAGTTCTTGAGCTACAGGGTGTTAAAATCAGAGGCGTACAGTTTTTTTAATCAAAACAAACAAAATTATTTTTCGTCCCAGAACAATACCGTAGAATGGGGTGACTTGATAAGATTTTTGACACACTTCCATAGATTGCGACCTTACCATGCAACTTTCAACCAAACTAAAAATAGTCACCAACTCTTTCGACCCTAAAGAACAGAACGATACATTAAAACCGTTTCTATATAGTGTAGTTTTCGATAAAAAAAATGTCAAACGTCATATTTCGAGTCACCCCAATATGGGGTGACTTGAAATATGACTTCTTATCAACGATTATTTCAAGTAGGATGGTCTAGGTGGTGACATGAAATGAAAATTAAATAAAAAATATATAGAAATCATCAATTTCATAAAAAAACACTGTGTTTTAGAACAAATATTTTTTAGCAAAATACAAAAAAGATAAAAAACTACAAAAATAAACAAAAAATCATTAGACTGAAAGACTAGTTTAGCTTCTTCCGTTGACATGCGACGTTGCCACTACTTCAAAATTTTCACTGAATTTTATTTCAAGTCACCACACGATTTCAAGTCACCCCATTCTACGGTACGTGTTTCCATTCCTAGTGAATGCCTACTGAATTTTAACAAAATACCAAAAACAACTTCAATTTAAACTGAAGAAAAAACATGTTTTGGTTTTTATTTTTTCTCGCGAAAACGGTACGTCATATGGAAGTAAGTCTGGGAACCAAATTTGCTCCAAAATAAATGGGGATTCAAAAAAATTGTTTTTAGAAAAGTCAGTGGCGTACCATTTTTTCCTCAAAAATTCTCAGTTAAAACCCAGTACGGACGTCAGTGGTGACATTTTCAAAAAACTTTTACGTCAAAAAATGCTCCTTAATAATGAAAAGGTGTGTACAATATGTCATGTAAATATCTATCTACCCTTTATGTATGTTGAGCGACACGTGTCTAGGAACTAACGTTTATGTTTATGAAAATGAGTCAGTTGTCAGCTGATAAGGTAGTTGCTGACTTGCTGATGCTGACGTGCTCTAGTGAGTCACAATGGTGATAACTGCAATTATATTTTATTGATCAAATATCAATTATTTTGGTTGCAAAAAGAATTCATAGTTTTATAAAGTAACACTGTTTGACAATCAAAATTTACGTATAATGTATGTACTATTTTTCAAAGTGAAGAATGAAAAAAATTAAATTGTAGGGATACTCTTCCATATTTTTTCAATAATTTCTCAATATACAGATCTTAATGATGCCTAGAAACGAATAAATCACTCTGTGAAGTATACAGTAATATATTTTTTTTTCTGCCTCTGTTATCAAACAACGCTCAATAAAATAGCAAGCGACAAAATGACGTGGGACAAAATTGATTGGTTGATTGATTGTCTTTATTATCCCAAGAAACATAGTTGTTCATAATAGGGATACATAAACAATATACATAATTTTATACATACAATTATAAAATTATAATAAGATATAACAAGTTAAAAAAAAATGCAAATAATCATGCAATATCAACCTTGTCTTTCATAAGTAGGTATTCAAATAAGAAATGGAATTATCAAAGTCTCTGAAGCAGATATTATTTCAAGTTGATTTTGAATCTAGCCCAGTCCTTCAGCTATAATCTCGTACTTTTTTAAAACATGAGGCTCTGGAATTCATTGCCTGTGGAAGTATTCCCAACAACATATTATAATCTCCAAAAGTTCAAAAAAAATTCCAATACCTACCTCCTGTCCCTATCCTCCCTAGGAACGCACGATGTTCTCTGAACATTATAGGGATTCCCTTTCGTGCGCTCCAAGCGATAAAAAAAAATCAAAATCGCTACATGGTGTCACCTGAAACTGAAAAATTTCGGAATTTTCTAACGGATGCCAAATGAACAAAAACTTCGACAGCAGAGGCAGGAAGATGATCTCATTACCTAGGGACATTTCTCAAAATGTTTTCTCATCTCTTCAATTTACAGAGTGATCTCAAAGAACTAACTTCCTGGTTTTGCAGTCATAACTTTTTTCCTTATCAACCCGTTTTCAAAATCTCATTGTGATGCTGAAGAGATAGGAAGATCAGAATTGACTCAAGATGAACATTATACAGTGTGTCTCATATCTTTGTTTTTCCCGCACTAGTGTGGGAAAAATTTTCCCGCAGTGTTGCGGGAAAATGACACTTTCCAAACTAAATTGCGTGCGGGTATAGGGTGAATCACGCACGCTGTAGAAAAAAGATTTTTCATACGAATCAGTCGAGCAGTTTCGGAGGAGTTTGGCGTCAAACACCGTGACAGGGACAGGAGAATTTCATACAGGGTGTAACATAATTGAGTTAAAAAACTCAAATGACTTATTCCTCAGAAAATTTTAAGAAAAAATGTCTCTATAAACTTGTGCCCGGAAATGCTTCCTTTCAGAGAAATTGATTTTTTTGTTCGCTTAAAATTGCCCTAACATTTTGACAGTAAACTTTTGGTACTCTTCATGGAAAAATCTTATTCCCTCACCATTTCTAAGTAAAAAAGGTACACTTCCTCAATAACGCTGGAGGTGATCATTTTCGAGATGATTATAATTTTCTACAGTGTGGAAACTTCAACTGGAATGAATTCGTTAGTGGGGAGGTGAATATTTTTTCTAAAGATTCCTGACATACGTGTAGCTGAAACCACCCTCAACATGATTTTTTTCAAATGTAACCCTATGGCTTGTGACCACTCATTGGAAAGCTGGTAGAGAGAGGAATCCAGCGTACTAGTCGAATTTTAGTTTTTCATACCTTCAAAGGTTGCATAAAATTGAAATGTAATTTAATTTATATTTCAACGAACCATTGATAGCTCAAAATGTGTGTTGAACAATTATGGGTGCGTAGCGCGATGCCCAATTCCCACGATGCCCAATTCCTACGATGCCCACCTTCATGTCGACGATTACGAAGATTGCCGAAGAGCGCAACGTTGCCAGGTCAAGACAAAATTTCAGAAAACACAAGATTCCCACGATGCTCACCATGATAAAGGTGGGCATGGTGGGAATCGGGCATCGTGAGAATGCATGAAAGGTGGGCATGGTGGGAATTGGGCATCGTGGGAAGTGGGCATCGTGGGAATGCCTGAAAGGTGGGCATGGTAGGAATCTAAAGAAGGTGGGCATGGTGAGAATTGGGCATCGTGGGAATGTATGAAAAGTGGGCATGGTGGGAATTGGGCATCGTGGGAATGTATGAAAAGTGGGCATGGTGGGAATCTGAAGAAGGTAGGCATGGTGGGAATCTGAAGAAGGTAGGCATGGTGGGAATCTGAAGAAGGTAGGCATGGTGGGAATTGGGCATCGCGGGAATGTATGAAAAGTGGGCATGGTGGGAATCTAGAAAAGGTGGGCATGGTGGGAATCTGAAGAAGGTGGGCATGGTGGGAATTGGGCATCGTGGGAATGTATGAAAAGTGGCATGATGGGAATCTGAAGAAGGTGGGCATGGTGGGAATGTATGAAAAGTGGGCATGGTGGGAATTGGGCATCGTGGGAATATATGAGAAGTGGGCATGATGGGAATCTTGTGATTTCTGATTTTTTCTCTTGACCTGGAAACGTTGCGCTCTTCGGCAATTTTCGTAATCGTCGACATGAAGGTGGGCATCGTAGGAATTGGGCATCGTGGGAATTGGGCATCGTGGGAATCGGGCATCGTGGGATGCTCCCAACAATTATTGTGACAATGGCGAGGTTGGCAGGTAGTGAAGTAATTAGATACCGCATTTTTTATTCTGATTGCTGATTGTCTTCTCCATAACAATTCGGATTAGCCAATCTGGAACTACAAGATTTGACAATTTGTAATGGATTCCTCTGCGCAACTTTTCTCCCATTTAGCAAAATCTGTATCTTTCGTAGCTTTCGACATTGTTGAAATTGGGTTCCTGGTCGAGATTCATTCCAACATGCGTAGCTGGTGGTTGATTATGTTAGTGTGAGGGGATGAGAGAAAAGTGACATGGTTGAATAAAATATAAATTGGCTCTTGGTAGGATTTACTCGCAGTCTCCATTTGCTGAACCAACTCTTGAGTGTTGTTGAACGTTGTTTAGCTTACCTGGGCAGTTTTCTGAATGATATTTTGGTGGGATATTAGGGCAGTATTATCAGCATATTGTAACATGTAAGAAGGTAGCGTTGGCTTCCTTTTCATTTAGATAGTTGATATCATAGCAATATAATATGTTGTACAATAATGGTGACAATGGCGAACCTTGAGGCAGCTTATGAAGTTATTGAATACCGCATTTTTAATTCTGATTGCTGATTGTCATCTCCAATCTCATCTCCATTCTCTTTCCCTTCGGATTAAGATAACCCTATGCCAGACGCCATCAAATGCTCAACTAATGTCCAAGGATTATAATTTAAAAAAACAACACCCAATTCAGGTTCGAGAAAGTATCACCCGCGACAAGAACCCCCAAACCACAACAAAGGACAAACACGAGGAGGAGAAAAACGACAGGTTCACGGTGGTGGCGGACACCGATCAGACGATTCTGGGCGGCGACTCGGCCTGCACCAGCACCTCGAAGGTCATCACCGAGAAGGACCACAAGACACCGCACTCGCGGCGGCGCGCTGAGGCCGGCAGGAGCAGCAAGAGGAAGAACAGCGCCAAGCAGGATTTCGTGTCGCCTCAGAAGACGAGGAGGGCGCCGCTGCCCTTGATGCACTGGGCGGATTCCAAAGAGGTGGGTCTGTCGATGAGTGAAGCGATTCGTGGCTCTGGTTTTAAGAGAGGAAATTACGTGAAACCTAATCTTTCTAACAAATCGGACTACTAAGATTATTCCACTCATTTCAACATACACGTTTTTAAAACATTGGTTTCGATTTTGTATTTCGCTTCTTCATTGGTAGTTCAATCAAAAATAAAACAAAATGACTCACCAGCAGGAATAAGTAACAACAACACAATTCAACCAAAATCGTGTTGGGCAATCACTCATATCAAAGAATTTCAAAGTAACTATATTAATATCAACCTAAACTCAAGATCAAACCGCTAACCTCCTAACCATAAAATACTTTTTGACGATCATATTATTATGTCAGTCGATGTCTCGCCAATTTGGAAAACTGAATTTTTTGATGTATTGTTAGTTGCATAACGCAACAACGGCACATGAAAATACGACGTGAAACTATTGTTTAATTCATGAAATCATCAATAAACCTGTTGTATTACATACGAAAATTAAGATTTCGATGCTCGGCAATAAAGCAACAACTCATCTGAATGTAGGAGTCGAGAAAACGACTGCAACCTCAATAAATTAGCAAATTCAATTCAATTATAATAATTTTATTTAGTGAAAACCATCGTCCTTCTGATTGTAAATCCAGTTGGCGAGGTTTCATATTATAATTATTGTCTATTCATTAAAATATAATATATATGCGAAAATCGCTCTGACGATACTTTCAGTAAGCCAGTGACCTCTATTATCCTAACCCTAAAAATTTTTCGTATTCCTGTTAAGATTAATCTTTCTGTCAAGTGTTCAAAAATAAATTTCTCATGTTGAAACATTGTTAGTGCAATGATGAAATAGCTCAATATATTGATTCTATTTGAATTTGAGTAGGAACTATGTGCGCTATCAAACATCACTGTCTGAACTTTTTTGAAATGATGGAATGCAAGCTGAGAATAGAAAGGTGGGGACTGCTTATTTACCTTTAAATCATTGATAATATCTCTAAAAATCACACCTACATAGGTAATTTGTCAACTGAGAAACGAAAAATTATATGTGATAAGTGGGAACAAATCGATGTTTCACACTTAAGTGATCCACTGGAAGGAATTATAATGAGGAAATATTATATGAACGTAACATTGAGGGAATATATGCCAGAAGGTTCATTGAAACTATTGAGTTGAAATCGATAATTTCACATCTGAAATGAGGATATATGTATAACAGGAAGGTTAGATTCAGTTTGGTTCTAGGTCATAGATGGTCTATTTCTGACATATAATGAATACAATTTTTCAGTGAACATGTGAACAGACTACCTACTAGATTTTCATTCAGAACGACAATGATGCAAACTATCTTGAGCTCGGTTCAAAGCAAAAACTCCACATTTTAGAGAAGTATTCATGAGAACTTGATGAAATGATCATTTTGGGCGGTTTTCAAAAAAAATCCAAGCATTTTTATGACTACAAAGAAGTTCAAAGAATATTAGGGTGTATACCTGTTTCCAAAATATACTATTTTTATGGGTATTACAACTATTGAATTTATGAAAGTAGTAGTATCAAAATTGAAATTTCAGGTGTGGTTGTTCATGGTGTACAAAGAAGAAGCGTCCCTCAACCTGCGCAACCCGAGCCTCTTCGAGGACTTCACCGCCTTCATGCCGCGCATGCGCGCCATCTTGCTCGACTGGGTGATGGAGGTGTGCGAGGTCTACCATCTCAGGAGGGTCACTTACTACCTCAGCGTCGACTACTTCGACCGCTTCCTCTCCATCAGGCCGGACGTGCCGAAAAACCAGCTGCAACTGGTCGGGGTCACGTGTCTGTTTTTGGCATCGAAGCTGGAGGAGATTTATCCGCCGAGATTGACGGAGTTTTCGTACGTTTGCGATGGGGCTTGCAGTCCTGAGGAGATTTTGGCTTGCGAGCTTTTGATCTTGAACAGTTTAGGTATGTGCATATGTTTTTTTTTCTAGTTCGTTTTGATATTTTATACACCTCGGACGTTGGGCGCCACAATATTAAAAAAGGCTGGGAACATAGCGACTTTGTTATTCTTTCGATCTGTAACGAAAAAGTGAGTATAGAATCGGGATAATTGTCATGTAATTTAATTGTTTATCGTATGATCATAAGAAGAAATTGAAGTTTTGGAAATTGGGTGGTAAAATGTCAAAAAAAGGTATCGAAAATTGGTATCTATTCAAAATCCGCATGTTGGGCGCCAAAAAATATAAAGAAGCATTAACTTGTTTATTCGTTCAATTAATGGCCAAACTGAATATAGATTTAGAATCCTACCTACCTCAGTGTCGATTATTTCGACCGTTTCCCCTCCGTTAGGCTGGACGTGCCGAAAAACCAGCTACAGTTTAGGAATATGCATACATTTTTTTTTGCTCGTTTTGATAGTCCATATACCTCGGACGTTGGGCGCCAAAATATTGAAAAATGTAGGGAACGCAGTAACTTTCTTTTTTGAACACGATCTGCAACGATAAAGTGATTATGGAATTTGTTTCCACTGATTGGTACCTAATAAATTACGCAATTATGATCTGAACTTGAAAAGTCCATCGCACGATTCTTTCATCTTATCATTCTTATCTTTATTATCATTTTTAAGGCTAACAATTGTTTTTTTTTTTAGGGTGGGACTTGAATATCATGACGGCCAGCGATTGGCTGAACCTCTACATGCAGATACATTTCCAAGCGGGCACCGTCGCGAGGCAGAAGCTTCACGTCGACATGAACAGGGACTTCTTCTTCCCGCAATACTCCGGGTACCAGTTCACGAGGGCGTCCCAGCTCATAGACATGTTCAGCTTGGACCCCGGTTTCCTCAAGTTCAGTTATAGGTCAGTAATTTTTCTTTTTTGCATGATGCATTTTGAAAACTTGAACAAATGTTGATATGTAGCGAGAATCCCAAACAGGAAATGACATTCACTTACTCACAAATTTACACGTGTTAAAATGGTAATACTTTTATCGGGACGGCAACGTTGTTTATTTCGCTGGACGACCACTTCCTGCTTATAACTTTGGATCATGAACAATTTTCATTAACTCAAGTGTATAAACTAGGTATAAGCAAAGAACTGTCTTTCTTCATAATAATAATAATAATATTTATTTAATTCTTTGCTATAAACATTACATTGCATCTCATATTAATATAAATATATTTTATCAAGATTTACAATGAAATAACATGAATAATCAGACAGATTCATATCTGGTATGAGATTATTCATGCGTTATTGAATCTAAGTTATTGAAATAAACAACAGATTCATAAATAATAATAATAGAACGAAAAACTCATGAAAAGTACAATATGACATAATGAAATAAATTAGGGAATGGGAATTCTTTCACTCAGGTTTGATTTTCTCTTTGCAAGAGGATATGTGTCTTCACTTAGTTCACTTTAATTTTGAATTTGGTGATATTTGTGCAACTTTTGATACCATCAGGTAAATCATTGAATTTTGAGAGAGCTCCGTGAGTAAACTTTATTTCGCCAAGTGTAGAATTAGCAGCATCAAGATGAAACAAGTCAAATTGTCTAGTATGATGTTCATCATTGCATCACCCACTCCAACATGATGATTATCAATTTTTCTATTAGTTCTGGAATAAAACTGCATCAGAACAGTTTTCTCTACATTCACCACTAAAGAGTTTTTATTACACCAATTCGTGAACTGGAAGCTCAAGGTATTTAATTTTTCTTGGAGCTCCTCTGGGTTATCTGCAATCGCTGCAATCGTTGTATCATCTGCTCACAAAACTACATAATCTGAGCTTATATGATTGGGCATGTCATTGATGAATAGAAGAAAAATGAGTGGACCTAATATAGAACCTTAAGGAACCCCAAGATCAATGTCATACTGCTTCCACTGACAATTGTCGACTTTAACGTGTATCTTTTTGTAAGTCAGGTAAGATCTAAGCAATAAAAGGAAGATACCCCTGGAGCCAAGTGAATACTACGAAGGCGCTGAAGGGCCACCTATACTATTTTTTTTCGAATCCCGACTTTGAAGTCGGACCCCCGACTTTAAAGTCGGGGGCCCGAGATTAAAGTCGGGGGTCCGAGATTAAAGTCGGGGGTCCGACTTTAAAGTCGGGGGTCCGAGATTAAAGTCGGGGGTCCGACTTTAAAGTCGGGGGTCCGAGATTAAAGTCGGGGGTCCGACTTTAAAGTCGGGGGTCCGAGATTAAAGTCGGGGGTCCGACTTTAAAGTCGGGGGTCCGAGATTAAAGTCGGGGGTCCGACTTTAAAGTCGGGGGTCCGAGATTAAAGTCGGGGGTCCGAGATTAAAGTCGGGGGTCCGACTTTAATCTCGGACTTCATGGATAAGTCCGAAACGGGTGTTCTCAGACCCATTCTATGATATCATATATCATTGAATTCGTCTTTCTTTGCTCTATCCAAGAATGAAATTGAATACATTCGAAAATTCCGAGAAGATGATCGGTTTGCAAAATACGTCATCACTTTTGTTTAATTCGAATATCCTCAATATTGACAAAATATCAATATAACATATACAGGGTGATCCACAGTGGATGGCCTATTAGAAGTATCTGGAGATCGAAAAGACAGAACATTCTGAAAATTGGGATTCTTCGATAATTGAACATTTTCTATCCGTCTAAGATATTTTCATCAATACAGTGTTGCCACTTCTATCAGAAACAACTAGCAACTTCGCTATTTTGAATGGAGCACCCTGTATTTTATTGCATTTTTAGATCCTTCATGAAGAGCTGATTTCATCGATGCATCACACTTGTGGTCTAGCAGGAATTATTACAGAGATATAGGGTGTTCAAAATCTAGAATTTTGAATTTCAGGATTTTTTTGTGTCGAAACTATTCATTATCGATCAAAACGGCTCACATGTCCCTATCTTAACTTTTGATTCACTATCTACTGACATTTAATTGGAACAGATACAGGGTGATCAGAATTCTGAATCTTGAAGCACCCTGTATTTGTTCCAATTACATTCCAGTATTTAGTGAATCAAAAGTTAAGATAGGGACATGTTAATCGTTTCGATCGATAATGAATAGTTTCGACACAAAAAATCCTGAAATTAAAAAATCTCGATATTGAACATCATATATCTCTGTAATCATTCCTGCTAGATCCCAAGATTGATGAAATCAGCTCTTCAGGAGGAATCTAATAATGCAATAGAATACAGGGTGCTCCATTCAAAATAGCGAAGTTGCTAGTTGTTTCTTATAGAAGTGGCAACACTGTATCGATGAAAATATTCTAGTGGGATAGAAAATGTTCAATTATCAAAGTATCCCAATTTTCAGAATGTTCTGTTTTTTCGTTCTCCAGATACTTCTAATAGGCCATCCACCGTGGACCACCCTGTATAATCAGTTAATTCATAATGAAAACTGCGCATTGAAAACTTGATTCTCAACGTTTTCATAAGGCTTAGAAATTTGGCTATTTATTGAAGAAGATTATGAAAATAGTCCGGAAGGGGTGATCTCATACCTACAAATGTAATCATATATCATTAAACTCATCTTTCTGAGCTCTACCCAAGGACGAAATGACATTCAGGGTAGTTCATTTGTGAAAATATATGTTTTGTATTGTAATCTTTTTGCACCCTTTAAACAAACAAATGAGATTCTCAGCTATGAAGTGGAATATATACAATCACCCTATACGTACGATAATGATCGTACAGGTGTGATCCATTATTTGACATTCAGTGTACATCCAAAAGGGAGGATTTTGACTGATCCTTATGTGATGATTATCCAATGGATGTAAAATTATTGTTTGTACATAAACGTACAGGGTGTTTCTCGAGTACATGTAGAAAATTCAGGAGCATGTTGCTGACATCAAACTGATGAGTAACAATAAAAAATATTCATTTCTGTCCACATATTTAAAGAATATAATCTAGCTCCTAACTTCAGTTTCGGACTCCCGACTTTAATCTCGGACCCCCGACTTTAATCTCGGACCCCCGACTTTAAAGTCGGACCCCCGACTTTAATCTCGGACCCCCGACTTTAAAGTCGGACCCCCGACTTTAATCTCGGACCCCCGACTTTAAAGTCGGACCCCCGACTTTAATCTCGGACCCCCGACTTTAAAGTCGGACCCCCGACTTTAATCTCGGACCCTCGACTTTAATCTCGGACCCCCGACTTTAAAGTCGGACCCCCAACTTTAATCTCGGACCCCCGACTTTAAAGTCGGGGGTCCGACTTTAAAGTCGGGATTCGAAAAAAAAAGTATAGGTGGCCCTTCAGCGCCTTCGTAGAATACAGTTTTTTGCATATAATATCGGAGTCAATAATGTCAAATGCTTTCGATAGGTCGAAGAAAAGTGCACCGATATATTTCCTTCTGTCAAGTGAATCACAGACACATTTGAAAAGACTTTGAAATGCACTTTTCGTTGATCTACCTGGGCAGAATCCATGCTGGAATTTGGTTATTATATGGAATTCTTCCAGAAATGCAAGCATTTTTACATAAACGGATCTTTCGATTATTTTACATAATACTGTTGGAACTGTTACAGGCCGATAATTTCCAATAGACGTTGAGTCACCTTTTTTTAATATCGGTATTACTGACCCAATTTTTAGTTTGTCTGGAAATTCCCCAGTTTCAACTGAAAGATGTATCAAAAATGCTAATGGTTCGCATATTGAATTTCTGATGATTATTTTGGTTGAAATGCAATCGAATCCATAGTGGAAGGAGAAGATGGTGTGCCTGCGCGCATATTATGTGACGTCATCTGGGATACCAATATCAGCTGCTAGTCACAGACAGATACCGTTGCCATGGGCGTGCGCAATGAACTCAACCATGTTCATTGAATTTTCTATAAGTTTCTCGATCTGTTTAGAAATAATTCAATTTATATAAACAGGTAACTATTCCTTCGATTTTACTATTTCATTGATTCTGGAAATTGTGATCTTGAGGTAATTCGCAATCGCAAATAGCAAATACATATGAATTATCATGCATTGCCAATCCCATCTGAATGATCCACTACTGTGTCGATTCTGACAGATTGAAATTCAGCAGTTAACGACGTTGACGTTGCTTCTGCTCCGACATCGACAACAGGGGTATCAATTTTTGCCGTTTTGTTATTCAAATCATTGCTGCAACTTATATAATTATATATTGTGAGGAATTAAGAGTTTTGAATTCATTTTCAATCATTTCTGACTTGATATTCGGAAGATGTTCTGTAGGAATGGCATCTTGTTTCGAATATTTGTGATTTTTTGGAGGTGTGTAATTCAAGAACCGTACTTTCGCACTTTTTTGGGAACATTTTGCATGGACATGTTTTGAAGAAATACGTGCTGTAATATGAATGTGATGATAATATGATAGGTGAATACTTTGGAATGAGAATCAGAGAATATAAGGAAAAAAAGGTAGGTACCATAATTTGAGTTTATATTCTGTCGGCAGCAAGCTCCCATCGTTTCATTAGGTCTCCATTCTTGGAAAAGCAGAAAAATTCAATATCTGTGCCTTTTGTATGTTAGTTGGAATTTCCATAACCAGAAACGAAAGAAGTAGGCATTTCGAAATTATTCTATTCAATTTTAGTACTTATATAATATCTGAAGTTCGAGACATCAATCACAAAAACAAATAATAACAATGACAGTTATATCCCAGTTGACGTCATGCGCAGAACAAGACGAGTTTGAGCTTTCTGTTGAGCACACCATCTTCTCCTTCCACTATGATCGAATCCAACAATAGCTAATTTTCGGAAACTTCTGTATTGGAAATGAAATCCAAACTATTTGTTTTCAGTGCGATTGCTGCCGCCGCTATGTACTTCATGTACGGCAAGAAGGCGGCGCTGGCGGCTTCGGGGCTGACGTGGGCGCAGCTGCAGCCCTGCGCCGAGTACATGGCCGTGTTCTATCACGTGCTCAGAGACAGCGCCGATCCGCGGCTGCAGTCCTGCAAGGGGGACACCGCTGTGGAGGAGCAAAACACCACCTCGTTGGACAGTATCAGGCATAAGGTGAGGAAAATGTCAAAACTTCACAAACGATAAGATTTCCACAAAATTCTCAAACACATGACATGTTTTCCTAACACAGGAGCTGCATCAGCTGATGGTAGATTGAAATGAACTAACCTTGGCTTGCTTTACTTTTATATATCCTACTTTCCCAACCTGAAGGATTAGTTACCTGTGGACAGGTACGATAAACCTCTATTTTCGGAAATTAGGCACAATATCTACATTAAAATACGGTATACCGGATCAACTTGACAGAGTTGATAGCAAATACATATTATTACTTACTAAGAAAACAAATTCAACAGTGGTGAACAATTGAGGTCTAATTCTAATTCAAAATGAATCATTAGAGATCAACACTCAACTCAAAAATTTTGACATTTTACTTGATGATCAATTATTAATTATATAATAATAGTTATTATTTATTTATTGCTCATGAAATACCTGGAACATTCAGGTATTATCAGCGATAGGCAGTATGGCTTCCGTCATCAGAGATCAACTCGTGACCTGCTCGCTTACGTCTCACATATATGGCAGCAATCTATTGAAAAATATGGTGAAACCTTAGCCGTGGCACTTGATATCTCCAAGGCATTCGATAGAGTCTCTCACCACGGACTCCTCGCCAAGCTTCCATCTTATGGCTTGCCTCCCCAGCAATGTTCTCTGCTAGCTAGTTTTCTCTCGAACGGGTCTCTCCATGTATTGGTCGACGGAGTTTCATCTGACTCCCTTATCATGAATGCTGGTGTTCCGCAAAGATTAATTCTAGCACTTACACTATTTCTACTCCTTATCAACGATTTGTTGGAAGCAACTTCATGTCCAGTACACAGCTTCGCGGATGATAGTACCCTCCATACCGCCTTCTCTTCCAGGGCTCCAATACCAGCCAGGCAAATCAGAAACGAACGAGGGAGAAATGATGACAACATAAATATGGACTTGGCAACAATTCTCGAATGGGGATCCAATAACTTGGTAGATTTCAATGCAAACAAAACACAAACATGCCTTTTCTCTAGAAAAGCCGATCTCACTGTGCCCAACATAAGCTTTTCAGGAGTAACCATACCTTTGAAGACATCCATTTCGATGCTTGGCATTACTGTCAGCAATAACCTCTCTTGGGAAAATCACATGAGATCAATTGCTAAAAGTGCATCCCAAAAACTTGGTTTTCTGTTTCGGGCCAGGAGCTATTTCACTTTCAGTCAGCTGTTTATGGTCTAGAAGGCACGATCCGACCTGTCCTGGAATACTGTTCCCATATTTGGAGTGCAGCACCCAAACATACCCTGAAACTGTTGGATTCTGTCCAAAAAAGGGCAATTCGTCTCGTGGGTGATGCCTCGCTCACAAACTCACTCACTTCCCTGGAACACCGTAGAACAGCTGGCGATCTGGCTCTATTTTATAGATACTTTCATGGACGATGGTCTTCTGAAATACAACAATTGTTCCTCCCTTGGCAGTCCCCGCGAGGTTAACCCGTCGAGTTCAGGCTTCCCACCCCTTTGTAGTCACTTTGGAGACCTGCAGAACATCTCTTTCCAAAGACTCGTTCATCCAACAAACAGCGAGGCTCTGGAACACATTGCCACGGGAGGTGTTTCCCGAGGCATATAACCTCCAAAATTTAAGAAGAACACCAATCCCTACCTCATTTCTCTTGGTTTTCAAGATGTTCTTTGAACATTACAGGATATCCCTTTTCGTGGGAACCAGAACATGAATAAAACGCTTTCGGAAGTTCTTTGCTCAAAGTGAATGTTATCATAATTCATAAGTAATATCACGATGTTTTGGTATGTGCAGCATTCTGCTTTGTATTATAAATGCTAGTGATTATTTTATGCCAAACTGACAGACTTTCCTTCGCTATCCATGGTGACTTCGTTGAAAACATCAACGCTGATACCAATCAAATTTGAAAGACAGCTAATGTTTTAGCAATAAGTACACGTTGTATCTGGCTTGTGATTGATCAGATTATGTGATGAATAAAATAGTCATTTCAATTAGAAGAGTGACTGGTGAGCGTTCACCTCTAGGGGGGTAGCTGCCCCACCCTGTCCCTCTCTGGCGACGCCTTTGTGCTATGCATTTTTTTCTTCAATCTCCCTTCCTCATCACAGGTCAAGAACTTAGTGAAAGACGAAAACCACTCCCTCCAATCGCACGTCGTCAACATGGAGTACTTCGAGAGATCGGCCATCATCAGGCTCGAACAGATGGGCCTGAAAGTGGAACGAACCTACGTCAAGAAGAAGAAAAACGATGACAAAACCGACGACAAAGAGGAGACGAAAGAAAGCGAAGAGCAGCACATGATTTGCATGTACGAGCTGGAAAAACTCACTGGCGACGCTGTCGCTCTGAGCGACGAAGATGTCAATATCGTGCCCCCTGCCACTTCGGATGCTGATTTGATTATGCCTGATGAGGGCAAAGCCATCCTTAGTTTCGACGAAATTTTAGAAGGTATTGTTAAGTGTAATCGGAAGAATATACCGGTTCAGTTGCAGACGAGTAAAGATTTCCTCGAAGAAACGATCAACAGGTTGGACTAGATTAATTTATTAAGGATCAACTTGAGTGTACAAATGGACAGATATATTTTTTTATTGCTTTAACATACTGGACGTTCCTGATCGAGTTACGAAAATTTGAAAATCAGGACGTTTTACTGGGAGGTTAGTGGTACAATTTTTCCAACCAGAAGTGCCTTGAATATGATTGTCAATCAAGTTTTCAATATTTGAAAATGAATTTACTGAGATTTATTCACGTAACTGAGTTGAATAATGATACAGGAGATGCTGAAACCATTATCTGTATATTGTTGTACATCTGAAGTTATTTTGAATTGTTAAATGTAATAACAACATTTAGACGTCAATATTGTGCCCCTGAGCCCCTGCGACTTCTGACGCGGATTTAATTTTGCCTGATGAGGGCAAAGCCATCCTCAGTTTCAACATGATTTTAGAAGGTATTGTTAAGTGTAATGGAAAAAGTATACGGGTTCAGGTGCAGAGGAGTAAAGATTTTCTGGAAGAGACCATCAACAGGTTGGACTAGATTAATTTATAAAGGATCAACTTGAGTGTACAAATGAACAGATATATTTTTTTATTGCTTCAACATACTGGACGTCCCTGATCCAGTTACGAAAATTTGAAAATAGGGACGTTTTACTGGGAGGTTAGTGGTAAAAATTTTCCATCCAGTAAAACATTGAAGTGCCTAGAAGATGATTGCCAATCAAGTTTTCAATATTTGAAAATGCATTTACTGATATTTATCCACGTTACTGAGTTTAATAATAATGTAGGAGATGCTGAAACCATTATCTGTATATTGTTGTACAGGGTATCTCTGTAAAGATGGGCAATCTCCCGGAAGTTATTTTGAATTGTTAAATGTAATAACAACAACATTTAGACGTCAATATTGTGCCTCCTGCGACTTCTGGCGCAGATTTGATTTTGCCTGATGAGGGCAAAGCCATCCTCAGTTTCAACGAGATTTTAGAAGGTATTGTTAAGTGTAATAGAAAAAGTATACGGGTTCAGTTGCAGAGTAAAGATTTTCTGGAAGATACCAACAAAAGGTTGCACTGGTAGATTATTTTATTAAGGATGTGTGCAAATGGACATTTATATTTTTTTATTGCTTTAACATACGGGATGTACGAAAATTTGATGATAGGGACCCTTTACTGGGAGGTAAGTGGTACACATTTTCCAACCAGTAAGACATTGAAGTGCCTTGTTATTTGAAAATGAAAATCAATTTTATATTGTGAAAATTCCATACATACGAAGTGAGACATTATGCCGGGTCTTCTAGGAGATGAGCAATCTCCTTGAAAATTAAAGAGGACACAGTTCTATCGAAAATCTTCGTTTGATGAAATCATCTGTGAACAATAAATATCTACAGAAACCATTTTCTCTTTCTCACTTTCTTTGATGGTGGATATAACAGTAATGCTAATGTCGGAAGTCATAAAGGCCGGAAGAAAAATATCTTCTCAGGATACTATCATTCTGAACAATTGAACCTAGCTGTAAACAGCATTTTTTAATATACTATTATTGAATTCATTTCTTAAGTGCATGAGAAATGTTGTGGAAATACTATGTATACTCAATCAATTTTAAACTTGAGCACAATTATTCGTTTTAGGATAATTTTTGCCGAAAAAATAGAACATAGTGTCTTGCATCAATTGTCAGCACTAAACACGATCCCAAATTTCTTTTTCAAAATGTACCTACTGCTTAAGATTGCGTAAGTATCGATGGTTTCTAAAAAAAAAATTGGGTCGTTCATTCTACCCCGAAAAGCGAGGGTGGCCTCACTTGAAGCGGGACACATTCTATTCAATATATTTAGCTATAATGACATCATGATGTGGTATTTGGATATTGAAAATGTTAGGTTAATGAATTTTGATCTTGAACAATTTTAAATCAATTTTTATTTATTTCCTAAGCGTAATTCACTAGTTTCGTTTTGATTCTTTGTACAAACTTTATGGACATTAATATTTATTGTTTTCAAACATAAAATAAATGTGAAAATAGGGCAATGTCAGTATATATTATATTTATAGCAACTCAAGTTGATCTCTGGAGTGTATAGGTAATTATCGTTGTATATTTGTGATTCAAATTTTATTTAAGTTTTTTAATATATTATATATTAGTTATTTTAATTTATATAACATGCTCACTTTCCATCTCATTAGGTACTTCATTTTATTCATTGTATTGACATATTCTCACTTTCATTTTGCATAAAGCACTGCCCGTTTTTAGTACCTGCCTATCAGTCTAGCCAGTTCGAATCACATAACTTATTTTCTCAAAACAATTTCTTGTGTTTATTTTTTGGGTTTTGGTTCTTATTTCAATTGCTTTAGAAAACATATCCATGATAGTGCCTTGAATGGTAATGGACATTTGTGATTTTCTGAATCTTGTCGAGTTGTGGAAATTTTGAAGTTTTTCAGATTGAATTTCTTTTAAACAAATGAAACTATTTTCACCTCAACGGCGTTATTATTGTACCGGAAGATTAGTCAGCTAAAAGACTGAACCTTCATTACAAATACCATATCATTCAATATAGCATCAAATTAGAATTGATTATAATATGTGATTTTGCAATATATTTATTGCATTGAAAGACTTCTTCCTCTAGCTTTAGGTATTTCTCGTAGACCTGTTATTGTAAATAATTTAATCATTTAAAATGTGATCTCTAATGTAAATTTGAATAAATATATAATTTTACAAATCGATCAGATACTAATGTTTATGATCTTATGGTGTAACAAATGTAAGAAATTTTATGAAATAAAGAATTGAAGAAAAATTATTCCGAACAAATTTGATAACCAATATTCCTTCTTTATATCTAGTGTGTGAAATGAAACACTTGGGTTCTGTTCAAGAAAACACATTTATATATCAAAAATACAGAAAGTACAAAAATAGAATATACATGAAAAGTTGAACAAAAATTAATACAAAAACAAGTCATTGTTTTCGTAAGGTAACTGCTAAACTGCTAATAGGTAATCAGCCAATATTACTAAGCAATAAGTTGTCAATATAAGGTATAAAAGTGAATAATATAAAGGGTGAGACCTTCACAAATAACTGAAAATACTGCATAAAAGAACTAATATGCACTATTTTTGTATAAAAAATCCAGTATCTTTGTGATATAAATCTAAATGCTACTATGGCAACATGTAACTTACGCTGTAAATTTAACACATAATACAAAACAAAACAAAATTATATCACATAAACTGTTAACAAAAATTAAACAAACAATTTGGTAGGAACATTCATCACAGTTCAAACATGAAAAAATATTAATTGCTAGTTTCATCAGATGCAAACCTGAATCGTTTCAACGGTGGTTCTAAGTCGTACGTCATCACAATTTCATCGGTTTCCAGATTGCTTTCCAGAAGGCATTGCACTTTATATTGCATAGGAGTATCCTGAAAATTTCAAGACTTCTATTTTATTTTCTTTCTATTTAACACTGAGGGTGAAATTTATGAATTAATTGCTGACAATCCAGCAAGAGCCAGACCGTACTGTTTTGGACCACCAGGCCCCATCAGTCTCCCTCGGGCTGCTGACAATAGGCATAAAATAAAATATTCACTCGACTACCTACCTTTCAATTCCATATTGTTAAAGATTTTTTCGGTCGACTTTAAGGTCCTAAAATCACCATTAATGCCACGTCAATTTTGAAACGGCTGGAAATTTTCCGCAAATAAGAACTGACGTCATGATTTCTTAAGTAGGGGCAGACAATAGCACAATTGACATAATATGTTGAAATACGACTGGGAAATTTGAAAATATTAATCTATTGATTCATGAATTCTCAATGATCATGTATTGGTAATATTCCTTAATAGCTATAAAAAATCCAATGTCTTAAAATTTTCCCACTCATGTGTTGTGGCTTATTCATTTATTGAATCAAGTAAAATCTACATATTTTGTCATTGAATATTAATTACATGTAGATATATTTCATATTGTATCTCCTTCACATTATAAATTTGTGTAAATAATAATTATATTACTTCACCCTGGAGGACATTTGGTCCCGTAAACGTGACAACACCGCAAGGATTGTCGGGGCGTTGTCTTGTCAGTTTTCAAAACGATTTTTTAAACGCCTCGACATGTGTTTCGCTAACTATGTTAGCATCTTCAGGAGGAGATTGAAACTGTTTTAGTTTTAATCTTCTCCTGAAGATGCTAACATAGTTAGCGAAACACGTGTCGAGGCGTTTAGAAAATCGGTTTGATTAGTGGTAAAACAGTGTAGTGTATCAATAACTATTATATCATGGTTTCCTCATTATGTCAAATGAGATATTTGATTTGGATGTAGTTTTATTCAACGGAAGGACTCATAACTTTTAGTAACTCGATCATTGATTGTATGTGGATCGCTTGTCTGGTGGCCTAAGACTGAACAGAGATCAGTTATAATGGAGCTTTCAAAACTCCAGAGATTAGCTTGTCTCTGCATCACAGGTGCAATGCGCAACACTCCAACGCTGCTATGGAAACCATACTCAATATTCCGCCTCTTGAAATCTTCATCAAGGCGGAAGCGAGGATGGGGGCACACAGAGTTTCAAGCACACTAATGGAAATGGGAAGTGACAAAATGCTGCCTAGAAATAACTATTACAGACCCTTCAACACTCAGCTCTACTGGGATGAAATGGTCTTGACTAACTGTCAGGAAGGCACGAGGCACGTCAGTGTGGTACACTGACGGATATAAGACTGATGAGGGTACGGGAGCCGGAATATATGGAGATAGACCCAGAACCAGGATTTGTGCTTCCTTGGGGAGGTATGCTTCAGTATTCCAGGCAAAGTGCATGCTATTGAGGCATGTCTAAGAGAGAATATCGTAAGAGGATACAGAGGTAAACAAATCCTCATATGCTCAGATAGTCAGGCGGCCATTCAATCTTTAACATGCAATAAAATCAGATCGAGACTGGTCTGGGATTGCCTTCAAAGCCTGCTAACCCTGGTTAACCACAACAAGGTAACTCTTCAATGGGTGCCAGGGCATGAGAAAATTGAAGGCAATGAAGCAGCTGACGCTCTTGCTAGGCAAGGGTCTGCGGCGTTGTTTATGGGACCGGAACCTGTGTTCGGTATCCCCAAAACCTCAATACGCGGCTGGCTGGCAAGGTGGATGCAAGAAAGAAATCAGGCATACTGGAACAATGTCCCAGGACAAAGACACAGTAAACTGATGGTTGGAACAATGTCCAGAACAGTGACTAACGAAATTCTGAGCCTTAACGGAAGTCAAATCAGACAAGTGACGGGACTAATAACCGGTCACTGCCCCTTGAGGAAACATATGCATCAAATGGGCATCTATACAGACGAACCCATACGCAGACTATGCAATGAGGAGGAGGAAAGTGCCACCCATGTAATATTGGAGTGTGAAGCACTAGCGCGTTGGAGATACAACCTTCTGGGAGCAGTAAACTCTCAAGAGGCTCTTCCAACGAATGATTTGGTGAAGAGGCTGATAAACCTTATCAAGGTAGCGAACCTTTTCACCTAAGTCAACAGCATGATCAGGAATACAATAGGGCCAAAGGCTGCAGTGTTTTGGGCTTCGAACCCTGACTGATCATTCTGCTATTAATCAATCAATCAATTCGATCATAATGATTATTGGTGACTTGACAGACAACCTTCCTTCATGAGTGGAAATGAAAAATTATTTGTGAATAGGTGAACAGCATAAGAACTGACGTAACCACGTTTGAAATGAGCTTTAAAATTCAACAATCTCGAACAACGCATAGGCACATTAGAGAGTTGAATTGTGTCATGAACGTTAACGTAAACGTAGAAATTGACAGCTACGCATGTGCATTTTCCAATTCTTCACGTTTGCGTTGTTAGTGGGCTTACGGGTGTACGTTATCTCACGTTCCTTCACGTATACCTTAAATATCAACGTACGTTAACCAAACTATACTCGAAATATGCCGATGAGTCAAAATTATCAAATTCGAGATCACCAACGAGTTCTGCATCTAGGAGTCCTCTAATTTTGACAGGAATAAATGTTCGTATCTAAACACACAACCAACAATGACCAATACAAACCGAAAACAAAATGTATTATTACGTTATGATGACAGTGACGACCAAAGTGGCGACTTCAACTCAATTTAACGGCAATACGTAAACGTTATTTTTCGTACGTTAACGTCGACGTGGAGGTCTACGTACAGTGATTACTTCAACTCTCTAATATTTACATAAAAAAATCGTAAGTGATGCAAAAATTAATTCAGATCCCTAAAGAAACAGTGGAGTACTTGAATGCTAATAATTCATTATCAGTCCTGTAGCCCACAACTCAATGCTTCAGGTATATATAAAACGCCGCAATCTCTGTTAAGCTGCCACAATTTGGATTGAGTTTTTCACAAATTATCCGACAAAAAAAACTAACTCCAAGTATCAAATATTAAAACATAACACAAAATACAAAAATCTTCAGGACCATTTGAGTTGTTAAAAATGATTGAAATTATTTTGGCATACGAATCGTGTTTTTCGGCTATTTATTAATTTGCGCATGCAATAACATTGTGCTGTTGTACAATGCACAAAAAATGCAGCGAGAGACGAAGGAATTCGGTTGGTACAATATGATTTAAAATTGAGTATACATACTATAGTCACTCACATATAGTTTTCATTTTGAAATTTGGTAATTTCTCTGATTTCTCATCGGAATTCCTTCTGCAATAGGAGCTAATCGAAATACTCGAGAAATTTCTAAAAGAATGCAACAAGATTGGATTCATGCAATCAAACGGGAGGACTGGTTCTGACATGCTGACGAAATATGATCGTGTGTGTTGTAGACATTTCTATTAGCAGTATAAGCTTCTATTGCAGAAGTGGCAGAAGGAATTTTAACCTCTTAACCGGTGAAGGTGATGTATGACAGATGCACCCAATCTGGGCGGCAAAATCGTCGCTTGCGTCATATTCCAATGAGTTAATTTTCGCGTATATGTGTCTTGATCAGTATAAGGAAAGGTTATAGCAAAATTACGTGAGATATTTCAAATATTTTTATTGGGATAAACTCATCGTTGGCATATTCTCAAAGACTTTGACGAACACCGATTACTTGGTATGGTAATCTCTGACACAAGGAGCTGGACAAAGTCCAGTTCTGCAATCCAAGCACCATTATCTGGATTCTTTCCTCACTCCCCTCTGTGAGCAAAGAACACACCTTTTCGTTGGTTTTTCCTTATTTGCTGTTCGAGGAATGATGGCTGGAAGATGCCATTCTGTAAGCCGACTAGGATTATCTGTTTTTGAACTCACTGTATTTTGAAATAATTCTTCTGCCAGCTCAATATTGAAATTGAGTCTCGATTTCCTTCCACCACTTTTTTCGTAGAGTAAGTATGCAGGAATTGAACATCGCTAAATTCATCATTTGCAAGAGCAGCTACTTACAATATTTCTAGAGATGAGTTCCAGCCAACTCTCTATAGCTATTATCTTTCTCTTAGACATGGTAATGCATCTACCGAACGTTCACTGCTGACTGTACAAACAAAAATGAATCGGAAAAAGAGTTTGTTTACACCAAATTCTTCAGTGAAGAGTGGGGATCACCGTGATCTATCGCTAGCGAACTTATACGTGTTATCCATGGAAAGGACCAGAAAAAATCTGTCGGCGAATATATTCGTCATACTCGTTGTGCAACGATTACTAGTTATCGTATATAATCGTCTTATTCGCTTAAGAGGTTAATGAGAAATTTCATAATGAAAACTATTCACTTGAAAAATCATATTCCTTCTTCTCTCCCTGCATTTTTTGTGCATTGTACAACAGCACAATGAAAAGGCATGCTCGAATCAATGAATAGCGCAAAAAACACGATTCTTCTGTAAAAATTGTGAAAAACTATTTCAATCCTTCGATTACTCTGTAAACAAATAGAAAAAGTGAGGTTGTGTTTCAATGTTTCACACAAAAGTGAGGTTGTGTTGCAATGTTTTACCTCCAGGGTCAATCATCGTGCACGCGACCTATATGATTATTGGTTAGGTTATCAGAAACTCACTTTTGCCAGCCAAGGGTGCTTCAATATGCCTTCAATCGAGATTCTTTCTTGAGGGTTCACCCTCAGCATTTTCTTTACAAGATTTCTGGCACTGAAAGACACGCTTTTCCAATGTTCCTCTTCCATGACGAAACGGCCGGATTTGATGAGTGCGGCCATCGCAGATTTATCCGAGAGTCTGAAAGAAATAACAAATTCCACCTTTACTTCAAAACCATACATATTCAAAAACAGGTTTTGATAAGTTGCATGTGGAATATAAACATTTAGGCAAGTCTGGTTGCATAATTTCATCTGTTCATTGAAAAAAATAATTGCGAAAATCGCCCTTATTGTGACAGATTCCTATACCGTGGAGACATCTACATGAACTAAGTTGTTCATTTTTTATCCCTAACCTAAAAATTCCTCATGTCAAGCATAAACTGTCAAGTTTGTAAATAAGAATCTCTTGAGTTGAAACTCGAGGTTGAAACATTATCAATAAAGATATTTATCAAGTATGGAAATTATCTACCTACTTGAAGTTGGTCACGCAATGCTATATTAGTTCAATTTATAAAGCTATTTGAATTTGAATAGGAACTGCGGAAACCTCGTATGAAACTTGTCAGTATTATGATAAAAAAAAGTTGCACTTTTTTGACATGCAAAGCCAAGCAGAAAGGTAGGGGCGGATATATTTTTGATAAGTTCGATTAGGAAAGCTGTGTATATATTTTCACGTCACAATCATAACCACAAACCTTAAAGAAACACTAGATAGATACATTATTGGAAATGGAAAATAAAAATAATAACTACTGAAAGCTAAAACTAGGTAGAAGTATAACAGATAAAGAAAATAAACAATTCAATGTACTTCCTTGGAAGTACATACTTACGAATACAAACAACAAATGCAAACCAACTAATTAATAGAGAACAAGCAACAGTAGGAGACATAATTAATTGGTGAAAGATACAATCGCAATTCTAAAGGATTCGATGAACAAAAAAGGTAGTAAACAGTCAACCAAAAGACGTCTAAACTGTCAGATACCAATCATTACATATTCTTCTAATTCATCAATATCTGTGGTAGAGGTTGAGTACTGTCTGACAAAAAAAGAAGAAGACAAATTCAACCTAAAACAGTTTCACTGACATTGAAACAAATGAGCCATTGACAGTTTCCTATTCGCGGGAATCAATCTCATTAGTGCCATTAGCTTGTGTACTGTGTACTGATAAGAGTGATAAGTTTTTAAATTTCTTGACATTAATTGTCAATATTCGATCGAAAACGCTAATAATGCCTGTTGTAGATGTTCTTCTGGCAGATATTTTGCTCTATTTAGATGGAGAAAGCCGACCAGTAGTGGAAGGAGAAGCAGTTCTCCGTGTTAATCATGTGATTTTGTGTGAGGCAGAAGACTCCAACAAAAGGCACATTTTTGCACTTTGTCTACAAACTTCGGCGATGAAATCTTCCCCACATGAAGTAAAATTGAAGTTGCGGTCCAGAGGAACTCCTGTAGAACAATGGATTTGTATTTGTTCATACAAAGCAGGACGATCTGGGTATTGTAAACATGTTGTGGCTGTTCTTTTATATGTCAATTGATTTGCTCGTCATAATTAGTTTGAATTGTTTGAACTATCTCCAATTCTTCACCCGTTCACTGTTCACTAAACTAATAAAAATGTAATAATGTAAAAAAATTAACCAACCCAACCATCATCACTACATCCTTATCACTACCAACAGTGCCAACACTTTATGTCATTGACAAGTTTGACTACAGAGCAAGCTGAATGCAATGTAGTCTATGCACTTTATCCATAGACAATAGTTTGTTTTCCCCCAGTTTGAAGTTCGTATTATGTAACCTAGCGCCACTGACAGGCAGACAAATTTTGGGTCAACGAGCAGACAATATTACACCTCTCTCCTACTGACTAGCTTCTCCATTTAGATAGACAAAGATAGTACTAACTTGAAAGGAAGTTTTTTGGATAGCATGTAGAACAAAATCACCCCCAAACTCCACACGTCCACCTGTTTATTGTATTCCTTGATCTTATTGTCGAGCATTTCCGGAGCTATGTAGCACATTGTACCGCAAACGGTCATCATCATGTCATTTCCTTCAGTTACTTTACTTAGTCCGAAATCGGACACCTTCAACAACGTTTCTACTTCATCTGAGTGAAGCAGAACATTATCAGGCTAAAATGAAAAACATTTATTGTGTGAAACCATAAGTCCATGGTGTCTCAAAAGTAGAAAGAGTTGACTCCATATTTTTTATGTTGATGAGTCAGTTTTTGTACCAGGACTCTTAACAGCTTGAAGAAGATACAATTTTTTTCGATCATTCCAGGTCTTCTAGTCAATTATCATGAAATGTTGAAGAGTGTCTTCGGAATATTAAATTTCATCACAAGTAAAATATTTTTGGCAATTATCTCTGAATCCAATCAGTTTCAAGAAACATATACAAGAGCAAAAAGTATTCGAATAAATGAGATAATATAAATCACTGTCTCATTGAAAGCAGAGGTAGCAGGCAAAAAAGTTCAAGAGGGGTAAATTGGGTACCACCCCCAAAAGTGTGTCACCCTGTAGGTAATCAAAATCGCCTGAAAGCTCTTAATGTCTAATTCTTCAAGTGTAATAGGTATACCAAATTTCAATTCATTATTCCAAAAATTGCGGAACACTTGAAAAACTTTTTGAATGAAGCTCCCTCGTATATATTTTGTTCATATGAAATTTTTAACCTGCAAATAAGTGTCCTTCAAGGCTTCAAAGTTCCGTTGCAAAAAACTGACTCACCCTGTATGAATTATAAGAACGATAAACTAAATCATCATATTATCAATTTCCTCAAAACATCCCCTTTGAATTTTCAGAACCATCTGGGACAAATAACATTCTGGGATATTCTCTAACATTCTAGAATCTTCTGGAATATTTTATAACAACCTGGTAAATTCTAAAACGTTCTAGATGATTCGAGATCATTCTCGAACATTCTAGAAGATTCTATAACATTCTCAGACATCCAGGAAAATTCTACACCTTTTCCAATAGTAATTCAGAAAGCGTCAAATGCAATTCAGACAATATCATTTGTAATTCAGATTAGTTAATTGAAATTCAGAAAATATCAAATGTAATTCAGGATTGTCAATTGATCTTCAGAATGCGTCATTTGTAATTCAGATTAATCAACTGAAATTCAGAAAGCGTCAGTTAGAATTCAGAAAGCGACAATTAAAATTAAGAAAGCGTCATTTATAATTCAGAATGTATCATTTGTAATTCAGAATGGGTCAATTGTAATTCAGACTAAGTCATTTGTAATTCAGATTAGTTGATTAAAATTCAGAAAGCATCATTTGTAATTCAGATTAGTCAATTGGAATTCAGAAAATATCAATTGTAATTCAGAAAACTTCATTTGTAATTCAGAAATATGGAACAGTGTTACCTCTGCATGCATACCTACCTACAATCCACCATTATCAAAAGTACCTACCTACTGTGTGTATATCCTATGTTCCTGGAAACAAATATTCCAACTTCAAATAATCATACATCATCTCATAAAATGAACTTCATAGACAACTGTATGATTTGTCGTATTCCAATGACTCGAAATGCAGTTACAAGATTGCAGCCATGTAATCATTTTGTGCATACGAAGTGTGCTTACCACTACAGAATGTGCCAGATGTTACTTGCCCACTATGCAGAGCAATTTTAACTGGACATTTGGACGTTGAAAGAAATAGGTATTGATCCATATATTTCATTGAAACGAATTATTCACAGGTTCGTAAGACTGGAGCCAGAGATGTACAACAGATACCGGCTGCAAGAGGACCCAATGTACATCTCATTGGGGCAATTTTGGCAGCAGGGGTAGTAACTATGGAAAGAAGGAGAGGATCTTTCTGAATTCCAATTGACTAATTTGAATTACAATTGACGATATCTGAATTTCTATTGATGCTTTCTGAATTTCATTTGACAAATCTGAATTACAATTGATTTTTTCTGAATTTCAAGTAACTTATCTGAATTACAAATTACGTAGTCTGAATTACAATTGACGCATTCTGAATTACAAATGACGATATCTGAATTTCAATTGACGCATTCTGAATATCAATTGAAAAATCTGATTCACAACTGACATTTTCTAAATTTCAGTTGACTAATATGAATTACAATTGATTTTTTCTGAATTTCAATTGACTAATCTGAATTACAACTGACGTTTTCTGAATTTCATTTGAGAAATCTGAATTACAATTGACGCTTTCTGAAATACATCTGGAAAAGGTGTAGAACATTCTGGATCATCACAGAAGATTCTATCGTATCGTTATTGTTTTGGACGACATATTGTTCATAGATTTGTGTTTTCACTTTCAAAATTTGAAACTGATGATTCATGGAAGGTTCCAAACATGTCGCAATAAAATGAAAATTCTGGAGTTTCTTTGCTTGCTAATGGTACTAGTGTTAATTATTATAGATTCACCTTTAAATCGCGGTGGGTTATACCTTTACCATGAAGGTATTGTACCGCTAGGACCATCTGATAGAATAAAAATTTGATGTTGGATTCGCTCAGTGGAACATTTGATGTAATCCTGTTACTTAATACGCCACCTTTCATATATTCCAAAACAATATACACTTCCTCGGGCGTTTCAACGATGTCTTCCATTTTTATGATGAACGGCTGAAAAATGTATGGTTTATGAATTTCCGGTATAGAGGTGTGTTCTTCAGCACCTCCAAAGAGGGAATAAAGTGAATCATCTGATTCCTAGGGATTTAAATGAACTATTGCTGTGTTACTTTACTTCATCATTTCAAAGGAAAACAACTGGTTCTTGATGAATTAAAATTTTAGGTTGACAGGTTACATCAATTTAATTTGATGATGAACTTCTTTTTCTCCACGCGGCTTAGAAAGTGGCTTTTCTTTGACACGTAACAGGCAGGAAAAGTTTGTTGCTATATATGCAACGTTCCAAGTAATTTGAATAAAATAACACAGAATTGGTTTAAATATTTCACACGGCAGCAAATGCATAGATTGAATGCCTTGGTTGAAGTCCTAGCCTCGCCTACGCTCGGCCATAGGCTCGGCTATGAACATCAACCGCAGCAGTCAATCTATTACTTTGCTGCCTAGTAAAACAAATAACTATTAGGTGCGTTCAGCACATTTTTGGGTGAAGAAAAATAGCACTGAATAGCAAAAAATCTGAAGGATATCTCCCACATGCGGTATTTTGTAATTATGATTCGATTCAATTCAAAATTAGGATATTCAAGATGGCGGATCCAATATGGCGATGAAGTTTTGTAATTATGATCCGATTCCATTCAAAATTGGTAACTTGGGGCTTGGGTCGGAGATTATGATTCTTTCGTCAAAGTTTGGACATTCAAGATGGCGGAACCAATATGATGGACGAGTTTTGTAATAACGATCCGATTCGGTTCAAAATTGGTATCTGAGAGTTTTCGGGGTCGGAGGTTATGAATCTTCCTACAAAATTTGAAAATTCATGATTGCGGAACCAAAATGGCGGACGAGATTTGAAATTATGATCCGATTCCATTCAGAATCGGTATCTGATGGAGGTTGTTTTCGGTGTCGAAATATGTCGATTATGATTCTTTCGTCAAAATTTGGAAATTCAAGATGGCGGAACCAAAATGGCGGACGAGATTTGAAATTATGATGCGATTCCATTCAGAATCGGTATCTGATGGAGGTTAATTTCGGTGTCGAAATATGTCGATTATGATTCTTTCGTCAAAATTTGGAAATTCAAGATGGCGGAACCAAAATGGCGGACGAGATTTGAAATTATGATGCGATTCCATTCAGAATCGGTATCTGATGGAGGTTAATTTCGGTGTCGAAATATGTCGATAATGATTCTTTCGTCAAAATTTGAAAATTCAAGATGGCGGAACCAAAATGACGGACGAGATTTGAAATTATGATGCGATTCCGTTCAGAATCGGTATCTGATGGAGGTTAATTTCGGTGTCGAAATATGTCGATTATGATTCTTTCGTCAAAATTTGGAAATTCAAGATGGTGGAACCAATATGATGGAAGACTTCCGTATATGATCCGATTCTATTCGAAATTTGTATCTGGGAGTTTTCAGGGTCGGAGATTATGACTTTTTCTTCAAAATTTGAAAATTCAAGATGGCGGAACCAATATGACGAAGGGCTTCTGGAATTATGATTCTTTCGTCAAAATTTAGAAATTTAATATGGCGGAACCAAGAAATTTTGTAATTATGATCCGATTCTATTCAAAACTTGTATCTGGGGTTTTTGGGGTCGGAAATTATGTTTATGTCGACAAAATTTGGAAATTCAAGATGGCGGATCCAATATGGCGCACATCTTTTGTAATTATGATTCTATTCAAAATTTGTTTCTGGGGTTTTTTTGGTCGGAGGTTATGGTGGTATCTGGAGGTTTTTGGGGTCGGAAATCATGATTCTTTCGTCAGAATTTGGAAATCCAAGATGGCGGAACCAATGAGTGTTGTGATTATGATCCGATTATAATCAGAATCTGCATCTGGGGTTTGCGGAGTCGGTAATTATGATTTTTTCGTCAAAATTTGGAGATTCAAGATGGCGGATCCAATATGGAGCACGTGATTTGTAATGTTGATCCGATTCTATTCAAAATTCGTGTGGGGATTTTTGGGGTCGGAGATTATGATGGTATCTGGAGGTTTTCGGGGTCGGAGATTATGAATCTTCCGTCAAAATTTGTAAATTCAAGATAGCGGAATCAATATAACGGACGAGTTTGGTAATTATGCACCAATTCCATTCAAAATTGGTATCACAGGGTTTTCGGGGAAGGAAATTATGTTTTTTCGTCAAAATTAATGATTTCAAGATGGCGGAACCAATGAGTTTTGTAATTGTGGTCCGATTCTATTCAAAATTTGTATCAGGGGTTTTCGGGGTCGGAAATTATGATTCTTACGTCAAAATTTGGAAATTCAAGGTGGAGGATCCAATATAGCGCACGTGTTTTTGAAATTATGATCTGATTCCATTCAAAATTTGTGTCGGGGAGTTTTTGAGGTCGGAGATTATGATGCCATCAGCAAAATTAGGAAATTCAATAAGGCGGACAAGTTTTGTATCATCTGATTTTATTCAAACTAAGTATCTGAGGCTTTTAGAGGTCAGAGATTATGATTCCATCATCAAAATTGGGAAATTCAAGATTACTGATTCAATATGGCAGATAAGTTTTGTAATTATGATCCGATCCTATTTAAAATTTGTATCTGTGGTTGTCAAGGTCGGAGATTATGAATTATTCGTCAAAATTGGGAGATTCAAAGGAACTAAAAAGGAGTAAAAAATAATAATCTAATAGAGAGGCAGTATACTTTGAAAGAAAGAATATAAATATGACTTCACGGTCATGCGTTTTTTTTTCTAGAAGGGTAGCTAGGCAAAAACCACGAAAAGTTGCACTGGATAAAAAACTTACATGCTTTAGTGTTTGTAGGATACTTATTTCAGTCTGGATTTTGTTGGGGTGATTCAGTTTGTACATTTGTGAGGTGGTGCTTCTGCCTTTGAGAATTTTTTTTATAGCTACCATCTTACAGGTATACTGAAAAAAAATTGATACAATCAGTTTATCTCCCAGATGCATCATCTCTTTACCTTCTCAAATGCCAGTCTCACTTCTCCCACTGCTCCACTACCTAGTATTTTACAGGGTAGATATGTTTGTTTCAAATTTGGTGGCAAATAGCTCATGTCTTCGGAAGCCATGCATTTGTATAAATACACTGAAACATAATAGAGGTTGTACCAAGTTGCATATCAACTGAAATATCTACTCACATTTGAGTTTGGTTCTCCCAATTGAAATTGTATCATTATCTTGCAAAATGTTTATATTATTTTTTCCAATCAAACGATTGTTTAAGTATGTACCAGTTTTGCTCATGTCTTTTATCAGAGTTATTTGATGATTGGGATCTTTGGAAATTACAAAATGTTCTTTACTGAAAAGATTCTTCACATTTTTACTGATCTTTGTGTTTTCAATAACAATATCACAAAGATGAGATCTACCAACTTTGAACTGATCCTCATGTAAGTCTAAAAATTAATAGATTGAAAGTTTTATTGATTTAATAATACTGTAATTATTTCATTCTTTGCTATAAACATTACATTGCATCTCATATGAATCTAATATATAAAATTCTCCTGTCCCGGTCACGTGCGTATTCAGTAGGTATGAGAATCGGTCGTAATCTATTTTTCAAATCTAAAATTAAAGATGGCGGATCCAATATGGCGGACGAGTATTGTTATTCGATTTAATTCAAAATTGGTAATTGGGGGTTTTCGGGGTCGGAGATTATGATTCTTTTGGCAAATTTTGGAAATTCAAGATAGCGGATCCAATATGGCGGACGAGTTTTGTAATTATGGTCGGTCCATTCAAAATTGGTATCTGGGGGTTTTCGGGGTCGGAGAATATGATTCTTTTGTCAAATTTTGGAAATTCAAGATAGCGGATCCAATATGGCGGACGAGTTTTGTAATTATGGTCAGATTCCATTCAAAATTGGTATCTGGGGGTTTTCGAGGTCGGAGATTATGATTTCTTCATCAGAATTAGGAAATTCAGAATGGTGGATCCACTATGGCGGACGAGTTTTGTAATTATGGTTAGATTCCATTCAAAATTGATAACTGAGGGTTTTCGGGTTCGGAGATTATGATTCCTATGGCGAAATTGAAAAATTCAAAATGGCGGATCTAATATGACAGACCAGTTATTAATTGTGATCAGATTCTATTCAGAATTAGTATCTGGGGTTTTCCTGACTCGGAGATATGATTCTTTCATCAAAATTTGGCAATCCAAGATGGGAAATCCAATATGGCGAGCGAGTTTTGTAATAATGATGCGATTCCATTCAAAATTTGTATCTGGGGGATTTCGGTATTGCAAATTATGATTCTTTCATCAAAATTTGGAAATTAAAGATGACGAATCCAATATGGCGGACGTGTTTCGTAATTATGATCCAATTCTTTTCAAAATTAGTACATGGATCGAGATATGGATGTTTTCGTGGTAGATTATGATTCTTCCGTCGAAATTCAGAAATTCAATATGGCGGAACCGATAAAGCGAACAAGTTTTGTTATTATGATCCAATAATTCTATTCCAGATTGGTATCTGGGATTTTCGGGGTCGGAAATCCAAGATGGCGGACGAGTTTTGTAATTATCATACGATTCTATTCAAAATTTGTATCTGGGGGTTTTCGGAGTCGGAGATTATGACCTTTTTCTTCAAAATTGGGTAATTCAAGATGGCGGATCCAATATGGCTAACTAGCTTCGTAATAAATATTAGTTTGAAAAACTATAATGGAACACGTTTCGATAAATAGCCAAACTCGAGGCCAAATTGAAAAGGAGTAGAAAATTGATAGTATAGTTTGAAAAACTGAAGGAACGTCATTTTATGGATAGTCAAACTAAAAAGAAGTTGAAAACAATGTAATAGAAGTGTGTTGATAAATATTTAACTGTGAAAATATTTTCTAGAAATAAATGTATATAGCAAAGCAACGTTTGCCGGGTCAGCTATTACAATAAATAGTAGTTTGAAAAACTAATGTAACACACTTTTATGGATAGCCAAACTAAAAAAAAGTAGAAAATAAAATAACAAAAGATTGTTGATGAATATTTAAATAAAAAAATATTTTCTAGGAATAGTGTTTATGGCAAAACAACGTTTGCCGGGTCAGCTAGTATAAATATATTTTATCAACATTTACAATGAAATAACATAATAATCAGACAGATTCATATCTGGTATGAGATTATTCATGTGTTATTAAATCTAAGTTATTGAAACAAAAAAACAGATTCAAAAATAATATTAATAAAACAAAAAGCTCATGAAAAGTACATTATGACATGATGAAATAAATTAGTGAATAAGAAATCATTCACTCAGGTTTGCTTTTTTCTTAGCAAGAGACAATGTTTCTTGACTTCAATTTTGAATTGGCCAAGTGTAGAATTTGCAGCATCAAGATGAAACAAGTCATATTGTCTAGTATGATGTTCATGGATTTGAGAATTCCTTACCAATATCAAAGATGAACTACATCTATGCCAATATGGAGTTAGATTTGAGGTGTTTGTTGATAATATCAAAAGAAATTTTGAGAGTATTTATCAGATAGTGCTCTTCCAAAAAAAATGTATTTGTTTCTTCATAAAGTTTGATGGGGTGCATATGGAAGATGATACAGCACTTTCAATGCTTTTGTATATAGTACAGATATTTTATAAAACTTATTCTTGGAACATGAACCCCAAATATTCATGAGATCGTTCATTTTAATGAGGATATGAGAGTATAGAATTGTATTTGCTATATTTAAGAGTTTTGGACATCTTCTTAGGGCACCAACTGTGGCAGAAATATTTTTTCTTTGAGCATACCAATATGCTTGTACCATGTTAACTTCTCATCAATTCAAATACCAAGGTATTTGTTATAGGCAGTTAGTTTTAATCTTTCATTTTTCATTCTAATATTCAAATCAACATTTTTTGTTTATTTCTTTGATGGAAAATTGAATATTGGGTCTTATTAGAATTAAGGGAAAGAAGATTGAAGTATGGCCATACCTCCATTTTCTTCAAATCCTCATTTATGTTGTTCTCTAAAATTACAGTGTTTTTGTTTTCAAATAAATGGCATAGTATCCTACTAAATTTATTTTTGAATTGGTTTGAATGTATAAAATATACAGAATTGGGCCCAACACTGATCCTTGGGGAACTCCTTTGTTTATATATAGTATTTTAGATTCACAATTATTGATTTCAGGACTGATAGTCCTTTTTTAAAGATATGTTTTCAAGAGATTTTTTCCAATATGCCTATATGTCTGATGCCCATTGATTTAAGGTTTTTCAGGAGAATATTGTGGTTAATAAGAATCAGTTTTCATTCTGCAATGTATACTTCATGATCTTGTGAAGTAATAAATACACAAAACTCACTTCATCACCTCCATTTGAGAGTATTATTTGGAAACATTTTTCAGATTCTCATCTTGTCAACTACCTACTGGCTACTTTTAGTTTTATGAATGCTTACCACATGATTCTAAATGTAACATACAGGATATAAGTCGACCCCATATAGGTAATATCTTACATTGAATACTTGGAGAAATACATGTTCCAACTGGACTCAAGGTATCAGGTAGATTTTCAATGACTTGAAGAGTATACACTGTAAAATATAGCTGGTAGTTAATGTGCGATGCTGGAAAAACAATGAACATTACTTACCATTATAATCTTTATGTCCAATTGCTATCTGAGCCTTGTCCTTCAGACGAATTTTAGTATGCTTTACTGCTCTTGTACCAGATATGAAAGTACCATTTTTACTCAGGTCAGTTAAATATAGTACATTTGTTTCGGAATCTAATGTGAGTGTGAAGTGAACCTTGCTAACACTAGCAAGGTAATTTCTGTTCATTTTATTCTCTTCCATTACTACATCACAATTTGGTGATCTTCCCACCTTGATAGTGTCTTTATTTATGACTAGAAAACACAAATCATCACATTCCTACTAACATATGAGTTCTAGTATCTTCATTTAACACCTTATCTCTAGTGGAATCACATCTTATAACAGCAACTTCTGGAGCAACTCAAATTATAAACATGAATGGTTGATAAACATCAGATTATTTTCATAACAATTGTAGTGATAAAAATATAGGGAACTCCATCACTTCCTCAGTATTATAAACCAATATGTTCAGATCATAATATCATAGTTCACATTCAAATGGAACGGTTCATGCAAAAATTCAACAAATTCTCAAGAGACTATAGATTTTATCCGAGATTTCACCACTTGAATCTAAGCATTCTTTACTATAATCGTTTCACTTGCTGATTTCTGTAAATTGTGCTTCTTGAAATCACTTTTGTATTTACCTATTGAATCCAATGTAGGTATACAGGGAATGAGGCGGTATAATAATTCCAATTGATGTAATTCATTTCCAGGCTGGTTGTCAGTCATGATGAATTATGGATTCAAGTTCTCCGCAAATCCAAAATACAAAATCACTAATACAAAACACAAAAAATACAGTTTTTATTTTACTTTTTATAGTTTTCAACGCGATATTTTCAATGTGAAATGTGAACATAACCGCCAAACGCCAAAATAACCGCCAAAACAGAAGAATGAGAAGAACATAACCGAATGACAAAGACAAATGACAAGAGTGACTAGGACTAGACTGCCTGTTTGAAAACAGTAAAAATGGGAAGAAGTAGAAGAGTATGGGAACTAAATATTTCGGACCAAAGGGGTTGGTACACTTGTGAACAACTGTCGAGTGACGAGTGACGCCAAAATTTAATTCAATTTTCAAAGCACAAAGTTTTCATGCGAATTCATAAGCAATGATTTGAATTTAATGTCGTCTTTCTGGTTCTCATTTGAAGAAAATAATGGGTGCAGTGACAGAGACCGAGGTGAAGAACTCTTCTTTGTCTCCTTTCCGCCTTCTGGGCAGTCTTTGAAGGACCGCTGTTATATATATGTATGGAGTGTTGGTGTTGGCCATACAAAATTGTGAGTTATAAAACTTACATTATATTTTCATGACTAAGTATAGGTTCTCAAAAATACAATTGGTCACTTATATTTATCGAGAATAATTTCAAACATTATAATAATTAATGATATATAGAGGTATATATTTGAGTGTTTAAAACAGACGTGGCAATATTCAAGGGGGTGAATGCCACGTGAATGCTCAGATAATTTTATGAAAAAAAGTTCCATAAACAAAACTGCATTGTACTGTAGTTTGGCAAGCTGATTTCGGGACACGCGCTGTATATATATTCATGGCATTTTGGTGACAATCCAGGGTAATCGGCCTGATCTTTTGTATTGGTAATAGTCATAGGCTAATTTTGCAAGAATCAACACAATGAGACTTGCTAGCACAGCATTGAGTAGATCTAATCCTTCTTGAAGGGAATATTTTGCTGGTAGTCGGCATACTGAACTTCTCGATAAACCGTTGATCTAAAATAAAAATACGTCAAAAATAAATGGTAAGTGTTTACATAAAGTAAAGTTTATACAAAAATAAATTGTAGATTTTCGTGCCGCACCTGCACTCACTTCAAAGGGAACTTCAAACACGCATGGTGCCGGATATTCTGCCATTGGTTTTGTAGGTATACAGGGTACCCGTTTTTCCAGCTTAACCGAAGCTGCACATTTTCATGCTGAAAATTTATCTGCAAGAACATTCGATGTGTCCTTCTCAGTTTTTTAATTATTCGAAGAAAACGAAAATTTGTAATTTTCGTTTTTATTTTTTCAAGCGAAAACCAAAAGACCTAGACGTTTCTGACTAGGACATTCTTGAGGAACTTTTTTACAAGGAATCTGAATCTGTCATCGTCAAAGTTACAACACTCAACTTTGTTTTTTCTTATGGGCGCCATATCGGATTTTTGCATTTTTGGAAAGTCTTTTTTTTATTAAAATGATGTATCACACGATATGATCGAATCTTTCCTGTTAATCAAAATTTGCGAAGAGTGCTTTGGAAGCAACGTCAATAGTTTTGTTCAACAAACTGAATTTTGACAGCTCAATTGAATACAGTGTGTCCCAAATTCGATCCTCACCATTGGGATCTCAGTAACTATGAGAGATAGAGAAACAGTTAAATTGGCAAAGTTGTAGCAAATTTAATGTTGAATCAGAATCTATTGAGAAATCTGGGCTAGCTTTAGTCATTCTTGAGTTATTTGAGAAAAATTGAAATCTTGTATTTTTGTTTTGTTCGAATATCTCGGAAACTATTGATTTTATGAAAAAATGAGTTTAACATTCTCATAGCACTTTTTGGTGTTCTTTTTCAATGGTTTTGTCAGTTTTCCATCAAAATGTCGAATTTCTGAGATATCACCTACCTAGGAAAGATTCGATCATATTGTGTGATACAACATTGTAATAAAAAGAAGACTTTCCAAAAATGCAAAAATCCGATCGAATTTGGGACACACTGTATGTGAACAGAACTGTTGAATTCTTAAGCTTATCCACATAACGCAAGAACCCTTCCTAATTTAACCGACCTCGTATCTCTCATAATAACTGAGATCCCCATGGTGGTGCTCGAAAAACGGACACCCTGTATACAATATCTATACATATATACGTGAATATCCATTAAAAACTTACAGGTAGAAGTGAATTTTCATCTCCTTCCACGTAAGAGCATTTGACTTCTTGTATGTCCTTCACTTGGGCAGCATACTTTTGTAGAACGAATTCCTGAAATCATCCTATATATAAAGGGTGTAACATAACTTGTGTCCGCTCTGTTTCGGACATATAGGGTGTTGAAACTGATTTTTTTCGCTTTTTGAAAAGTTATTTGCACGAAATTTGGCATCCAGGGCTTTTATGACGTGGGAAATCATGATTATATATTTTTCCTCCGATTGGCAGCAAATATTAATTTTGCTGACACATATCAATCAGCAAAGTATTACTTTTCCTGCCTAGGCAGCAAAGTGGGTACTTTGCTGCCTAGGCAGCAAAGTGGTTACTTTGCTGATTGATATGTATCAGCAAAATTAAAAATCCATAAATCGTTTATAATTTCCTTCATATTTCATCCGAGACTTCTCCAGCAACAAATTCAACTCTATATTTTTTGCCACCTCCCTTATTAATGGAGGTGTGAGTATACTTCCAGGTCGCTATCACTGTCCATTATATAATAATTTAAATATACCGATATTTTTTCCGCACAACTGTCAGAAATTTCATGAATTGTCAAACCAACAACTGCGATTTCTATCAAATTTTATTTTAATTGAACACTATACAGGAAGAATAAAGAGATTGTGGGAATTGTATTAATTCGCAAATACAATATTCTCCCATATCATTATGAACAATCGGAGAAAAAATTATATGTTCAACTCAGCAGCAAAGTAGATTGACTGCCTTAGCTGGATTCCTAGCCTCGCTACGCTCGGCTATGAATTCAGCCACGGCAGTCAATCTACTACTTTGCTGCCTAGTTAAACAAATAACTATTTTTCATGTAACATCTAGGGTGCGCTGTGTACGCTTTCATTAGTCATTTCAAATTTTCAAATTGCCGTTACATTTTTGACAGTAAACTTTTTCATGGGAAAATCATATTTCCACACCTTTTCCAAGTAAAAAAGGTACACTTTCTCAACAACGCTAGATGTGATCGTTTTCGAGATTTTCACAATTTTTTACAGGGTAAGTCACGAAGAGCTTACTCTATAATATGTCTACACTATATCGAGAATCAGCCGGTAGGAATCCATGAAAATGAGCATGCTTATATTTTAAGAATACGCTCTCTTCATTTGAAATATTTTCGACGATGCAGTAAGTAGTAGCAGCAATGGAACACCCTGTATTTCATCGTATTTTCAGTTTCTCCCTAAAGAGTTGATTTCATCGATATATCAAATTTGTTTATATTGTGATTTTATAATTCTTTAATATTTTATATTTATATTTATACCGGGTGATCCGAGTCATTGAAATGGGAAAGTGAGATAACGACTTCGCTGTTTGACATAGATGAATAAAAATTTGTGTGATGGTCTAGACTCATGAGAAGCATATTTCTAAATTACTTTGCGTATACAGGTTGACTCAAATATGCGTGGCGTATGAAAGTTATACTTTTCATTATAGAGGACACCCTGTATTTTATTACATTTCCGGTTTCTCCTTTTTGAGCTGATTCCATCAATGTATCACACTCGGAATCTAGCGGAAATGATTACAGAGATATAGGGTGTTCAAAACCGAGATTTTTCAACTTTAGGATTTTTTTGTGTTGAAACTATCAATTATTGGTCAGAACGGCTCACATGTCCCTATATTAACTTTGGATTCACTATCTACTGATATTTAATTTGGACGAATACAGGGTAGTTCAAAATTCAGAATTATGAACCACCCTGTATTCGTTCAAATTAAATATCAGTAGATAGTAAATCAAAAGTTAAGATAGGGACATGTATGCCGTTTTGACCAATAATGAATAGTTTCGACCCAAAAAAATCCTAAAGTTGAAATATCTCGATTTTACACACCCTATATCTCTGTAATCATTCTTGCTAGACCCAAGTGTGATGCATTGATGAAATCAGCTCACAAAGGAGAATCCGAAAATGCAATGAAATACAGGGTGTCCCATAAGAAAAAGTATAACTTTGATACGTCACGCATTTTTAAGTCACCCTGTATAAAGCGAAATATTTTGGAAATGTGCTGCTCATGAGCCTAGATCATCACAACAATTTTTGTTCATCTATCTCAAACAACAAAGGCGTTATCTCACTTTCCCATTTCAATGACTCACCCTGTATGTATAGGTACTAACTTCTTTCAAACCAATATTTATAATTATTATAGTATTTTACTTCTACTTACTAATCAGGTAACTCATTATTTGTGATAGTATAATCTAACGCTTTGTCAATAAGTAATTTTTCTTAGACAATAATAGTATATTATGTAACAAGTGTTATAAACGTCCTCTTAGTAACGAGTATTTTAAGCACGAGCGGAGCGAGTGCTTAATTAACGAGTGTCTAGAAGAGTTTATAAACGCGTTACATACTATGCTTTTTCTACGAACTCCGAAAATTATATTAATACCTGCTATTCCTGCTAACCTACAAAATAATTCGAAAGAAATGGGAATTGAGAGCATAATACATGCAACTCCAAGCAACCAGCTAGACACGTATAAGTGCTATTGGTTGTAGATGTGTCCAGTCCATTGCTTACTAACCTTTGTTTCACATTTATCGTCATGCTTAGCGCAGAATAAATGAATTGTTCTCAAAGATGGATGCTTCATTTTCACACTTCTTGGAGATATGCAAGTACCAGAACATTCTCTTTGATTTCATTTTCGTCTACATTGCGCATATATTTACAATGAAGAATTCGGATACAAACGAAACTTGTTTGAATAATTCTGATACAAAATTCGAAAATGACAGTTGACAGTTCCTACAATTGATAAGCCAGACATGTCTCAAATTACTGAAGCTGATGTGTTTAATGAACTGTGTTGCCATGGTAATGTGTTTAAGAAATCGTGTTGCCATGGTAACGTGTTTAATATTATGAATAAACCATGCACAGATCGCCAATCCGTGATTCATCGATCATTTAGCGTGGTACATATCCGTACGATAAATGCCACTTTAGTTATGTGAGTAGAAAAAGCATATTTTTGATTGATTGATTGATTGGGGTTTATCGAAAATGATTAAAGATATATAGGGCATTCAAAATAGAGATTTTTCAACTTTAGGATATTTTTGTGTAGAAACTATTCATTATCGGGCTCACATGTCCCTATCTCAACTTTTGATTCACCATTTCCTGATATTTAATCGGAACAGATACAGCGAGGGTGGTTTAAGATTCAGAATTCATCATAAATATAATTAATACTCCTTCATAGCCATGTATAACATGTTAAATTAAAATTATTATGTATGAAACAGAAAAAGTTATTAAAACCCAAGAATACCAATTTTTCGCTAAATTATCTCTTACCGTTTAGGAAATAGCGATAGGCAAATACTGTCCCTATTAAATCAAATCGACCCCGTATATAGGTACCTACCTGGAAACCTGGAACGGAAACACAATCACATCTCCAAGGATTTCCACCTAGGTAGAGCCCGACAGCATCGGGCATATTGGGATTCTTCATCAGGGCATTGTCCAATGCGAAAGCTGGCAACTGAAAATTTATGTTCTGATTATAGGAGATAGTATAAAGGGTTACACTGAGAGAAAACTTGAGTTATCATAATTGGAAATCTGATAACCGTTATTACGATATCTGCAATAAATAGGGGACAGATGTGTTCATGTGCTACCATAGATGAAGTGAATTTTCAGGTGACTTGTAGTTATGGCAGCTTATTCAATTTGCAAACTTGTATAAAAACACCGCTGCTGAATAACTACTACTTGTTCTAGTTTCTATGATAACACAGAATGTAGAATAGGAATTATTCCCATAAAATGTTGCAGTAACTCTCCACTCTACAGTGGTTATTAGACTATCGACATAAAACAGCATGTTTTTATTACTGGCACAACCATCTTGAGGTAACGCAGTAATTCGTCTCATTTTATTATAGTTATCTGATATCTGCATGAAACCTGACATTTCGACATGCTATTGTAATGTAGCTCATTTTCAACAGTTATCCCAATATTTTTCTACTCTAGTATATTCATCAAACAGTGGTAATAAGGTTATCAACATTATTCGATGGTATGCATTATGAGACCGTGCTTTGAATTACTGCAATGAAAATAAATATCCTATCCACACTATCACTTTTCATGATCCAAAGTTATTGTTTTCAAAAAAACAAAAAAATACGTTTAGTCTCTGAATTGAAATATTGGGGTATCTGTGGAAGTTTTTTGATATTACTCATTGATTTGTTCGGAGAAATATCATCTATATGCATTACTGACGAATTTATTAAGAAATGAGAAGTTGAATACTTATATTTACCCTTCCTTCGGAGTTATGATGAGAATTGTCAATAAAACTTCCCTCACAGAAACCCAGATATTTTGATTCAGAATCTCATCGATCATTTTGTTTTTGAAATAAACCAATTTTAGGCCTTGAAAAGTGGGTATGGAGAATACTCTTTTCATTGCAATAATGCAATGCACGGTGTATTCCACAGATCGGTTCACAGCCAGCACTAAAAAAAAACTTTGCTACACAGACATTCACCAACAAGACACGGCTCTTTCGATTCGGACGATCGAAACCATTGAACAATAATTGAACACGGGCACCCATGACCGAGAACAGAGAAATGAACGCGATCTGTATCTTTGTCAGCCACAATACTAATGAAACACTAGAGCGAACTGAGCCGAATTACGATTGTCGAATGATTGCCTAATAACCGTCATACATGTGAATTGCTAGAGTTATTCGTCAACGTACAATGCTAGAAACCCAAACAGCTATGATTATTGGGACAAACATTATCTGAATTCGCCAATGAGCATAATTCACAAAACGAGCTATGTCAATAAAAAATCTGAATAGACTGGAATTTATAAAATTCTCATAATGTCATAACACACCTGCGTTATGATGGTAGCAAATGTCCATTCGAGGGTATTACAAATGATTTAAGAAATCGATTTTTATAATTACAGAATGAAGAGAATACTGTTGTAATAATAAAATGATCAGGAATAGGAGATTTCCTTATAAAGGTTATTACAATCAGAGCTGGTAGATATTTTTAATATCCAGTTTCTCTCAGTGTATTTACGAAGGCCACAAATTAAATCAACTTGAAATATTCTCAGTCAGCTATATCCCTAACAACACGGGATCTTGCTAGTACATCCCGCTAAGGTCCTACAAATGTCCCAATGTTTCAGACTTAGGTACGATATCCCAGAGATGTTTCTCTTGGGACATCCATCAGATGTTTTCATTTGATGTTCTAGAAACATCCCATTTGATCTTTTTTTATAAACAATATCATGGTTCCATAATTGCTAATGATGATTGACATGATTGAACAGTTCAAACAATTGTGACATTTGAAATATTGAAAAGTTGGTAAAAAATGGAAATCAAAACTGGTATTCGTACTCATATACTTATACCTATACCAAAGCCGGCTAATTTCATCGATAACAAATTGAAATAATTATACTAAATATTCGTTCACACGGTTCGAATAGCCTTCCTATTTCTGAGATTAGACTACTCTTTATTTATACGAGTTCCTTTATCGAATTTCTGAGATACCTAGGTTACTATACTTATGTAGATTTCTCTGAAGATAATTACCGCCATAGTAGTTTACGTAATCATTCATACCTCACAAACCAATCAAAAATATAGCACAATTGTGAAACAGCAAGCTATAATTCGGAGTTTACTTTTTGGTTGAACATTTTTTCATATTGTACTGCGCTAAGTATATGAATTTCCAAAAACCACTGGAAAATAAATGACGACCATTTCATCTCGGCCACTCTTTTCAGACACCCTTTAATAGGAGATTGCGAGTTACTAACCTTCGAAAGTTTGTTTCCTCTCAAAGAAAACGCTCTAAAATGCGACAGCCAATGAGACCCCTCAAGAACCGAAATGCTATGCACATTGTTGTCGTCTAGATACAAATCCCATAGAGACCGATAGATGCGATCGAACTTGAGGGCTCTCAAACTACTGATGGAATTGCCTTCGAGGTGCAGTATTCTCGTGAATCGTGGAAAACGACTCGGTAGTTCAGAAAATCCTCTGTGCGAACAGTTCACCGTTATTATCGGTTCCAATTTCTCGGAAGTGGGAAATTTTGCTACCCTTTGCAGCGAGCAATCACACGACGGGGTGCAAGTGTCTCTCATATCCTAAAATAGAAGCAAAATCGAGCAAAATTTCCATGTCCCACATGAATTTTCATAAAATCTCATAAATTCTCACAAATTCTGATATGTTCTCACGAATTCTCATAAATTCTCATGAATTTCCATAAATTCTCATGAAGTCTCATAAGTTACTATGATTTCTCATGAATTCTCATAAATTCTCATAAACTCTCATGAAATCTCATGAAATCTCATATTCTCATAAATTCTCTTAAATTCTAACAAATTCTCATAAATTCTCATGAATTCTCATAAATTCTCATGAATTCTCATAAATTCTCATAAATTCTCATAAATTCTCATAAATTCTCATAAATTGATAATGAGAATAATAATGTCTTTATTCATCATTTGCAAAACAATTATAAACAACATAACAAAATATTATACACAATCAGACCCAAACTGCAATGACGAAAAGGCGAAGTATCAGCATGAAGATGATTTTCAACTTTCATGAATTCCCACAAATTCTCATTATTCCTCATAAATTCTCCTGAATTCTCATTCAATCTCATAAGTTCCAACAAATTCACATGATTTCTCATAAATGCTCATGAATTCTTATCGAATACTTACTTTTTGATAACGGGATATGGGAAGTATTTCTTTTCCTGAATATGGAAGTCCGTGACAAGTCAATGTGCTCAAATCTTTGGCCGCTGTGGTGTTCAGATGCAGAACCCATCCAAGATCTTTTGAGCAATTCCATTTGTTACCTACAAAAATCCTTGAGCTAAGATTCATCATCAATCATCGAACAGATAAATTCAATGATAACAATTTGCAAACATTTTTGAAAATCATTTCACTTACTTCCTAGGTAGAGCTCTTTAATATTTCCTAAAAAGAAATGTTCACTCATTTCTCTCAAGTTGTTTCCTTCGAGACTGAGAATTTCAATATTCGGAAAGTGTTCTAGAAAGTTATGACTTATTTTAGATAGTTGAAGGTTATTCATTCTGAGAACCTGAGAAAAAAAAACTGGTTATAAATATGCAATTGACATTAGTCTCACTATTTTAAGTTTTATTTTTGTGCATGTATACATATAATTTTTTTTATGTTCTGGTTTCCACAAAAAGGGATATCCTGTAATGTTCAGAAAACATCGTGAGAACTAAGGAAAATAAGGTAAAAATTGGTGTTCTCCTTAAATATCTGGAGGTTATATGCTTCGGGGAACACCTCTCTTGGCAATGTGTTCCAGAGCCTCGCTTTTCGTTAGATGAACGAGTCTTTGGAAAGAGATGTTCTGCAGGTCTCCAAAGTGACCACGAAGAGGTGCGAAGCCTCAACTCGACGGGTTAATCTCGCGGGGACTACCAAGGGAGGAACAATTGTTGATATTTCAGAAGAGCATCGTTCATGAAAATATCTATAAAATATAGCCAGATCGCCAACTTTTCTACAGTGTTCCAGAAAAGTGAGTCAGTTTGTGAGCGAGACGAATTGCCCTTTTTTGGACAGAATCCAACAGTTTCAGGGTATGTTTAGGTGCTGTACTCCAAATATGCGAACAGTATTCGAGGACAGGTCGGATCTGTGCCTTATAGATCATAAGCAGTTGACTGGAAGTGAAATAGCTCCTGGCCCGAAACAGAAAACCAAGTTTTTGGGATACACTTTTGGTAATAATTGATCTCACGTGATTTTCCTAAGAAAGGTTATTGCTGATAGTAATACTAAGCATCGAAATGGATGTCTTCAAAGGTATGGTTACTCCTGACAAGCTCATGTTGGGCACAGTGAGATCGGCTCTTCTAGAGAAAAGGCATGCTTGTGTTTTCATATTCGAGAATTGTTGCAAAGTTCATATTTATGCTGTCAACATTTCTCCCTCGTTCGTTTCTGATTTGCCTGGCTGGGATTAGAGCTCTGGAAGAGAAGGCGGTATGGAGGGTACTATCATCCGCGAAGCTGTGTACTGGACATGAAGTTGCTTTCAACAAATCGTTGATATGGAAGTAGAAATAGTGTTGGTGCTAGAATTGATCCTTGCGGAACACTAGCATTTATGATGAGAGAGTCAGATGAAACTCCGTCGACCACTACATGGAGAGATCTGTTTGAGAGAAAACTAGCTAGCAGAGAACATAGCTGGGGATGCAGGCCATAAAGATGGAAGCTTGGCGAGGAGGCCGTGGTGCCAGACTCGTTCAAATGCCTTGGAGATATCAAGTGTCATGGCTAAGGTATCACCATATTTTTCAATAGATTGCTGCCATATCATCATTGGTACCAATGTCAGTCTGCAAGTGACTTATTATACAGGGTGTAATTTAATTGATGGCTAAAAATGTGGGATATGGTTCCTCAGCTCATATTAAGAAGAAGAGTTTGTATGAACAAATGCCCTACCTAACTTTCGAGCTATAGGGTGTTAATATTATAGTTACTCTTGATTATTGATAGATGAAACTTTCACAATGTAGAAAATTGTCACGTTTATGAATACTTGTCAAAATATGACCGCAACGTATCAAAATAGGACACTAGCCTACTAGTTCAAAATAATTTCATTATACATCAAATGCATGAAAATGGTTTTTATTTTTTTACGCGAAAGCGAAAACTGTGCGTCGGACTAAAAAAATTCGGGAAGTCACATTGTTGCAAAATTAATGAGGATTTCAAAAATAATTTTTTCTACCGGAAAAGCACGAGCGTACAATATTTCTTTAGAAAAATTCAATCCAATTACATCCCATAGAGACGCCACTGGTAGAAATATGAAAAAATCTCCTGCATCAAAGAATTCCTATTGGTGCTCAATGAGTGCACGCCAAATTCCATGAATCTAGAAGAGTATTGAAGTTATGATAACAACACGAGTTTTTTCATAAAATTTCAAGACCTTATAGTTCGAAAGTTAAGAGGTTTAGGGCATAATAATATATTCCTTTGAACGTTTCTTCTAAAAATGAGGTGAGGATCTATATCCTATATATTTTTAGCCATCAATTAAATTACACCCTCTATACATATACATAGGAACACATTTTGAGTTGACAAAAAAAAATGATTGAAATTCTCACCTTTACATTATTGTTATCTTCTGAAGGAATTAATGACCTTATGCTGCTATTGCGAACGGAGATGTTTCGCAAATTTGGATACTCTTCTAATATGAAGTGGAAATCGAGGATCTCTATCGGAAGAAACGACAATTCCAAAGCTGTCACATTATCTTTATATTTCACTTTCGGTAATTTTCCTTGGCATTTCAGTGTTTCACTTTCGATGAAACAGTTTCCAACAGACGACCGACCTGTGGTCATCGAAATCGCGTGAAATATCTCTAAAATTATTATGCTGCAAGAGAAAAACATTACCATCAATGATACATTTTTTTTCAGTGTATTTTCATCAAATCAGTACTGATTAGCTCAATCGCCAAATTCCATTGAGGCATTCTTATTGACAACGAAGTTAGAGCAACATAAATTTTCGTTATAATTTTTTATGGATATTTCAGACAAATTTTGAGGAACGGCAACATCTAGAATGGTATTCATGGAAAATATTTATTAATTTATTTCAAAAGTCTATACAGGGTGTCCGGAAATTATGCGCAAAAACTAAGGAGGGTGATTTTAAATGATGAAATAAGAAATTCTTTTTTATGTACAGGGTGATTCACCATAAATGTCCCCCCTCTAGCTCAGTTATTTTTAAACCGATTTCAAAATTTGAAATATCATCTTGAATGATTTTTGATTGAGTTTTTTTCCGCTACATCAGAAAATACAGGGTGCTCAGAACAAACGATCTACAGGGTACCATTTGATTTTTTTATATGGAACACCCTATTTTTCATTGTATTTTTAGATTCTTCCTGAAAAGCTGATTTGCTCAATGCATCACACTTGGGGTCTATCGGGAATGATTACAGAGATATAGGGTGTTCAAAATCGATATTTTTCAACTTTAGGATTTTTTTGAGAATAAACTATTCATCATCGGTCAAAACGGCTTTCATGTCCATATCTCAACTTTTGATTTACTATCTACTGACATTTAATAATTGGAACAGATACAGGGTGATCAGAATTCTGAATCTTGAACCACCCTGTAAATGTTCCAATCAAATCTCAATAGACAGTTAATCAAACATTAAGATGGAAACATAGGAGCCGTTTCGACCAATGATGAATAGTTTCGAGACAAAAAAATCCTAAACTTGAAAAATCTCGATTTTGAACACACTATATCTCTGTTATCTTCCCTGCTAGACCCCAAGTGTTATGCATCGATGAAATCAGCTCTTCAGGAATAATCTAAAAATACAATGAAATACAGGGTGTTCCATTTGGAAAAATCGAGTAGTACTCTGTAGATCATTTGTTCCGAGCACCCTGTATTTCCTGATGAAACGGGAAAAAAAATTCTGAGAAATCATTTTAGATCATCCTTCAAATTTTTAAATCGGGTCAAAAATAAGTGAGCTAGAGGGGGGGGGGGCAATTATGGTGAATCACCCTGTACGTGAGTCCGGAAATGCATATTTCTCAACATACAGTGTGTTGACCTTAGAAATTGATTTGAAAAAATTGTGATGATCAAAAATGCTCAGAAATGATTGGGAATTCCAGCAATGATTTTAATTTCGAGAATAATCAGTGGCGTTCCATCAATGTCTGCCAAAATAGCTATGTGAAATTCCATTCGAACGCCACTGGTAGCAACCAAAAAAAAATTTGGTACACTAACTGATGCCTCTTGATACATAGTACATGTATGCCAAACTTCATTAGAATATCTGAAGTGGTATTACATATATTAATAAAAAACTATTAATTTTTGATAACTTTACCACCCTGTATCTCAGAAGTTCGGACGTTTAGGTCATACGTTCATATGAAACTTACTTTTAAGAATGGGCCCAAGAAGCGCCTACCCAAATATTGACATTCATTTATGGAAAACCCTGTATTTTTTTAACTTCAACACCATTTATTTCGGAAACGAAGCAACTCTGAGCATGCATTATATTTACCCTCTGAGGTTTCGTACCGTATCATTCATATTCATTCATATTTGCAAGGCAAAAGTACTTATACTCACCAAAATATTTTGATCATTTTAACATCTTTCCATATAATTCAATGGTGCTAGACCATGAAATAGATAATTTGCACCAACTGCTGCTAATTTTGTGTTTCAACTAAACTTGTACATTATTCTACTAGTCATATTTACAATACTGTGTGAAACAATTCACACTTCAATATACATTAATGAAATTTTCGCCTCAGGTTTTATTATCATATTCGCAAACACCATTGTAGGTACTATTCATTATTTGAATAGGGTTTTAAGAAATAAAAATATACAGTACCAATCTAGGTTCCGAAATATGGTCTCCAAATATTGTTATCCTATAGTAATATACCATACAGTCAATATTTTTCGTCAAGTCCTCAATTTGAATTGAAGATTATAATATCTGAATGAGTACAGGGTGATTGGTTTATATATAATTGTTTCATTAGCTGCCTAGTCAGTAAAAGTACACCTTCAATGCCTGTTAAGTGTCAGAGAAGAGCCACTTACCCTGCCTTGGAGAAAAAAATAGTTATTTATTATAGAAGGGAAAAAAGTAGTAGATTTTAGCCCCAGGTTGTGTTGTCTCTCGACGCGTAGCAGAGGGAGACAAAAAACCGTGAGCTAAAATCTAATATTTTTCCCGTGTATAATACACTATTTTTTTTCTGTGACAGAAGAAAGGACGAATCCATATTGAGAAGATATCACATTATTCTGAAATAGGAAAATTATCGACGGGAAATTTTAAGTTTTTAACAGTAGGGACACCTGCGTTGTAGGCATCTTTATCATTTTTTGAAGTAATCAAATATCTGATGTCACTTCTGTCAGTCTAATTCCGTGATTTGATTTCAAAAATATACGTTACCTGGAAGTCGAATGGAAGATAAGAGGACTTGCAGTTCTATCTCGGAGACGGTATTATTGACTCATTTTTCGGAACTATAGCACACAAAGCTATCAACAGTGTATATACAGTATGATGAAAATGTATGGAATGAATTTATTTCAAAACAAGATGACTTCCGAAAAAAATCCAAAAACTAGACTTCAGAACTTTATTAATTGATTAATTTTTTTAAATAGACGACCCTTCGTTGTTCAATTCTCAGTAGTAGACCTCTGCAAGATTCAGTTAATCAAATGATAATCCATTTTAATTTCAATTTTCTTATGCAAAATTTTGACTGTTGAATAGACGATCAGTAGACCTTTCAAACGAGGTGTCACATGACCCCTGTTTTCATTTGAAAAAATCGTTCATTACGTCATTACTCCAACACCGGTGACGTAACATCTCTCATATGGATATCATGAGATGAGGCTTCAAAAATGAAACCTCACTTGTTTTTGGAATTTTTTAAATGTCGCCCATTTCTGAAATAATGAATTTATTCCATACATTCATCTGCATCATACTGTATATATGTGATATATATCCGGGAAAAATGTACTCACTTTTTTCCCACGGGAAAAAAGGAATTCATGAAAATTATAACCTGCCAACAGAGGTGAAATGCCAAACTTTTTTCCCGTCACAGAAAAATAATTATTTAATTAGTTTTTTCTACATTCATGCAAAAAGTAGAACTTTATTGAACTATATTTAGTGGAAAAAGAAGTTCTTTATTGCACTAAGTGCAATAAAGTTTTTATTGCATCATCTGTCATTCTACTTCAACGTGCTGTCATCATGACAAACATTTTTTATATAGCAGCTGTGGTTATAGAAACGTCATATATTCATATTGAAAATTGCACCAATTGTTCATTCACTTTCAACATTGAGGGTAAAAATAAAGTTTGAGTTAAATTATTCTTAACGTATTAGTTCCTGTTTCATTGCGAATCGATATTAATAATAAAGTATTCAAGTTGCGTTTTTCATTTTCCTACACCTAGTGCCGCACCTCAATAAATCATTTTTTGCTTTTTGCATGAACGTAGAAAAAATGTTGTATGCAAAAATTTTTTTCTGTGACGGGAAAAAAGTTTGGCATTTCATCTCTGTTGGCAGGTTATAAAATGTCACTTTTCATAAATTACTTTTTTCCCGTGGGAAAAAAGTGAGTACTTCTTTCCCGGATATATATCACATATATATACTCTGTTAATGGCTTTTGTTGTGCTATAGTTCCGAAAAATGAGTCAATAATACCGTCTCCAAGAAAGAACTGCAAGTCCTTTTATCTTCCATTCGACTTCGCGGTTTCCTATATTACTAAACAACTACTGAATTCGCAATTTTTTGAAATCAAATCACAGAATTGAACTGACAGAAGTGACATCAGATATTTGATTACTTCAAAAGAATGATAAAGATGCCTATAAAACGCAGGTGTCCCTACTGTTAAAAACTTGAAATTTCACGTCGATAATTTTCAGATTTCGAAATAATGTAATATCTTCTCAATATTGATTCGTCCTTCCTTCTGTCACAGAAAAAAATAGTGTATTATACACGGGAAAAATATTAGATTTAGCTCACGGTTTTTTGTCTCCCTCCGCTACGCGTCGGGAGACAACACAACCTGGAGCTAAAATCTACTACTTTTTTCCCTTGTATAATAAATAACTAATTATAAACATTCACTTTTTGCACTTGTTGCATAAATAACTATTATATTACCATCGAATGTCACTGTCACATCCCAACACTTTGGATACCCAACTTTGGGACCATTTCATCTCGTATTTTCGCGCTCCTGAAGTTTACCTCGCGAACGTACTCGATTTAACCGGAAAACACACTGAAGTTTTCCCAATTCGAGCTTATCGGCTGCTGATGCCCGTGTGATGATTGCGCGCGTTTCCAACAATTTTTCCAATTTTCTCGCACCGATCTTGATGTCAACGACAGACAGACAGAATGATATCGTGTGCTACAAAATTTCGATCATCCGATCTCTGACACATCATGTTTCGAACCAAGTCAAGGTAACTACATAAGACACACAGGTGGTTATTACCGATAACTTATTATTACGCGATGGATGATGTGCTCTTGTTTCTTTCATCTTGGACCGATTATCCAAGTCCTTTTGATTGAATGAGACTAATAGCAGTAGCGCATCTAGGATTTAGTTCTGGGAGGGGTAAATGTCCAATAATCAGGTAGATATTTAATATGTGATATATTCACATAAAATATATAGGAAACAGAAACCTATCATTGAGTATAGAAACTAAAAATAAAAAACGAATGAAAAAATCAAGAACATAAAAAAAAATTTCATCAACATTTGAACAAAAATAAAACAAGAATTAAATACAAAAATACCAAAAAACAGCTCAAAATATAACAAAAAAAACTCTTTGGAAAGAGATTACAAAATAAAGTCTAGTCTTCTATTTTTTTTGGTAGCATATCGATTAATAACATCTTCGACATCTACCTGAATCTTTCTATGTATGCGTAGCCAAGTTTTTAACCATTTAAGGCAGGAAAAACTCTTTTCCGCATAAGCCACACTAACAGGCAAGGTAACAAGTATTTGTAGGCATTGTTTAATAATGGGAAACATATCTCCATCACAAGATATAAAGAGATCTAAACCATCTTTAACATCATTTTGTGTAACGGATTTCCACAACTGAAACTCAGAATTTAGTTTTATTAAAGTTATATCATTGCTCATATTCTCATGCAACCTATTGATGTAGTCTGTTATTGTTTGAAGTGATTCAGTAAGTGCATCAGGACTTCTTGAACAAAAAAATGAATAAAAAAATATATTGAACTCAAAAGTATTCAGTCCCCCTTCATCAAACCTAAAACGAAAGTCGTTCGTAACATGATTCAACAAAGGTATGTACAAGTTGAGCCTGTAGTAAGTTTCAACATTTTCTGCTTGTATATTACTACGATATACTTGTCGTTTTATTATTCTTGGACTATGAATATCTATCTCCATTTTTTCATGAATATAACAAACCAATTTAAAAATACCTTTGAATTGACGCTCAGCATTGCTTCGTTTTTCTTCCAAAACCAAAATTACATTTTCAATAACTTTACCAGCATAGTGTCTGTCGATTGATTTTGTTTGTGAAATCTTACTTACATTAACTGAATTAAAGCTAAAATTTCACTCGAGCTATAAAGAGAAACAATAAATTCTGTAGAAGTAATTCCAGTTTTGAGAATCTCAGCTTTAGACGATGAATCACGGTATTTCCAAGTTGAAATGATACTGAACAAATCAACGATGCTTTCAAAGCAACTTTTAAATTGCAGCACTGATTCGTGCTTATCTACCCATCTAGTATCACAAAGAGTTTTGAGTTGAGTATTACCTAATTTTTGGCTGAGAAGGAATTTTTTTTTAGCCGATGCCCTGATACCCCCCGTGTCCTGGGGGGGGTAATTACCCCCTTTACTCCCCCTTGGATGCGCGCCTGACTAATAGTCCAAGAGCCAGCTGCAAATTTCGACCTTCATCTGATAACGAAATGATATACAGAGTGATGCATTTGGAAGCAGCCTCCCTCAGAGAATTTTTATTTCTTATTAATTGTTTTCAAGAATCCCTATAATTTTCGAACCTAGGGGAGATAGGGAAGGGAGGTAGGAGTTGGAATTTTTTTTCTGAACTTCTGGAGGTTATAAGTTCTTGGAAATATTCGTTTTTGGATGTATGACAAATTGATATTCATCATATACAGGACGTGGAAAGAAATTCAGAATTGAGAAAACCTGATCACGAATCTGAGATTGGAGGTCTATTAAAATGACAAGTTTCCATCGTTCAAGTTTTAGCCTCTTCACTGGGTGGAATCATTGAAAAGGAATATTCTCAGATAAATTATTACATTTATAAAGAAATACATTGAAAATTCGCATTCACTCACTCACTCATTCACTCATTCACTCATTTACTCATTTACTCATTTACTCATTTACTCATTTACTCATTTACTCATTTACTCATTTACTCATTTACTCATTTACTCATTTACTCATTTACTCATTTACTCATTTACTCATTTACTCATTTACTCATTTACTCATTTACTCATTTACTCATTTACTCATTTACTCATTTACTCATTTACTCATCTACTCATTTACTCATTTACTCATTTACTCATTTACTCATTTACTCATTTACTCATTTACTCATTCACTCATTTACTCATTTACTCATTTACTCATGCACTCATGCACTCA